TACTTGTATTACATATTATAAATTAAAGTCACGCAGAGTTTGTGTTGTGGGCTAATTTCATATATAAATTTTTCACCATAGTCTATCTATATAACTATAATTAGGTACATATTGTTTAAAAGATTACAATTTATGAATATTTACGAACATAAGCTTTTTGATAAATATCTAAACATATAATAAAATTGTAACAAAGCCGAATCTGTACATTAAATATTTTTTGGAAAATCTTATTGAAATAGACATTATTATCGATACAGAGACCGAATCTATAGTTTTTAGAATTTTTGTCTGTCTGTTACCGCATCACGGAATAACCACTGGCGGGATTTTGATGAAATTTGGTATGGTGATAGCTGGTTATCCGGGTCAACATATAGAATACTCTTTACCGAGGAAAAATATCTCATTTCTGAGAAAAAATACAAAAACTGCAATTTAAGAGTATCCTAATATTATGTAATCCCCTAAGAATCTGGTTTTAGGACATCTGAACGCGGGCGGAGCCGCGGGCAAGGCTAGTTTGTAAATAAAAGAAAAGAAACGAAAAAAAAACGTCTCCTTCAGGGGTGCACCCGAGCAAAGCGGGGATAAGCCACTAGCATAAAATATTTACACTATAGCATCGTTTTAGTGGTTTTTAGGATTTTTTATACTATTTACATCTACTTTCCAACCATCATTGGTACATCAAGACGTATACGAACCGTTGATTGATAGTTTCCAAACACTCGTGGCTGTAACTGTATTTGTTGGTAGAAACATGTTAGAGCCACTCATAAACATCGGATTTACTGCATAAATAAACTTGTAATAAAATGTGGTATTCGCACAGTTTGCTAACACCGGTGAGTGTTTTAATGCGTAAATTAGCTATCGGTTGGGATTTAATGAAGTAATATCGATTATCTATACATATAATAAAACTGTAGAGGTCGAATGTCTGTACATAGAAAAAAAATGCTAAAAACCGAGTTAGGGCGATGTAAGAAGAGAAATAGAACAAATCCAGTTTTTTTCTCAATTTTTGTGTTTTTCTGTCTGTCTGTATGTATTTTGTCACCGACACTGTTGGATCGCTTTAAATGAAATTTTCCATGGTGATACCTTATATCCCCGGTCAACATTTTAGATACTTTTCATCCCGTAAAATTAAAGAGTTCCTGAGAGATAGTTAAAAAACTATAGTAACTTATACAGCTTAGTACACAACAACTTATGCATCTAATTTAGTAATATTTGGCATGCTGATACCTTATATTGCCGGTCAAACAACAGGCTACTTTTTAATCCCGGAAATATAAACGTTTCCCGTGGGATATACATATAATAGAGGCGAACCCGAGCGAAGCGAGGGTGAGCCGCTAGTCTAGAATAGAATTTGATCTGTTATGTCCTTTTTAATTATATAATGCATAAAGCATTTATAAACTTTACGTATTTACGTTAGAACTTACGTTAAAAAAGGTATCGTTGTTTTGGAAAAATCCGTCTAAAATAATAACTGAAAGAAATAATAAATAATTTTATGTATTTGCATATCTGTATGATACACTTAATTAAAAAACTGTAACATCGCGCTGTGTTTGTAAACTTTTATTCAACAAAGTGTAGAAAATATTCGTATATCGCAACAAATTGGATGATGTTGGAGGAAATAAGTAATAACTTACACGTGCACAGCAACAATGCTGGCAGCCAGGACTTTTAACTAACGCGCTGTATACGAACTTTGTATACAGCGTGTAATTATTACAAAGCCAATTAAAATTTGTTCACGATCTACCTATATTAAAACTGAAACCTAAAAAAATTAAAAATAAATTATTATTTTTATTTTAAATTCTAACTATGAATTGTCAAAAAAGACCAGATAAAAAGAAGATCATTATTGCTTTTAGAATATTATTTAATTCTTGGGTACCTATTACTAAGACTACGCTGTCCGTCTGTCTGTCTGTCCGTCTGTCACCAGGCTATATCTCATGAACCGTGATTTGTCATCAGATATTTTCGATTAATATAAAATATACTCTTGTGTTTTTATTAACTACTAAGTATAAGAACTTTGCCGAGAAATTGCCGTACTGCTCTTTCTGACATTGCACATCCTGTTGTTTCCAGATTGTGTGATTATCTCACAAACGAGCCAATAAAAATATTTGCGGTAAAATTTAAACGAATAAGTGATAATAGTTATAATAATAGCTGATTTTAAGGCGACATATTAGATATGTATCGATTTGAAGGTCTAACTTCATTCTATCATTAATCTCCATTCATATGAAATTTTAGACTTATTTTTTCTTATCTCATCTTGATTTAAAGATGTACTTATAACTTAACTAACAGTTGTTTAAATACTATGAACATCTACTGTACCTAATTCTTAAATGAACCATCAAACAATGTAGAGTAGCATAATAGCAGCGGTCGCGGGTTCGAGTCCCGCTGGGGGCATTCAATAGTGTGATGAGTACGAATGTTTGTACTCCAGTCATGGGTGTTTATATTTATAATATGTATGTATTTAAAGTTATATATGTATAGTGTATCAACTACCTAGTATCCATAACACAAGCCTCGTAGCTTACCATGGAACTAGATGGTGGTGTGTGTTAATGTCCCAACATTTATTCATTTATAATATGTAGAGCCAAAAAGAGTTCCAATTTTATTAATTCCAAGTTGTCGCCGCTTTAATCTCATTTAAACTCAAACGCTCACTATCATACGCTCAGTGAGTAATTTATAATTCATCTAGTAATACAGTTAATGAGCGAATGTGGCCACTATAAATGTTCTTATGTATTTTAATATTCCCATAGCGTCAATCGCTTAAGCTATTTTAATCGAGCGCTCGTCGTGTTTTACGAGAAAGCTGGATTGTTTCTTTTGCATTATTTATTTAAACCACCTATTAGCTACTCGGATCTGCTTCAATAGTGCTCGGACGTTTCGAATAATCGGTCTGCATACATTTTAAATGAAGGCAGTGGTAGCCCAGTGGTAACGCGCTCGCTTGGGAAACCGAATGAAGTGAGTTCAAATCCCGGGTCTCGCACCTCTGATATTTTCATTTGCGAATCATTTCCAACATGATTACCACTTGTCTTAACGGTGAAGGAAAACATCGTGAGGAAACCTGCATGTCTGAGAGAATCTAGCAAGTTTTCAAAAGACATGTGAAGTCCGCCAACCCACACTTGGCCAGCGTGGTGGACTATGGCCTGATTCCCCTCGTGCTGAAGTGAGGCCCGTGCCCAGCAGTGGGACGTTAAAAAGGGCTGAATACATACATTTTAAATGATAGAATATGACAGGGGAATTACGTAATTACCATTTATCGATACATCATTATTGTTGTATGGTTGATTTCTAACTGGCCAGTTATATTATTTAGTACATGAACAAAGGAAAATATTATTTATTTATTTATTGAGAAAACAACAGCATTACATGAGACAAATTAATGTAAAAAACAATGTGTACTAAAATAAAGCCAATTACAGTTTTCTTCTTTTAGTTAATACATATAGCAATACACTAAAATGAGTTACCCATCAGAAAAAAAAACTGATACGGATATGATGATAAAAATTATGGATATGATATTATATTTATATATTTATAGCTTCTGAAGACTGACTGAATGATTTTTGTCTCGTTTTATAATGATATTTACAGTAAAAATAACGTAGAAAATAAAATGCATTAATAAATTCAATGGATCTCTCTGAATATATTACAGCATAGAACACAGATATATATATATATATATGAAAAAAAGATTACTTATTATTTACAAAGTTTTAGAATAGTTTAATATTTATAAAAAATTACATTAAACAATTTTTGAATAAATCGTTATGTAAGAACGTCCATCGTAAAAGTTTTTTTTTTTTAATTGAAAATGTTGTACATATTATTTTGAATAATAATCATTTAAACTACTATAACGGATAGTACGGATAAATAATATAATTTCTAATTTGAAAGGCTCCATCTATAATATGTACACATAGGCATCTATGATGAATCAATGTTGAGTCTTATATAACTAATTTGTACGACAAATATCTCTACGATAATCAAATACGTAACCGTGACAATGAATGCATAGTATATACATATCGTATCTATATAATAATGAAATACTGTATGTTGGTAAGAGCGTTTACTTGAAGCTGGACTGATTTAGCTAGTTTTGTTTTAAAAAAATGTTTGTAATAGCAGACTATTACAAATATTTAAAAAAAAAACTAGTTAAATCAGATTTATTCAGAATAAAGGGGAAAATATTTGAAATATCTAGAAATTTGGAAATTCAGGAAGAACTGTAAGTGCTTTTTTCTATAGAATTTATGCTTAATTTTAAACGTCACAAATAAAATTGAAATCGGTACAGGACAACATCTGTCCGGTCTGCTAGTATGAAATATCAGCCATAGTATAGACAACTAGTAACATTCGCATCACTCGGTTGCCTAACAGTAGCCTTTGTGTAACTCCAAGTCACAGTCTACATACTGAATTTCATCTAAATCCAACCAATCATTTCAAGAAGAAGTAACAAACATACACAACAAAAGTTTCGCATTTATAATAGCAGTTTGATAGTCTGAAAACCGATTAATATTATAGTATTATTAACTGAATAGCGACTCACCCTCGCTTCGCCTTCGTTCGTCCCTAGGTACATTTTAATTTTTTAATTTTTTGAGATAACCCTATTTTTTTTCTAAAATAAAAGTAGCCTACGTTACTCCCTATAACATCAGCTATCTTCCAGTAAAAGTCCCGTCAAAACCAGTCCAGCCGTTTAAGAGATTATTCGGAACAAACAGACAGACAAAAATAAAAAAAAATGAGTTTTTCTTATAAGTACCTTTATAATTTCATATGCATTTAGTAAAACGCTGTTATTTTGACATTACAAACAGACATTTCAATTTTATTTATCTGTATCGATATTAACCTATAACATTACAACTGTCCAGGTGTCGGGGGCGCAGCGCGGGCGCGAGCGGCATGCGGCCCCTGCGGCAGACGCCCATGGAGGTCGGCTAGCGGCGCGCGCGCTGCCCCCGCGCCCGCACGCCCCGCCCCGCCCCCTCGACAACATGGAACTCGCGGACATGCCCAGGCACAGACCCCTCGCCTTCGATAAGGTAATTCGTTAATACTATATAATATTCCTTTTTCTTTTGAGTTCTATTACATGTCAATCTGTTTATAAACAAAGCCAATCCTGTATTAGAATATTAATTCTTGTTATGGGCAATTGAAGCAAATAAGTACCCATTGATCTATATAATATAATGATTAAAAAATATATAATAAACTAGCGTTTTACCCTTAGCTCGGATTCGTCCCTAGGTAAATTCCCCATACAAACTTTCATCCCCATTATCACCCCCTTAAAGGATGATTTCTGGGATAAAACTATACTATGTCCTTTACAGGGTCTCAAACTATCTTTTTACCAAATTTTATCTAAATCGGTTCAGTAGTTCCAGATATTACTACCTTTTACAAGCAAATTCACAAACTTACAAACTTTACCTCTTTATAATATTAGTATGATAATAATATATAATATAATAATATATATATCTCTAAGACTGACCTCATGATTCAATGTCAAAATACGCTATTTGCTTTTAGGGGTATGGTATTATAACTAAAACTATCTTTTCTGGATTTATTTCGATTTCCGGTTCCGGACATTTCGAATGCTTTACAGCAATCATGGTCACAGGAGAGACTAAGGTTTTAAACGTCTCAAAGTTATACACTTCTTAGAGACAATGCCTACCCACTAGGTATTTTACAAAACTGATTTAAAAAATTCAAAAATGGCACCAAAGAACCGTACAATATCTGTTGATTTTAATTCTAAAAATTTTAATATTTTTTTGTTTTTTTTTCAGTATTAGGTATAATTAAATATAGCAATATTATTTATTTAATTTTGTTATTATTATAAATATTAAACTTTTATAAAACTTTATTAATTACTAATATTATTTAGTATTGCTATTATTACTAGCAGAAACCGCGGCTTCACTCGCGCTAAAATTACAAAAAATCTCTAAAAAGGTAGTTTCATACAAACTTTCATCCCCTATTTTACCCCCTTATAGGATGAATTTCGAAAAATGCTAAAACACTTATTTATTCAATATGAATAAAGAGCGTTAATCCAAGTTTCAAGTAAGTTTTGATCATAAATATTTTTTGGATTGCATTATAACCTGTTTTCCCGTGGGAAAGAGATAATCTCTCGCGGTAAAAAGTAGCCTATGTCATTCTCCAGCCCTCCAAATATCTCCACACAAAAAAATCTCGCCAATCTGTCACCCCGTTTCGACGTGAAAGATGGACAAACCAACAAACACACTTTCACATTTATAAAATTAGTATGGATGTACGAGTATAACCATAAAGAATATTAAAAATTAAAAATGTTAATTATTTATTTAAGTAATATTATTGTTCTACGAGTAATTTAAAAAGAATTTAAAATATTATCATTATCAGTAATTCTGATTCATATTTTTTGTCTATAAAATTTAATTAAAGAAGTTTGAAAGGTTTTTTTTTCAAATGATATTTTAATAATCCAAATTAAAAACAAATAACTGCACACTGCTCAAACGCTTTCAGTTTTAAATTAATGATAATGTCCACTACACATACTTCAATATCTCGTATCACGCGATGACATGCGAAACAAAAGTGAAATCAGCTGAAATGAAAAAGCTTTAACTTTCATCTGTTCATATTCAACTGCTTTATAAAATGCGATATTACTCAAAAAAAAAATTTTAAAATAATAAGCGCACATATCACATATACTACCTACTTCATTTATACACATAAAATATTATTAAAAAATATTATATAATCAGTATACGCTTTAATTTAATTAAAATGTAATAAAATTGTAACTAAACCGAATCTGTACATTAAATATTTTTTTGGAAAATCTTATTGAAATAGACATTATTATCGATACAGAGGCAGAATCTATATTTTTTAGAATTTTTGTGTGTCTGTCTGCCTATCTGTCTGTCTGTTACCGCATCACAGAAAAACCTATGAAGGGATTTTGATGAAATTTGGTATGGTGATAGATGGTTATCCGGGTCAACACATAGGCTACTTTTTACCGCAGGAAAATGTTTAATTTCTGAGAAAAAATACAAAAACTGCGATGTAAGAGTATACTAATATGTAAAACCTAAGAATTTGGTTTTTATTCATCTGAACGCGGGCGGAGCCGCGGGCAATGTTAGTTAAAATATAAAAATCTAAATCATGAACACATAATGAAATTTTTATTTAATTTTGCACGTTGTGAGAGTAATCTTTGAGCTGTTGAAAAATGCATCTACAGCAGAAAAAGGCAGCCGCGAATAAAAAGCACGTGACAAGAGCCATTATATTTTCAGCACCCCCGCCGTATGTAGACGAAAATTAATTACAAAGATTTGTCGTAAATTATGGAAGGCTTCGTGAGATCGTTTTTGTTAATTATTCCCGATGCTATCTTTTATTAGTCTACCTTTATTGCTATTATAATGAAACCCTGTATGTGCCACTACACCTTTTGTTGCGTCGCTCGGGACAACGGCAGTACAATGGGAACAATACACACATATTGTGTCCCGGGGACTCAGCTTATTATTGATTACACTCATGAATTCAATCTTACGTTAGATTTTAATTATAAAAATCCAAATATTAGACGTCTATACACTTTTAAATAGAAGAAACATACGATTTCAACAATCTTCAGAATTATTGTAATGAAATTCTTGCTTGCAATCCGGCTATTGATCGGGCGTGACGTCGCCGCCTTCGCCTTCACGTCCCCTTGGACGAATGAGCTCGGTATACACGTAGAATTTTCATCCAAAATCCTATGCTAAGTGTTATAATAATAAACATTACTTTAAACCCTTAACCCATTTTAAAGTTATAATAGCTTACATATTTATAAAAATAAAATATTTCTAATTTAAAATATTTCTAATTTAAAATCCCTATAACGCGTAGCTATATAAAGATGACAGCAAACTTTATTAAGATTACATAATAAAAAGTTAATAATTAGTTAGTTGGGAAAGTTACGAAACTACAGCCAATATCATCATATTAAGTAAAATCTTATATAGAAATCGTAGAATCACGTTAAAGAAATAGACTTAACCATTATTCGAATTGTTATATGAAAAGGGACGAGATGTTAGTTTTTACAATACGATAATCGTGGACGGGTATGAGTCAGCTGCTTTTCCTTCTGCGCGTTCCTATCGATCCTCTTATTTTCTATCAACGTTTCGTACTAGGCTATTGCGCATACAATATATGTATATATATTCTACGTTCTTATGGTGGTCGGGCCGGGGATTAAAATTTCAGGGATCGTAAGCCTTGAACAAGGTAATTTTAAATTGTCACTTTTAAAAATTATTTCATATTATTTTTTGGCGTACTATTAAATGGTTTTACTGAACAAATACTACTAATTTCAAGTAGATTTTGTACAAAAAAAGTAACACTGAATAATTTTTAAAATATGTTTTAATTACTGTCTAGAACGTTTCTATGATTAATTATGAATCTATACCTACATATACTAAAATTGTAACTAAGTCGAATCTGTACATTAAATATTTTTTGAAAAATCTTATTGAAATAGACATTATTATCAATACAGAGGCCGAAACTATAGTTTTTAGAATTTTTATTTGTCTGTCTGTGATCGCATCACGGAAAAGCCACTGGAGGGATTTTGATGAAATATGGTATAATGGTAGCTGGTTATCCGGGTTAACAACATATATGGGAAAATATCTTATCTCTAAATACATATAATATACTAAACGTTAAAACGTAAGTAGGGACGAACTCGAGCGGAGCGAGGGTGATCTAAATCGGTTCAGTAGATCCAGAGATAACCCCCTACAACTTCACAAACTCACAATCTCACAAACTTTACCTCTTTATAATATTAGTATAGATCAATAACAAAAATAATATTATAGAGTTTTATTTTATTATAATTAACACATGCGATACGTGCGTATATTGTAATTAAATATCCACCGTAACTGATTACAAATATCGATAGCAACATGTAGGTACAAGCATGTATAATTCAATCAAAATCAATAAAATTCACGCTCGATCCTATATATTCTATCATAGAAAAACCGTTTAAAAAACGTCAGGTACTGTTTTTTTCTTATTAACGTCTCCATGTTTAGTTTCCGGGAAATCAATATGCGAATTTCTGATATTTTAGTATTACTTAATAACATTTCCATAAAGTAGGTACACGAGTAGATTTTCTCCAAAGTTATAACTTTATATTTTGCTATATCATAAGTTTCCATGAAATAAATAACATACATATCTAGATTTTGAATAAGAATGCTTTACTTTTTAAAGTAACTTTTTGATCCCTAAGTCCACAAGTGAGAGCCCTCGATGTATTTATAGAGAGAACGCTATGTATCATTGTCCCATTGTCCTCGCTATTGTCAAAAGTCTTATTGATTCAAGAGACTCTCGTGATCATAAGAGTCAGCCTTCAGCTTGGCCCTCTTCATGGTAACTCCAAGTACGCATCGAATGGAACTCCTAAAGTATCAGAAATCTGACGTCATAATCCAGTGTAGTATATTTCAGGTTGTTTTTACATATATGTTTTGACTTGTTTTGTTTCACTTGTCAAAAAGTTTGTGTCGGAATTCTATCACTTATTTTCGTCCGTTTACCGCCTGTTGTCCGTCACTTCTAAGTTCTAAGTATTTTTAAAATCTTTCGAATCGTAAAATCCTTAATTTATTTATTTACTAGCATTGCCCTCGGTTTCGCCCGCGTTCAGATGACCAAAAACCTTTTACATATTAGCATACTCATACATTGCAGTTTTTGTATTTTTTCTCAGAAATGAGACATTTTCTCGCGGTAAAAAGTCCTATATGTTGACCCGGACCAGCTATCGCCCTATAAAATTCATCAAAATCCCTCCAGTGGTTTTTCTGTGATGCGCTAGCAGACAGAGAGACAAAAATTCTAAAATCTATAGATTCGGCCTCTGTATCGATAATAATATTTATTTCAATAAGATTTTCCAAAAAATATTTAATGTACAGATTCGGCTTAGTTACGATTTTATTATATGTAGGTGTAGATGCTGAGAATAGCCTGGAGTATTAAACTAAACATAATGTTTTTTTTTGTTTTAGATGGAAAGTTTAATAAAAGAAATGCAAGATCCAGAGACCGGCGTTCCAGTTCGGAGTCAAAAACTGTTTCTTAGCATTATACCTTCAGCTTTTATGGGTAAGATACGTTTTTTTTTCTTTTTTTTTATTTACAGCACACCTCACACACATACACATATGGGAGTCGGAGTCGTTGTTAACATTTTTGTTTTATTTTTACAATTTTCAGTAATTTTACAGGAGGATCATTTATACTTAGGTTCTAGGTAGATAAGATACGCTTAAAACTATTTGAATATGAGATAAATTATCCCATATTTTTTGGATAATAATACTTGAAATGATTTTTGAAAGCTATAACATGAAATGTACACAAGAAAAAGGATTTCAAAATCTATTCAAATAAGGCTAAAAAATATGTATACCTTATAATGTAATTTTAGATCTAGCGTTTACGATTCTTACCGCAAGTCTCGACAATGTCTGCGGGGTCTAATTGCAAAATCAATAGTGAACATATCTAAATATTGCGTCGGACGTTAACCGTCTCTGTCATGATTCCTTATTTAACTGAAAAAAAAAAAATTGACCACAAAAATATCTTTTTTAAAGTTTATGCTATTACTAGCATTGCCCGCGGCTACGCTCGCGTTCAGATGACCAAAAACCAAATAAAATAGAGCTATCGTTTTTTTTTTTTCAAGATAAGCTATTTTTAATAGGTTTTGCCTTATTTAGTAAGTTACCTTGCTAAAATATATATAAGTATCATCGTGATTTTATTCCAGTTTTTGTATTTTTTCTCAGAAATGAGATATTTTCCCGCGATAAAAAGTATCCTATATGTTGACTCGGATAACCATCTATCACCATACCAAATTTCATCAAAATCCCTCCAGTAGTTTTTCTGTGATGCGGTAACAGACAGACAGATAAAAATTCTAAAAACTATAGATTCGGCCTCTGTATCGATAATAATGTCTATTTGAATAAGATTTTCCAAAAAATATTTAATGTACAGATTCGACTTTGTTACAATTTTATTGTTATATGCTCTATTTCTCTTCTAAGATCCGGGGCTGAAAAAAGGTTTTTTTTAACGTTAGACACATTCGTACAATGAAGACGGTTATTTCTTTAAAATTATTAAATAATTAAAAACATTTTGTTACAGGCTATGATCTTGTCGAATGGCTTATGGATCGATTTAATCTAGATGAAACTAGTAACGGTGAGTAATAAATAAATTTTGACTAATATTTTACTCTTTATTTAATTTTTCTTTTTAGTGAATTCTTTCCTAGAAAATGATATAATAGATACGCAAATCTTGAAAGTCCTCAAAACACTGTTTCTCTTACATGGAAATTTCTCACTACATACATAATGTATGTATGTGCATCAGTAAAACCACAAAGAAAGTAGTTTAGAGCTTGGCAAGTCAATTAAAATGCAATGAGAACTGCAGCTATATAACGCATGCAAATCATTCACTGGACATTGTTGAAGTTTACATTAATAATAGACAATTGGACAATTTGTCTTTCCATTATAATCGTTAAAGTATAAGTTATAAAATCTCACACATAGTTTATTTTTTCTTCCTATTCTTCAACAGCCCAAGGTTTGATCTTCATTATAATTCGCCTTTCAGTATAACTTTAACACCTTTCGCTACAATTCAACTTTTTAGTTGCCCTTACAAAATGTGTTACCTTGGAATCCATTCCTAACAGATTCTATTAAATTATCCTTATTAACGATCATCCGCTCGGATGTGCTATCACGGCCACAGTTGCCAACCAAACCAAACAACTTTTAAATAATCCCATTAATTATTTAATATAAGTGATAGTTATTTATTTATTTACTATATTTTTTTTTCTGTCTCTGTTAATACAAAATATACTTTTAATATGTATTATAAACCTTTGAATAATTATTATTTTCCTTTTCAGTTGAAGCAATAAATTTAGCCAATCAACTCTGTCAATATGGTTACTTCTTTCCTGTCAACGATTCCAAAAACCTTGTGTTAAAGGATGATTCTTCTCTTTATAGATTTCAAGTGAGTATAATTAAGTAGAAAATGTACATATAGACTATCTGTTTGCTTGGAAATTCTTACTATATATATATATATATATATATATATATATATATATATATATATATATATACTCTCTTTGCATATCTACGCATGTACAGTTTAAAACTATTTATTACTATCATTATTAATTATTAATTACTAGCGACTTCGTCTCTAGGTGCTTCTTTAAATTATATTTTTTTTATTTATGAACCGATTACACAAATATATTAGTGAAAACCGCACCCAAATCGGGTGCGTCGTTTCTGAGATTAGCGCATACAAACGCACAGACAAACAGACAAAAATTCTAAAAATCATGGTTTTGGGTTCTAATTTGTTAATAAAACCCCCCCAATAATTGTTTTTCTCAAATATCTTCCATGTACACACAGCGATCAGTTACACTTTTAATATATGTATAGATATCTACTATCTAGGTGTATTGTAAAATTATTATAGAAATAGCCCTCACGTCTGAATTTAGTCCCTAAAAATATGTGTATTCAATAATAAAGTTTTTCATGGGACATTTCGAAATAATGATTTGATATTGTACATAATAATTAGATTTGTTATTTTATCGCGCTGTGACGGATCGAAGGTTTTCATTTAAATTCAAAATGCAGAAAGCTTATCTAGACGAACGAAGCTCTATAGGTATTCTATTTTATTCGCGTAAATTTTCGTATTAGTATTATTATTATAGTAGTATTTAGAATCTAAATTACCTTAAAATATTTTTCCACTTTTTCATTCTAAACTAGCGACTTACCCTCGCTCAGCTTAGGTGCCTTCTGCCTAGGTGCCTTACAGACCAGTACACTGTTACTCCACGCCATAGCTTATCTGTGTACTGTTTCGTATAAATCCGTCCATCGGTTTCACCGTGAAAGAGTAACAAAAAAATATGCCTGTATTCAGCCCTTTTTAACGTCCCACTGCTGGCCACGGGCCTCCCTTCAATATGAGGAGGATCATACCATAGTCCACCACGCTGGCCAAGTGCGGGTTGGCGGACTTCACATGTCTTTCGAAAACTTGCTAGGTTCTCTCAAACATGCAGGTTTAGTCACGATGTTTTTCCTTCACCGTAAGGCAAGTGGTAATCATGCTAGAAAATGATTCGCACATAAAAATATCAGAGGTGCGAGACCCGGAATTTGAACCCGCTTCACTCGGTTTCCCAAGCGAGCGCGTTACCACTGGACCACCACTGCCTTTTTATATACACATATAAAATAATATAAACACAAGTTATTAAATGTACACTTTAACATTTATAATAGTCATTCTAAATATAAGTTTATTTGTAACATACAGAGTCCGTACTATTGGCCGTGGCAAGCGCCGCGCGTGGCCGGTGCGGGTTCGAGCGCGCCCACGCTCGGGCCCGACAACGTAGAGTATGCGATATACCTGGTAAAGCGCACTCTGCGTAATAAACAACGCCACGGCCTCGAAGAGTACGAACAAGAAGCTCTTGCTAACTTGAAAAAGAACCTAGCTGCTAAATGGGACTTCATTACTATGCAGGCTGAGGAACAGGTCAGTTTAAGCTAAAATTTATTCTCTGTTCAAATAAACTAAAAGAAAAGATAGATAATTATTACCTTGGTGACAAACGACACTTTAGGATCTATGCACACCACATTTATTTAACTAGCCGACTAAGATGCCTAAGCGGCTTTCGCGTTGATAAACTTCAAAGGATCTATGTGCCTACACTACGTTTCAGGAAAACGTAGACCATGTGCGTATTGTGAAAAACTTAAAAAACGTTTTGCTGCGCTGATAAACTAAGAAACTACTTGTATCTGTATCTACGAGTAGGTGTACAAGCGCGCGTCGACAGCGATTTCATTACGCCTAGAACTTGTGTCGACAGGGCGTTAAAAAGTCGTCGTGTGTACTCTATGATACAGTCCACATAATATTGTAAGCAGCAAAAATACTTTTCGAGCCGGTTGTAGCTTTCTCACGGACAGACTACACTGTCGCTCTTTAAAGTAAATTGTTGATTCAAAAATGCTTATTTATATACTTGAACAAAGTTTAATTTCATCTCATTTTATAGAATATGTTAAAATTAAAATTCTAGGTACGATTAGCAAAAGAGCGTAAAAAAGGCGATAAAATAGTGAGCGACAGCCAGGAGCGTGCGTATTGGCGAGTCGCGAGGCCGCCGCCCGGCGGCGCGAGCGCGCTCGAGCCGTGCCCCGTGCCCGTGCGCGCGCGCCACCCGCGACCTAAGAAACGGTCTATACAACAAATTACTCGAGAGGTATGTATATAATAAATATAATACTTAAATATTAAACTTAAATATAATACTATATACATTATACATACAAACAAAAATATTAATATTTAAATTTTTTGAAATTGCCGCTTAATATTGAGTGCGTATCATATTTAAGTAGGTACTAAAATAATCTAAATATTTGCATTTATGGTCGATACGCGTATAACACTTTAATAAATGTTAATAAGCACTGCTACATCTGAATGTAAACACTGAACACTCTATTCCTCTCTGCCTTAAACTCCGGTAAGACCATAATTCGACACAGCCGTTGAGCGATAAGGTGCAGGCCAACTCTTTGAGATTCGAGAGTTGTGTGTGTAACAACACCAACTTCCTAACTCCGAGCTGTTACTGAGAATTTGTTGATAGACACACCCAAGGTACACTTGGATTGTAACTGACCTTGGACTCCAACCCAAGATCTCTGGATTTATAACTCTACATGCTAAAGTTGACCAATGAAGCAGTCATGAGTCAAATAAATTAATATATATTATGTACATATTTGTAAAGTTCGTTTTTCTATTTATTTAATATTTATTATGTTATGCCTCTATACAAAGTACTAATTTTTTATACGAGTATTATACTAATATTAAACAAAAAGTAATGACAAGTTAATGTTTATAATTAAACGTATAAATACTAGAAACAAATATTCTATCTGCAAAACTACATTCTATACAACTCCAATTAAGAGAGCGTCATTTAAGCGCCTGCTTACTAGAGTTGCCGTCGGGCATACAAGTACGCTTGAGTCGCGCTGTACGCTGAATGAAATATTTGCACGAAATATTAAAAAACAAAAAGAAAGATTTGTAAACATAAATATCATTTTCATCAGAATGTGCCATTTCTTATAATATAGATACTACACTAATATAATAAAAATATAGGAAAATAGCTATGAAAGGGACAAGTTCAAAATAGGACAAATTAAATTTACGGCACTAGGAAACAAGTACTTGGTAGATTTTTGTTTTCTGAATTCTTACAAAATTTACTCAGTAAAAATGTTGAGATACATATCATTTGATTTTCTAATTAAGGAGTAAAAGTATTTTATTCGTTGTTTGTAAAGTTATTTTATTAGATTAATTAAATAATATTTGGCAGTTATTTTATCGCTAACTGATTAATGGTTTAAATACTTAAAAGGTAAGTGCACAATATTCAATTAAATAAAGTTATTCGAAAATCTTTTTGCTGTAAAGATATTTTCAAAATAGTATTAAAGAATTATTTGGGACAACTAAATAGTCCTTGAAGGTGACGAATAAGTAGTAGTTGAAGCAGGACTTAAATACCCCATTAAGACGGGGGAGATTCTGTTAGGTTTTAGTACTGGCTTTTCTAGCGGATAAGTCCAACATAATCACCTGTATGTATACGGGTGGTATATGTATATAATATATATATTATTTAATGAAGGTGTATTAATGAACGATTATAAAACATAACACCTTCTATAATAATTGCTAAGAATTTGTTTATAATATGTCCCTTACATGACCATCAATGTCCCATTGAAGGCCGCGCCGTCGTAAGGGGACATATCTTAAGAATTTTTAAATTTGACTTTAATGCTACAATTTTTAAAAAACATTGTTTTGGTTTATATTTTGAAAGATAAACAGATATAGTTACCTACCTTATATACAAAAGTTTTTTATTGGTATCTCCTTGAGTGTGATTCTCTTCTCTTTTTGTACATGAGAACAAGAAGTACAATATTAAAAAGTTTAGCTGATTTAAAATCACAGATGATATTTATGGTCCATATGAACTATCAAGTAGTGAAAGGCTTGTGAGCTACATTATGTTCTAAAATAATCTTTACTTGCAGATCGAGCACTTGAAAACTAGTCTGGATCGTACGAGGGTGAAGACTTCAATTGCCTTGGAGGCCCTCATGGCCTATTCGGAAACCTTCGCACCGTATGATCCGTGGCTCACTCAACCGCAGCCGTCCAACCCTTGGATCAGCGATGACACATTCTTCTGGCAGATTAACAGTCCTATGTAAATTTCTTATAATTTGTTTTTTCTATTCCTTCTGTACAAAAATATCAATATCTTTAACATGATATGGATTGAATTTGTTATTTTTTACAATTCACGAAAAAATTGAGATTTGGTAGATACAATACATACAATACTCGTATTACGTATGCGTATAAATCATTATGGAAACAATGAAGAACATAAGTTGGTCCTATAAGTTAAAATAAATCTAGATTATTTTATATGGCTGTCGTAATTTGTTATACTTTGAATAATTGTTTTTTTTTAAATAACACTATAGGTTTATATATATAGCTAAACAGATATAGATAAACAGTTAAATAGCACATATAATTCTTCTTTAATTTTTTAGTTGGATTCATTGAAATAAAAAATGACATTAAAAGCCTTATTAATTATTATTATTATTATAAACGTTATTAAAAGAAATAAAATTAATCAACATCATGAAATGCATTATTATATAGAGACATACTCGTACATGCAAGAATGTTAACAGTATAAAAAGCTATGCGAAAAACTACACGATAGCGGAAATCTCAAAGAAATAATAAATAATTGTATTTTTTGATATTAATACAGTAGTTTTAACTTACGGATTTATAGTAGATTATAGTAGATACGGATTTATGCTAGTCCGCATTGCCCGCGGCTCCGCCCGCGTTCAGATGACCAAAAACCAAATTCTTAGGTTTTACATATTAGTATACTCTTACAATGTAGTTTTTGTATTTTGCTCTAAAATGAGATATCTTCCCGCGGTAAAAAGTATCCTATATGTTGACCCGGATAACCAGCTATCATCATACCAAATTTCATCAAAATCTGTCCAGTGGTTTTCTCGTGATGCGGTAACAGACAGACAGACAAACAAAAATTCTAAAAACTATACATTCGGACTCTGTATCGATAATAATGTAATTGAAATCAATTAGATTTTCCAAAAAATATTTTATGTACAGATTCGACTTAGTTACAATTTTATTATAAGTATGTATAGATAAATTAGTAAAAACCAATAAGTAATTTTTTGTACGTTTCAGCGTTGAGGTGCCAAGCGATAAGCGCGTCCAACGGTGGGCTTTATCTATAGAAGAATTAGTATCAGACCCAACTGGTCTTCAAGAATTCACCAGTTTTTTACGAAAAGAATATTCTCACGAGAATATTCGCTTTTGGCTTGCGGTTATGGATTTACGGCGGAGTAGTATTAAACAAATACCTAAAAAGCTTGAGGAAATTTTTGAGTAAGTGATAATAAAATAATTATTTTAAAATTTCGTCTTGGTCAAATTGAGATGAATAAACTTTAAAAAATATATTATCCATTACTGGAGCAAAAGGGAAAGATGAGAACTTGTAATAACTAGAGAACTTACCCTTGCTTCTCTGGAGCGCATCCCTAGTATGATTCATCTACGTACTAAATTTCACCCAAATCTATCAGTTTCAGAGTTATATCAAATATGTATATCCAAAAACACATTCAAATTTTCGCATTTATAATAGTAGTACTATCAGTTAAAAGTTAACTGTTATAATTTATTTATTTTTACTAGGGAGTTCCTAAAGCCCGGTGCGCCCTGTGAGATCAACATCGACGGAGCGACTGCGGAGCGCGCGGTCGAGGGCATCCGCAGCGGCTCGCGGTTCGCGCTCGACCACGCCGCTGACCACGTTTACGGGTTGCTCCTCAAGAAAGATTGTTACCCTCGCTTTATACGCTCCGACCACTTCCAGCGGCTGCTGGCTGAAGGGCGGAACGTTTATCAGAAAAAAGCAAAGTATGATATGCTTATTAATCGATAAATTTAATGAAACCAAAATATTTTCTAAAATAGTGTAAAATAATTCTTTAGTAACTTCCGTTCACAAAGAATGAGAGGGCGCCACACGTATCGCCTATTTACATTCAGTCTGAGATTAAGCAATTTATTGTGATATCTCTTTTATACCTGGTTTTTTGCTTTTATTGTGGTCTCATCTTACCTGTGCAATGTATTGTACCTATAAGTTAGACCAGCTGAAGGCAGAATTGAGAAGGAGAGGTGCATCTGCTGGTGGTCTCGACTGATTGATAGATCTACACACAGCTTAAAGCGCTGGTCGTAAAAGCGTGAAATTTGAAAGACGTATTCCTAATATGATGTAGGCATCCGATAAGAAAGATTTTTTCAAAATTCATACCATAAGTGGGTAAAATAGGGGATAAAATATTGTATGAAACTCTGTCGTTCTTAATGTAAATTACACACAAAGTGGTGTTTTGCTTTAAGTTAAAAAATAAGAAATATATTGAATTGATTTATTTCGAAATTCATCCCTTAAGGGGATAGAGGCAGTGGTAGCTCAGTGGTAACGCGCTCGCTTGGGAAGCCGAGTGAAGCAGGTTCAAATCCCGGATCTCGCACCTCTGATATTTTCATGTGCGAATCTTTTCTAACATGATTACCATATATCTTACGGTGAAGGAAAACATCGTGAGGAAACCTGCATGTCTGAGAAAATTTAGCAAGTTTTCAATATACATGTGAAGTCCGCCAACCCGTACTTGGTCAGCGTGGTGGACTATGGCTTGATACGTTTTGAATTTTGGTCGTCTTATTGCTTTAGCCCACAATTTCTTCAGTTTTTGTCTTTTAGGAACAAACGATATCCATTTTTTTTGCATCCTGGCACTGCACAATTTGTCATATTGATTAAATTTAATTAATTAAAATTTTAAACAAAATTAAAAAAATCCATCCACACTATAGAGCTTTACAATATACTGAGTGAGAGCTATAGTGATCGCGACATCCGGCGGGAGAAAAAGGCAAAATTCTTCGCCATTAATGTAATATTAGTATGACGTGTAAAATTAATATATAAATGACCACCAGAACCCGCGGCTTCGCTCGCGCTAAAACTACAAAAAAAAACTAAAAAGATAGGTTTCATACAAACTTTCATCTCCTATTTTACTCCCTTATGGGATAAATTTCAAAAAATGCTAAAACACGTATTTAGTTAATTGTAATTAAGAGCATTAATACAAAGTTTCAAAGAATTCTGGTAATATTTTTTTTTGGGTTGTATTATGTAAAATGTTTTCCCGTGGAGGAAAGATAATCTCCCGCGGTAAAAAGTTGCCTATGTCACTCTCCAGCCCTCCAACTATATATCTTCACATAAAAAATACGCCAATCCATCACTCTGTCTCGACGTGAAAGAAATACAAACAAACACACTTTCACATTTATAATATTAGTATAGATTTCTTATTACCGGTACAGGGAAAATATTTAAATATTAATATTAAATTATATACGAAGCAATTCTCTAACAGCTAACTCTATACTTACAGATTTTTCAACTTCGGTGGTCAAGTAAAAAAGAAGCCAGGTCCGACGTCCGGCGGCGGCGCATTGAATCGGCGCCGCGGCTCCGACCGCTCGTTGTCCGGCTCCGCGCATGAGCTGGCAGTGTGCGCCGCCCAACCACGCACGACCGAGCCGCCGCCACATAGCCACAGCCAATCCAACTTGTGTGATATACCGTTTAGGTGAGTTTACTTAATAACATTTAAATCAATTAAAGTTTATTTGAATTATAAATGGAAAGTCACTTTAATATTGAATATATGTTTAGAGATCCTCTCGATGATGATACGGCGGATGTGCTGCCGTGGGAGAGCACATCCCGAGAGAGCTCGACTGTGTCGAGACGGCGGCAAGACTCGGCCGCCGACTCCGGCAGCTCATCCTCTGACGTCAGCGCCGCTGTGGCGACGGCTGAGAGGACGCGCCGCCTCCCACAGCAGAGCACGTTGGACGGCGGGCTGCGAGGCGCGCCGCCGCCTCTGCGCCGCCTCTCCGCCGTGGAACCGCGCCACCTCACGCCGCTAGCCTCGCCCCCGCACTCGCCGCGACAGCTTCGCGTCGCACCCACCCCTGCACCGGCGCCCGCCCCGCCCGTGCACACCGCACCGCCACCCCACCACCCCACGCCTACTATAAGTGTCAGTTCAGCCCCGGACGATGAATCGGCTGACTCGCCCTCGCGTACCGCCTCCCCCGAAGACCGCCGATCCATCCCTCACTCAGAGGAACCCTCATCAGTATTTGCGTCAGCGGACGCTACGCCTACCGAACCGGCGATGGCTTTTGGCGAGCGATGTGCGATGATCGTCGACTCTTCTGACGCGAGGACTACAGTTACAAATATTGAAAAGCAAAGTTCAATCGAAACGCCAATCACGTCTACGGATGACGTGTCACAAACGGAATCGAAAGAGTCGCATAGGGATTCAAAGGACGAATCACGCGAAGACTCGAAAGAGGAGAGAACGAGATCTTCCGAGGACGAGGTTGCATCTGTGCGTTTATCGTCCCGGGAGTCCTCGATCACGAGAGAGGTCACCGTCACTCCTAGCAGGAACAGCGAGGAGAAGAAGAAGGAAACGAGTCGAGCGGAAAGCGAGGGCGCTGTGGCGCCGCTGGCGGTGTGCGAAGACATCGTCGACGACGAAGTAGACAAAGTGCCTTCGGTCCCGGCGCGACTCTCCGGAGATTCTAGAGCGTCTGAGTCAGACGCGATCAAAAAAGTTGCTCATAGAGACGAACTGTCGTCGGTTTCTAAATCCGATATTGTTAGGCGTGATAATAAAAACGAAGTTAGTGAGCGAAAGCAGCGAAACGACATTTGTCCTTGGGAGGACGAGTAAGTACTCACTTTACGCTCGCCAATGTTCGTAGAAGCATAGGGTAGGTAGTAGTGCCTAGTGTTAGTAGTTAGTTCTCATTTAAGTACATCATATAATATTTTAAGTCCTATTTTGAAATCAATAATGATATGACGTTGGATAACATTGCAACTTGAATTAATCAATTCGTTTTTTTAATTTATTAAACTATAGAGGATTAGACAGACTGTCCGGTGGTCTATTATTTCTGTACGTGTGTTGGATATCCACATTGTATCAATGTCAAATCACTATTGAAAGAAAAGTTTGATTGAGGGTATGGCATGGTTAAATATGTTTAATTAAGATTGAATCAAAAGTTTTTGTCTATAGCCCCATGCCCTTTGACCACTATCATTGATCAAGATTTAATTTAATTTGTTTAGTGACAACGCCACAGCATGACGATTGTTTTTTTTTCTTTCTTCGAATAAAACTCAAAAATCTTTGAATTTTAGTATTGCTTGCTATCTCTATCCAATATTACAAGCTACAATCACAGTCCCATTGTACAAAGTGGCATAGCACTCTAATGTACCTAGCCTATGAAGTTAGTGTTCATGACAGTACATTAATCATCATGACTTTCAATTTGATAATTTTATCATTTTTTTAATTATTTATTTAATATCATTGTATGTCAATTGGTATATTAAGTATATATTGTTCATAGATTGAAAGCATTACGTATTTAAAGTCTAAGATTTTTGAACTGAAATAGTTGTAATTAAAAATAAATATATATTTCTTTTCATTGATATTTCCAATCTAAGAACAAGAAAAATAATATTTTATTTTTTATATGTATTAATTATTTTGTTTATATTTTTGTTTTGTATATACATACATACATAGTTCGACCTCTTCTGCGATTCATTTGTAATAACTGTTTATAGTATCAATAGGTATTTAGATAAAAATTATACAAATTTTAGTAAAACTAAATAGTATAAAACGTTTTGTTTATGAATGTTGTTTTGTTTTTATCCTCATTAGTATAAACACTTTTTTCCATTTTCTATATGATTATAAACTGCAATAGATTAATATATTTATTATTAGTTTTATTAGAGAGCTTGACGTAAAGTTTTTTCATTTCTGCTTTGTATTTTTTTTTTGAATTTTACAGAGTTCCTTTACCAATTAATTTAAAATTATAATAGTATAATTTGCTTCAACTAAAACTTCAATATGTAGTATTAGAAAGAGATAAAAATATAAGTCATTCCTTGGTTCAGTCGACATTTTTCATTTTTTAATTGTACTACCATTTTTAAAATTCTAAATTCTTTAAATTATTAACAAATCATTTTACTTATCTCGTCTCTTTTCATATTTGCATATACTTTGAATTATAAAGTAAATAAAGAAGTCGAGAGGTGTCGTAGGACACTTGGTAGGAACGAAGTTCCTTTCGCTGTCTGCCTTTGGCTCATAAATAAAGTCATAAAAATTGTCACGGGTATCAAGCAACGTACATTTTAAATACTGAAAGCTCATCGAAGAAAGGCTTGCACAAAGTGCACTCGAATTTCTTACAATATACTTAACACTTACGATCGCCTAGTAATTAAAAGTGTCGTGACGGATATATTACACTTTTTCCTGTCTAGCTCTTATTCGCCAAGTGTTTCGAGTATAACATGCGATAAAGAACTTCGTTCTAATAAAATTAAGACTCGAATTTCTTACAATATACTTAACACTTACGATCGCCTAGTAATTAAAAGTGTCGTGACGGAAATATTACACTTTTTCCTGTCTAGCTCTTATTCGTCAAGTGTGTCGAGTATAACATGCGATAAGGAACTTCGTTCTAATAAAATAAATATTAAAAGAAAATGATAATAAAGAAAATTTATTTAGTAAAAATTTACGGTTATCGTTTATTTAAATGAAATGTTTGAAAATAGAACTAACCTTAAATACAGAGCTACACTGTAAATAATAAAGTTTTTTTTATTTCTTTTCAGGAACTCCTGCGAGAGTGATGCTCCATTTGTTAAAACTTACGCAACACTCGGTTACTTATAATTTACGTAGGCGGATGTCAAGGATATTTTATGATGTCAGGGTTATAGACGAAAAATATTTAATTTTTTATCTTAGACCCTATGTTTCGATTATCACAGAGTTAGATCATTATTGTGTAATTATATGAATATTTTGAAGTAAATGATCGTTAATTATTAGAAATAACAGCCTTTTTATTTAGTTTAACCAAAAAAAGCTTTTAGCAATTGCTATACTGTCTAAAGATTTTTGTCTACTCACTTACTGGTTACAAATTGGAACTCAAAAAACTGTCAGTTTAGGGTTTATTTTTCCCCATACATACACTGTGGTACCACGCTTAGGTAGACCCTATAAATTATTACTTAATAAATTATGATTATTATATTATACTAGCATTGCCCGCGGCTCCGCCCGCGTCCAGATGACCAAAAACCAAATTCTTAGATTTTACATATTAGTATACTGTTACAATGCAGTTTTTGTGTTTTTGTATTTTTTCTCAGAAATGAGATATTTTCCCGCGGTAAAAAGTATTCTATATGTTGACCCGAATAACCAGCTATCATCATACCAAATTTCATCAAAATCTGTCCAGTGGTTTTTTCGTGATGCGGTAACAGACAGACAGACAGACAAAAATTCTACAAACTATAGATTCGCGCTCTGTATCGATAATAATGTCTATTTCAATTAGATTTTCCAAAAAATATTTAATGTTCAGATTCGACTTAGTTACAATTTTATTATATGTATAGATTAGGTTACACTTCAAGAGATACATTAAACTCAATTTACAAGAATAAGATATTTAACAGCACCAAAGAAGCAAGTCATGTATTCCTATATGTCATGTATGCCCTTTTTAATGTCCCGCTGCTGGGCACGGGCCTCCCTTCAGTACGAAGGGGATCAGGCCATAGTCCACCACATTTGCCATGTGCGGGTTGGCGGACTTCACATGTCTTTTGAAACTTGCTAGGTTATCTCAGACATGCATGTTTCCTCACGATGTTTTTCTTCACCGTAAGACAAGTGGCAATCATGTTGGAAATGATTTGCACATGAAAATATCAGAACTGCGAGATCCGGGATTCGAACCCGCTTCACTAGGTTTCCCAAGCAAGCTTGAGCAAGCAAGTTATGCTGTACCATAATTTACAAAAATCAACTTTGAACCACAATTTATAACATTATTCTAATTCTTTCAATAAATTGTATAAAGATACCTTATCAGTGCACTGTATCTACGACAATATTTACAATGTCATACAATAAAAATATCAATTACATATTACTGACATCGTGGTGATAAACTATAGGAAAAACATCATTTAGATTAAAGAAAAACAACACAAGGTAATGTTAAAATAATTGAAACGAATAATATTAGTGGAATTTTAAATATATTAGTGGAACTTATCTATATGTATAATCCCTCCACGACCGCGGACACGCCGGCGTTACAGTTAACAATAGATTTCTAAGAAATTTAATTGATTTCTTAGAAATTTACCTGGAGGTGATAAAGACCCATCATCCATGATGCGTTTTGGTCTTTTCTCCATGAGGACTTATCAGAAAAACAGAAAAAAATCAGAAAATTCAGGATTATAAATCGATTTGCTGTTGATATTCATATAAAATAAATAAAGATAAAAAGGACCCCGAAAAGTCGATGCATTTGCTTTATTAAATCAACTTTCCTTAATTTTAGGTTTGTAACATTGTAACAAACGATTAGTTACAGAAATTTGAACTGTAAACAAAACCAGACCAAAGACAATATAGATCCAGTAAATTTCTTTATGGGGTATCTGTACGGTATCTTATAATATTAAATGACGAATTCTTGTATAAATTTGTTTCGTGTACCTTGCATCCGGCTCTGACGCTTTTGATCAAATTTTTGTATTTAGATAAGGTTTTGCTCTTTAACTTTATCTATATTGGAGTCTGGTACACCAATATACCAGCCACCAGCTCTGGCACCATAGTAGTAAAAATGGTAGTGGTATATATTATATCTCAAATCCAGAAAGTATGAAGTTGTCTTAAAATTGAGTAATTACATGTGGGTCCAACCTAATTCTTTTTGTTTATCTTGCTTCACCTTAGGTATATAGGTAGGTAATACTATGCATATACCTACTCGTAAGTGATCACAAGTTTTTTGCTTTGATTTAACAATAATTATGTGACCAATCGACATCTACAACCATTTTTGCTAAATTTCAGGACAGACTAAACATGACAATAATGAAAGCCATAGAAAAACATCATTATTTATTTAAAAAAAATGTTTTAGATAAAAAAAACAATAAGAAAAAAATAGACATGGAATAATCCAGACAAATAATACTGCTAATACTTATGATATTCATAATTTTGAATCGATGGGACGATGATTCATATTTTTAAACCTTATACTAATTATTTTACAGTATAAAATATGATACTGTCTACTGTCTAGAACACGTCGCGGCAAATGCCGTTAGCATCCTTCTCTTGCCCCGCTGGACAGTTGGAAGGAGCAACAATCATATTTCTCATAGTTATCGACGGCTTTACCTCTGGAGGTTGTTCTATTGTGTTTGTATCAGTAGCTTCAGTTTCTTCGGATACTTTAGTTTTTGTCTCTTCTACCTCATCGGGGAATACTACACTATCGCTGTCAGCCATTATTCTAGAAGAAAACAAGATATATTGAAATTATTTTGTGCGAATCAATTCGTATATAATGTAATAAGAAGGTAGGTGTTATCCTAAGCCTTAACACGTAGGCTGCTGTTTTTCGACGTACGTACCATACGAGGAAATCGCTTCATGCAATATTCTGACGTATATATAAATTATTGAACTGAAATTTTACTAATAAACACTTTAAATCGCCATATTTTTTATATAATCTAATTCATTGTAAAAATATCACTTAAAAGTCAATTCCTCTCATTGTTAATGTTCATAAAAAGTTTACCGGAGTCACGTTGTGTAATAGATGGCCGAATAGTATCCGGGTTAATACTCTTAAGTAGTTCATTTTTTGTGACTGTCGAGGCGCAAGCGCAGGCTGGTCACGCGAACCAATCAATTGTCTATGACTTATTGAATTCTAATTATTAGAATATTATGCAATATTAAACTGCGATTGAGCTACACATATTATCAAATATTTGCCCCTAGTTGAATCAAAACTCGTCGACTGAAAATGTTTTTATTTTTTCCATAGATATATTATAATAAAGCAACCGACAAAAATGGTTAGGTAAAAATATCCGTCGACCATCACTAATATTGATAAGTTAATAGTAAAATGAGCCCACACGTGTTCTTTTGCATAAACACAGTTTGTGGGCCGGATACTACGTCGAGATATACCAGTAAAAAAGGAATTTATATACATACACATATTATGTACATATTTAAATCTATCATAATTAGGGAAAATAACACAAATATGGTAATTAGAGAAGCTATAACGAGAGATCGCAAATTAAAGGTAACACAATAAATAAGCCCTAAAAACTTTATTTTCTCAAAGACAATGAAACATATTCCATAATATTCTGACCTTTTGTAATTGTATGTAAAAATTAAAGGCACAATCTCAACGTGGTGAGAATATTGCACGTATTACAAAAGACGTTCACAAAACCAAAAATATGCTTGACGACGAGGAATAAGAAAGTCAAACTAAATACAGTGGTAAGAATATCAATAGGAACAGCTAATTTTTAGCCACTTATTATCGTATAATATTATTTATTAGCACAGAACGTAAAGAAAGAAAAGTAGCACTCACTGATTGTACTCGTATGTAGGAAGTCCGTATTGTAAGCAACTTCACACCAAGCCCGCTAATCTATTTGTGAATATTTTCTTTAGTACGTCTACTTATATCTAATGGACAGACGATTGTTTATCTGAAAAAAACCCTAAGCCAACGTCAGTACATATTAGTCATCGAACACTCCCCTCGTAAATTTGTATTCCTTGAAATTTACTCACAATTTAACTATGACGACACCTTATCTGTACCGTACTTGAGATAGCTTTATATCTTTCATAAAATATAATTATTATTTAAAATTTAAGTATGTAACACAGGTACATAAATCTATGTCGATCATAATATTACACACTAGCAGATCCCGCGGCTTCGGTGCGTTAAAACTACAAAAAAAACTCTTAAAACGTAGGTTTCATACAAACTTTTATCCCCTATTTTATCCCCTTATGATGAATTTCGAACAATACTAAAACACGTACTTATTTAATTGTATTAAAGAGAATCAAAACCAAGATTCAAATAAATATGATCAAAAAATTTTTTACGGGTTGTATTTTTAACGTATTTTCCCGTGGGAATTAGTTAATCTCCTGCGGTTAAAAAAAACCTATGTCACTCTCTACTCTCCAGCCCTCTTACTATCTCCACACAAAAAATCGCGTCAATCTGTCACTTTGTTTCGACGTGATCACAGAAATCTTAATAATTAGCTTATTATTAAGATTTCTGTGGACGTGATATAAGGACAAACACACAAACAAGCAAACAAACACTTTCACATTTATAATATTAGTATGGATATCTAAATTATATAAAAAATATTATAATGCGTAAAGTAATTGTATTTCTGTGTGACGATCTTTAAAAACGTAAATCTTTAGGTAATAATCAATATATCAAGCCGAAGAGATGGTTCTTTTGTTAGGACTTAATAATAATAGGTAATTCGAAAATTTTCTTTTGCATTTTATGCTGTTACTATTAAAAAAAGCAAAAAAATAATAATCGCCCATAAATCAAACTTCATCGATCAATCATCAGGTAATGTGTTCATAGTGCATATTCACAGATAGCGCTGTTTATTCTTTATGAGTTCTTTATCTTGGTAAAAACTGTAAAGGAATTTTATTATATTCAACATACTATTTTAGAACATACATATATAAATATAAAATTAAATAATTCGAAATTTTACGGATCATCGCCATTTATCGTGTATTCAAACAAACAGAAATAGCTCAAAGAATGTGAAGCGTTGTCGAATTTCTTTATACGGGATGGGGCAACTGTTTCATTTGTGGTATTACTATTAAACAGAAATTTAGTTACAGTAGGCTCCAGTTATTTTATTTAGTACTATGTATATCTAGTAATAAAATTTGTACAAATATAATTACAACAAGGCAGTTTTTATGCAGGAATATATCGCTTAGTTGTATGGCTACATAGTGCATACATATAAAAACCTATCCTTTATCGGACAGATAATAAAAATATAACTAAATAATTTTTTGTCGGTTAAGTAAATCCATATATCATCATATATCCTGGGTTGAATGCAAGGCGTAGAGCATAAATAGATAGACACAATAAACATACTAATTAAACATATATACATATTATTATACAATGTTTTTTTATTATATTTTTTTTGGGTTACTTTTTACATTTCAATGAACTCTATATTCCGCGAAATATGATTCATTTATTAAGTTTTTGTCTAAAAGACATTAAAAGACTTGACGACACGTTTGGTAGTGTGTAGTGACCCTACTTACTGTGCCAGCGGATACGGGTTCGAGTCCCGCTGGGGACATTCATTGTGTGATGAGCACGAATGTTTGTACTCCAGTCATGGCCGTTTATATTTATAGTATGTATGTATTTAAAGTTTATATACTATGTGTATTGTATCAACTATCTGGTATCCATAACACAAGCCTCGTAGCTTACAATGGAACTAGATGGTGTTGTGTGTTAATGTCCCAAAATATTTATTTATTAAAAGAGAATCTTTCTTCGCAATGTAATGAAGACGGATTCTGAGAAATTTAACGACTATACATATTAATAACGTGAAACTAGCGACTGAAACCTTAAGTCAAAAATTATTATTGATAGAGTCCTGTATCACACATACACAATTAAATAGTAAATTTAGCATAAGAAGTAAAAAAAAACTGCAAGTAATGCACCGAATTAATAAAATCCTTAATGTATTACTTAACAGCTTACTCACTTATTTTTATATTATATTAATATTATATTAATTAAAATAAAACTACATGATATTAAAATAACACTTATAATTAAACTAGCGACTCACCGTTGCTTCGCTCGGGTTCGTCCCTAGGTACGTTTTAACGGTTAGTATGAAATAGAATTATTAGAATTTCTCGGTTATTCTGTACTATAATATGCATGTAATAACATATAAACCTTCCTCTTGAATCACTCTATCTATTAAAAAAACCGCATCAAAATCCGTTGCGTAGTTTTATAGATCTAATCATACATAGGGACATACAGACAGCGGAAAGTGACTTTGTTTTATACTATGTAGAGATTAAGGTTGGCTTCGATATTGTAAGTTAAATAAAGTCAGATCGGTGTCGGGAACCCGTTGCTCAATTAAACTATCAGGATCATCGTTTTAGCTTATAAAATTATAATTTCTCTTATTAAATTGTATTAAGCATCGAATACTTTATTTTGTGCTCGCATTAAGCCCCACGAGATTCGTAACGAGCATGATGATGAGCAGAATGTTGATTTTCCGTCTTATTATGATCTTCTTGGGCACAAACTAAATCTGGTTAGTGGACGCTTGTATTATGTTTTATTTCTATTACGTGCACAAGACACACTTAGACCAGTCTCGTATATGTGAATATACGAGAACTCGTATTTCTTAAGGTCATAAATAATTATCATACTTTTAAATTAAATTTATATACAAATAGGTAACATTATAATGTTAAATACATGTTTTATGTAAATTTAGTTAGTAAGCCTTTATAATAAATAAATAAATAAACAAACAAACAAACAAACAAACAAACAAACAAACAAACAAACAAATAAATAAATAAATGAACGGTTTTCCGTCACTATTATCTACCACTAGTTCCAATATTGTATTCTGTCCTTTTTAATGTCCCATTACTGGGCACAGGCCTCCCTTCAATACGAAGGGGATAGGGCTATTAATCCACTTCGCAGGTCAAGTGCGAGTTGGCGGACTAGTTTGTTTTATACATTACAATATTCATTTTCGTTCTACTAATCCCAATTTTACTATGATTTTTTTACTTAATTTTTATTTCTTCGCGTGTTTTCTTAATTACAATTTTTTCACATTACTGCTTTGTTCTTTTTAACTTATGGACTCGTTTTCTATTATGGCGACCTCCCACTGACATGCCAATTAATATGTCAGTGGGTTAATTAATGACGATTACTCGTACATACTTCATGCGTGCTATTTTGCCGAAAAAATGTTGTATATAGTCCGGGAACCATGGTCTATTTTTATAAGTGATAGGTATCAAGCTATTTTTTGTGAGTAGCTTTATTATGATGAGATGCACAACCTTTTCTCTTACAAAAATTCTAGGTAAAGTTTGTGAGTTTGTGACGTTGTAGAGGGTAATCTCTGGATGTACTGAACCGATTTAGATAAAATTTGGTAAGAACCCTAGGAAGGATAAAGGATACTTTTTATCCCATAAATCACCCCTTAAGAGGGTGAAAATGAGGATGAAAGTTTGTATTGGGAAGAAAGCTAGGGACTAACCCGAGCGAAGCGAGGGTGAGTCGCTAGTAGATAATATTTCAGGTAGCTATCATCTTAGTGAAAGACGGTGATTTTTTTTCTACTTTATATATAAATATATGTAATGATAGTATATGTAGGTAGCTAGTTTAAAATAAAATTGTACACTTCCATCCAATGGCCGATTATAAGAAGTGTTACAAAAACAAGTTACATTCGTCAGGATATTTAATAAACAACAAAACAAGTTTGATCGGTTTTAATTTATTTTGCAGCTGACTCAAACATATGAAAATAACACAAAATTTTGTTGTTTTATATTTTATTACTAATAAAGCAAAACGTACAATATATTTAGTTACCTAAAACATTAGACTCAATATTCAAAATCATGACACAAACGAACACACAACTCAACTAAGTAGTATTTACATTATATTTAAATTCCCAGGTAACTAAACTAAACCCCCCCAATGTGCGTTCACCTTGTCGTGGTGGGGGGGGGGGGGGGGTTTGTAGTGCCCGGCAACACAGCCGGGCGCGAAGCCAAGAAACGCATAGGGAGGTGGCCCTCTTCGGAGGGCGGTGTACCATGCGGGTTGCTCCTGGTACTTCTCTGATAGCAGAGTGGACCGTGGAGCAACCCCATGGTTGTTGTGGTCTGCTTCGGCAGACCTGCCGTCGGGGCGTCGTAGTTGAATGCGTAAGCGATCCTGCGACGCCCCATTAAGCCGGGGGAAGGTTTTCTTGGGTTTTAGTGGGTAGTACAGACTTTGCCAGTGATTCCTACACCTCGTGCGTAAATGCATTTCCCAACTTTAAAAAAAAGGTAACTAAACTAAAAGCTAATAATAATATTGGCATAAAATAATCTTCATATTCTAAAATAAATACTTAATCGTATCGATCGATATTACTTAGAGGTGATTTAAAACTCATTTCATAATGGTAAAGAATCAAAATTTTATAAGTAAAATTGTTGATCTAGTACCAATAATCGTTCATATTTGTGACTTTCGGCTTCTGACTGCTTAAGTACTGGTTCTGAAGGGATCTTATTAGAAAGGTGCATTACCCTAAGTTACACAGTCAGTAGTACGGAAGATGTACTGCCCCAATTGATAGGGAAATGGGCACAGAGATGATGATCACCTTAAGTTACACTACCTACTTTTAATGCCGCTATGTAAAATAATTTCTATAAGCATGTAAAGTGAGGGTGGGTGTCAACTGATAAAATATAGCATCAAAAAATATCACGGCACACTCCGTCTGCCCCCATTTGTTGCCCTTTGGGGCAATTAGGGGGCGCAACTATCATATTCGTAACTTCTACTCCAAGATTTTCCTCCGGAGGATCTTCCTCGATTCTTGTCTCAATGTCTTTGATCTCAGATGCTCTATCCTTTATATGCTCTAGCTGGTCTGGAAAGATAATGCGTTGGCCGTCCAAATTATCTGATACTATTGTTTCTGAAAAACAAAATGCTATAATAATATTGACTATTAACAAATACAGTTTGCATCGAAAAAGTAAATATTCCACCAATATTTTCAAAATCACTGAAATATAAAAACTATTCAATAAAAAAGTATGGCGTAATAAACAGAAAAAAACGTACATCCGGATATGGAACCTTTTTAATGTTAAAATAGGATTACTCGTAAAAGAATATTTGCCAACCGTAATTAGATATTTGTAATTATAACCGATAAGTTAAACCAAATACTCGTAGCATTTGTGATAGTTTTTGAGTAATAAATCAAAATGGAAAATTTAAGTAATACGCACTCCTCGTTGATGAGAAGAAATTGTTACGACAAGGCAATATTTATCTGAACCTATCATAAAACAGGATTGATGTTTATCTCAAAAAGTTTGAAACGAATGTATAACAACCGAATGTTAGTAGATGTATGTCTATTGTCTACCTCCATTTCAGTATTAAATATTTATGACATCGTTTTCACATCGTACCTATAAAGTGATTTAAAAATAATTTAAAAAGTTGTTAATTTTTATATATAGTTACTAGCGACTCACCCTGGCTCTGCTCGGGTTCGTCCCTACTTAGGCTTTTGTCCTATTTTTGATACCTCCTGACAGGCAATTCAATTTGCAAATGTTAGCTAAGCGTAAAAGCTTCATAGAAACTTACTAGAAAGTAGTTCATAGAAACTTATTTTTCTTAGCTAGGCTATACTTTAGCTTGAATGTAATTAACAATAGCATAAAACTTTTTGTTTAAATCGCACTCAGGTATTACTTTATATTTACTTTTGTACAATGTTAGAAATTTTCATTTTTCAGCATGTTTGTTCTCAAAGCCAATGTGGAGAATGTGTAATGAAATACTATCGAGCCATAAATATACATGAAAAAATAGGCAAGCCTATGTTACATAGTAGTTCAAAGCACATGACTAATACTCGATTATAAAAGTAGTTTAGTTAAATTATGAATGTTTGGCAAAATATTAGACCGCAGAGTAGATATATTTTATCAGAACTCAATAATGTCAGTGTTCTTTACAAATAAAGTAAACGTTGTTATTTTTTTTATCACAAAGTTTCGAAAACAAGCATATGGTATGTCTGGTGGTACATGATTTCCAGTTTCTTTTGAGTACCACCTGCAAAGAGGGAATGAATGAAAAGTATATATTTGAGCCTCTGGCTATATACGACCCTAAGTGCCAAGGAGAATTAAATACAGTCTAAGATCGTTGAACAGATTAATGTTGCTAATGAATGATAATGAATGCAGCCGGTTTGATTGCTGTCCGAACACGCACTGCCTTTTTAGGCGTGTTTCGATGTATTTATAACATTTATTAAGCATTATTTCTTAGGTGTTCGGTAGAAACCTTTGGACCGAACAGTAGCCTGTGTTACTCTAGATCTATCTATGCACTAAATTAACGATAACACTTGTTTGCTATGTCTTTTATATGAACCAACTTAACTCCACGCACATGAGTAATGGAAATCCTATTTCGTCACTTGAAAACTTACTCCTCTCAAATATTTCGAACGCAGTAAATAAAATCTCATCACAAAAGCTGTACACCTTATGAATAGTTCCCTAGGAATATACCTATAGATAGATAGATAGATAGATAGATAGATAGATAGATAGATAGATAGATCACTGTAAGATTTCGATATGTTTTAAAATACCTGATTTCCAAACAAGAATGTTCTCTTCGGTAGAATTAACTTGCTCGGGAGGTACTTCCAAGGAGTTATTATCAGTGGCTTGGGAGTCTGTCAATGTTTTCTTTACACTAACCACCTCATCGGGAAAGTAAATTCGGTCAGACATAGTACCTGAAAAAGAGTATTCAAGAGTTAAAAAGTATACGAAAAATAAATACTTTATTTGTTTAACAATTTGGAAATATCAAAAAGTCACTATAATAATACACAATAAACAAAAAGTTATATAAATTAAAATCAATAAATTAAAATAAAGAACATTTATAGCAAAGGGAAAGATGCACTCACTGACTCTGTCATTAACAATATTTGACCGCCACAAAACACAATTTACCTCAGAGGCGTGTAATCTACTTATGAACGTTTCTCAGTTTAAATTCTGTTTATTTAAGGAAACAGGAGGATAATCATTCAACTTTAAATGTTTTAAGCGTAGGTTTGAGAGCCAGATAGTACTGCTCATAATTCATAGAATACGGCACTACACAAATTTAGAGTGCACTATATAATTTGTTGGCTTACCTACTATTACAAGGTTTTATGTTAATTTTAATGAAGTTTAGTAATTTTTACATAGAACTTCGTTATTTTGTTATCGTAAAAAACAACATAGAACTATGTAAAATTAAATATTTTGTAGTTAAAGCGCCTCTATCTAGTGGTTTGTTTTTGCAAAACTGTAGCTAATGACACATAGAACCTTGTAGTATTAATAACTAAATAAGTATTAAAATTGTAACATAGAACCATGTAATAGCGAGCTAACGATATGTACATAATATGTATGTACTTTCAGATATGTGACATTTAAAATATTAGTATTTGAAATGCAAAATACGAAATACCTATTTCCATTTTGTATTTAAATACCAACTTTTTTTTAGAATAGAATTTTGTATTTTATTTGATATACCTTTTTTGACATATCTTGTATTTGCAAAATGCAAAATAATTTTTGATAAGTTTTGTCAACATCAATAAATTAATGTGATAATAAAGGTGTCTTCAAAATAATTAATTTATTAAAATCTGATAAGTAAAATAGCAATAAACTAACAAAAGTGAACGTTCTAGAAAAAAAAACAATATTTTTTAAATGGGATAATAAACCGACTTTCAGACACTAAAATGTAAAAAATAACTAAACGGGGGTTTTATTTAGAATAGATACCTAATGAGATATTTTCGAAGTCGGTGCCAATCGATGCAAAGCAAATCTAATATATTTCGATACGTAAAATATATATTTACCTATTAGATATTCATATTTAAAAAATATTGTCGGCTATATAAAAAACAAAAAAATATAACTGTTAAAGAAATACGCTCATGCTCAAAAAACTCGATATTGTATAAAAAGGTTGATTTAAAAAAAAAAGCCATTTCGATCTCAGCTTGCCGAGAGAGCTTTCTTTCGTAAAAAGAACGTTAAGTAACTTTTACTATTAAATTATTGTAGCATTAAATTAATGTCTTGTATTTTACGAAAATAATAATAAAAAAATTTAAAAAAAAAACAAGTTAAAATTTTCGTTATATTGGAGTCAATTTTCTTAGCTTATCGATCCTTTACTTTAATTATTTACATAAATTGCCAGTTTACTTATAAAATATAGAAAGTTATAAACAATAAAAGTATTTTATTTTAATAAAGTGTTTTGGAAATACGTATTTTGCATTTAGTATTTTAAATACAAAATGAAAAACTATTTTGTATTTTGTATTTGAAATAAAAAATATATAAATGTATTTGCATTTTGTATTTCAATACATTTTATAAACTATTTTGCACATCTCTGTGTACTTTATAATTAGCACCTGGGCGACCGAGCTTCACTCGGTGTTTCTTCGGAAAATACACTTATATACATAAGTTTATATAAGTGTAAGTGTGTGTTCTATACAGATAAACTTAAAAAACAATACCACAACTAAATACAAAATTTGATCCAAATCGTTACAGCCAATCGTTTCTGAGATAGACGAAATATGTAGATTTATAAATATACAAAATCTGCTCGTTTAATATAATAAGATACGCACGAGAAGAATTTGCCATCACAAAACAATATTTCTATCTAAGCGGGTCAACATTTACTTATTAAAGTTTTTTATTTAATCAATTCGTATCGGAAAATCAACAAGAATCCTGTTCTTGTTTATCTCAAAAAGTTTGAAATTAAAGTATAACAACCAGTTAGATACATATGAATTATGTATTTTAAGTAGGTGCATAGCATACGAGTGTCTAACTTCATTTTATTTTCAAACTAGCACTGCCCGCGGCTCCGCCCGCGTTTAGATGACCAATAACCAAATTCTTAGGTTTTACATATTATTAGTATACTCTTACATTGTAGTTTTTATATTTTTTCTCAGAAATGAGACATTTTCTCGCGGTAAAAAGTATCCTATATGTTGACCCGGATAACCAGCTACCATCATATTAAATTTCATCAAAATCCCTTCAGTGGTTTTCTCGTGATGCGGTAACAGATAGACAGACAGACAGACAAAAATTCTAAAAACCATAGATTCGGCCTCTGTATTGATAATAATGTTTATTTCAATAAAATTTTCCAAAAAATATCTAATGTACAGATTCGGCTTAGTTACAAATTTATTATATGAATAGATTACTTATACTTACAGTGATACATACCTACATATATTATCACTGTAAGATTTCGATATATTTTAACATACCTGATCCTCGAAGAGTGCTTCCTGCGGTAGAAACAACTTGCTGGGGAGGATCTTCCAAGGAGTTATTATCAGTAGCTTGGGAGTCTGTCAATGTTTTCTTTATACTAACTACCTCATCGGGAAAATACATTTGGTCAGACATAGTATCTGAAATTTTTTTATTAAATCGTTTATGACCCTAATACAGTAAAGCTATTTTTACTTAATTCCTAATTAAGAATATAAAATTACTAGCATTGCCCGCGGCTCCCGTTCAGATGACCAAAACTAAATTCTTAGGTTTTACATATTAGTATACTCTTACAATGCAGGTTTTGTATTTTTACTCAGAAATGAGATATTTTCCCGCGGTAAAAAGTATCCTATATGTTGACCCTTCGACTTAGTTACAATTTTATTATATGTATCGATTGAACAAATGGTTAATGTCAAAAAGTTACTATAATAAAACACAATAAACAAAAAGAAATAGACATTAAAATCAAAAAATTACATTTATAGCACGGGACAACGAACGGGGAAAATGCACTCACTGATTCTGCCACTGACAAATATACGAGTAATTATTTGACCACCACAACACACAATCTATCTCGGAGCCGGTTAATCTACTTATGAACGTTTCTCAGTTTAATTCTGTTTATAACGAAACAGGAAGATAATCTTTTAATTTTAAAATGTTTTAATAGTAGGTATAAGTTAGTGTCTGTCAGGCTGAGAGACCAGATATGTATGTCATGAGTCATAAGCACACCGCACTGAATTTAATTACATATTTAGATTTCACAACATGTGTAAATTAATAATTATTTTTATTCTGTGTAATACTTACTAACAATAAGTTACGAAATGATAATATATATATATATATATATATATATATATATATATCTTATATAAAAAATTTCCATGTCACAATGTTTGTTACCGTACTCCTCCGAAACGGCTTTACCGATTTTTACCAAATTTTATATGCGTATTCAGTAGGCCTGAGAATCGGCTACTATCTATTTTTCATACCCCTAAGTGATGATAAGGATAAGGGTGGTCCTTCCAGACCCCACCCCAGGGACGAACCCAAGCGGAGCGAGGGTGAGTCGCTAGTATATATATACTACATATATTGCATATTTATATATATACATACATACATATATATATATATATATATATATATATATATAAATATATAAATATGCAATTAAATGTAGTCGATATCAAAAACAAACATGCTGTCAATGACCGGTGCTTTAGCTCTATGACGACAAGTAATCCTTGCTAATTATAATTAGATAATATGTTGAAGTTTTATAATTAAATTCGTCAGATCGTGATCTGCCTAGGCTTTTCGTAACACGCTGTGTGTACGCTATTGCTCGTGTACGAGAATTTAGATGCAAAGGCGCTCTAGATTATGCAAGAACATATTGACTGTAGAGCGTTAGCCTAAAGTATTTTATCTAATTAAAATATAAGTCAAAATGTATTATCTATTTATTTGCAACAAAAATATATAAAAAAATATATAAATTGAATATATGTACCATGTTACAGAACCCTCTGTGTGCAAGCCAGACTCGGGACTTGTCCGATTTTAAATATATTACTCTCAGCTTGTAATGTATTTGGGATTTTCCTAGAATGTCATGATAACATGTGTGAATAAATTAATAGATAAACAATGGAAGTCCCATCATCTAGTTTATTGCTAAAGGCATGCACATTTACGGTAAAGACTAAAAAATCTTGAAAATGACGTCAGAAATTCCGTAAATCGTTTTAAATGATGGCTTATTACTAACACATGTATCCATATATGTACATATGCCTAAATAAATAAAGGTTCATATTACATACATATATGTACATAATTAACAAAGGCGCAATCTACAGTTTGTATTCAACCCTTTTTAACGTCCCACTGCTGGGACGCCTCCCTTCAATAAGTGGTATAAAGTATAAAGGCAGTGGTAGCCCAGTGGTAACGCGCTCGTTTGGGAAACCGAGTGAAGCAAGTTCAAATCACGGGTCTCGCACCTCTGATATTTTCATGTGCAAATCATTTCTAACATGATTACCACTTGCCTTACGGTAATGGAAAACATCGTGAGGAAACCTGCACGTCTGAGAAAATCCTTTCGAAAGACATGTGAAGTCAGCCAACCCGCACTTGGCCAGCGTGGTGGACTATGGCCTGATCCTCCTCGTATTGAAGGGAGGCCCGTGCCCAGTGGGACGTTAAAAAGGGTTGAATCTACAGTTTACTCGTATAGTACGATCAGAATCCGATTTGAGAACAAAAAAAATTAAAACCACAAGTTTTATGTCTTTTAAGACGTTAGCAGGTATGTATGGAACAAAAATCCGGAAAACGCCCCCGATGTCCAGTCACCCCCGAGAAATGGGGGGATGAAAAACGTTGAATTATCGTTTTTTTTATTTCCAGCTTACTGTGACGTTCTATCGAAAATTGTTCTTTACAAAAGTTGGAGGTCTAGTAAAAAAATCTACAACTTTTACCTATAGATGACACGTTTTACAATAACCTCAAAGTTTTTGAGAAACTGATTTTTAATTTTTTTCTTCATTTTGATTTTTTAAATTCTGCAATTTTTTTCGATTTTTATGAAACTAGGAGAATGTAATCTTCGAAATACATATAACAACTTACAACATAAAACGTCAGATTTTAATTATTATTATTTTTTCTTAAAAATAAACGGACTCCGATCGGTCTAGTAGCAATATAAAGTAGGCTAAAAAATTTGTAAAAAAAAAACAGAAAAACAGAAAAAGTAATAACCATAGAGCACGGTCTTCCACAGCGGCATAGACTTTTCAAATCACTAAGCAACTGTTAGCAAATTATGACAGTCTTTTGAATATTTTTAAGCTAAACATTAAAACCTCAAGAAGTCAGTAGAATTTCTCAAAAATACTTACAGAATTTGGTGGTGTTTGAATATCGTGAAGAAAATATTTATTTCAATATGTTCTTTGTTTTTGTACTACTCATTCGATGAATTTGAAATGATAAAAAGCACTAGTTTTGAACAAGTAAGTATACCTATGTGTATTGTGTATTATGTTATACCTTTGATAGACTAGGCTATATGTTTCTACCTAAATTCGATTATATTATTTTTATATATCTGAATCGGTAACTATACATATAACACATTCAAATTTAGCCACGGCTAGCTCTAAGTGGCGCTAGCAGTTAAACACAAGCTTCAGCTTGAAGTGAAATAAATTAAAATTAATGCATTCACACTAATGAATTACATATTTCTGAGTTACATTTTTTATTATACTTTAATTATTTTAAACTAATTAAAAATATATGCATGAATAAACGATAATGTCTCAATAGCTTGGATATTTATTACTAATACGATAATGAGATACTGAAAACCCACAATATTTACGACTTTAGAAGCATATTAGTCTTACTATAGAGTTTACAATATTTATCTGGACTTTAAAAAAAATCAACCTTCAGTTTCATGTATCTATTAAGTGCCAAAACTTTTTTTATTTTTTGGAATTTGACTACAGATTTGTCTAACGGTTTACATAAGACACTTATCTACTAATATTGAGCAATGTAGCTCCAATAGTCCGAGAAAAATGGCTGTGACTTACGGACAGACGGATCCGTTTTAACCTCTTAGAAACGGAACCCTAAATAGAATGCTTCGAAAAAGAACTTTAACGTAAAAGTTTAAAAATATATTTATTTAAAGTATGCGCTAATATTGTTATCAATATAATACATGTAGGTTACAAATATGTGTGTGAAAACAACACGCGTACATATAACTAAATACGACGTGGCGTCAACAACAACAAAAAAATTCTTACACATTTATAAACAAGTTGAGGATAATTGTCCTTTTTTATAAAAAATGTATTCGATTTTTGTATCTGCCAAAAGTTAGAACTTAGGAACTGGTTTAGAAGGTCATATAAGTAAATTGAGTCTGCTATTGCTAGCAAGTATGCCTTCAAATGATGTCTGTTAAAGCAAAATTGGTGAAAGGATACAGCATTCACCACTTCCCGATAATGTATAAAATATATTCATATATTTCACTTCATTCATTCCTGATTCCACTTAAAAATTAATAAATCTATAACGAATCATGATATTAAGGCATATATTTTTTAACACACTTTTATTTTATTGCATTTGTTTGGCTCAAATCCTCACAGTGGGTTCAAACCCCGGGTCTCGCATTTCAATTCTCTTATATTTTCATGTTTGAATCATTTCCAACATGATTACCACCTGTCTTAACGATGAAAGAAAACATTGTGAGGAAACCTGCATGTCTGAGAGAACCTAGCAAGTTTTCGAAAGACATGTGAAGTCCGCCAACCTACACGTCTTGGCTAGTATGGTGGACTATGGTCTGATCCTCGCTCGTATTGAAGGGAGGTCCATGCCAAGCCGTGGTACGTTAAAAAGGGTTGAATACAATACAATTTGTTTAGGGTCTAATCATCAGTCTAATCAAACAAGTCAAATCAACAACTTTTACTGGCATTCACTATCTTACTAATCGTGCGTTATTCTACATTGGTCGGGATACTCGTATTATTCTCTTATGCCCGATTTCACCAACAACCCATAAGCTACCACCTACGTATGGGATCCCTAGCTTAAAAGTCCCCTAAACTAGCCCCTAAATTAAATTTCGTTTTACGATTGTCTTTAAGCCCATATTTCGAGCATCTTAATTTAGGCGGCCTTTTAATATTTAGGTGACCCCTAACTGTCGGTGAAACAGAAACTGTCCCCTAACAGCCCCCTAACCATGCTTAGGGGATCCCTTAAACTTAGGTGACGTTGGTGAAAGAGGGCATTAGAGTCTTAATATAAAGTTACTAAATTTAGTTTAAAACTTTTAAAATTTGAAAATATTTTCTTAAACTATTTACCTAAAGGCTACTTACCTTTAATGGATATATCTCAAATCTAAAATAAGTTAGTGAAAAGAGTTTCAAATGAGGTGTAACTTGAAAATTATTTTATTACGCAGGTAAATGGCTGTTCAAATGGAAGAAACACATCTGTAATATTTAGCAACAGGTAAGTTCATTAACTCTTAATTAATGGTATACAATAGGAACAGAATCTAAACACAATATTCTTCAATTATTCAAATTCTACAGCTTTATAAAATAAAAAAAGACCAAGTGCGCGTCGGACTCGCGCACGAAGGGTTCCGTACCATTATCTATAAAAACGGCAAAAAATCACGTTTGTTGTATGGGAGCCCCCTTAAATATTTATTTTATTCTGTATTTTAGTATTTATTCTATTTATATTATTATATCTATATTATTATAGCGGCAACAGTAATACATCATCTGTGAAAATTTCAAGTGTCTAACTATCACGGTTCATGATATACAGCCTGGTGACAGACGGACAGACAGATAGACGGACGGACGGACAGCAGAGTCTTAGTAATAGGGTCCCGTTTTACCCTTTGGGTACGGAACCCTAATAAATATAAAATATTTTAAGCTATCTGAAAATGGAGAGAGAGTTATAAGAGTAAATTATGTATAAGGCTTATTCGTGTATTATAGTTAACTGTTTGAAATATGATTTTGTAAATATAAAATATCCTAGTATTTCTCATTAACAGATAAGTTATAATTGTAAGCCAGTTATGCAAAAAACAGCCATGTGCGTAAAAGTATCAACAGAGTTATAAGCATTTTATTATAAAAAATATAATAATTATAAAAAATAAACAATACTTATATAAATATTGTTCAATTTTAAAACAACCAGAAAAACAAAACATAACCCAAGTGCAACTATCGACAGAAAAATGCTTATAACTCTGTTGGTACTTTTACGCACATGGCTGTTTTATGCATAACTGGGTCCAATTATCACATAAAATGTAACTGACACTATGACATTCAGTTATAAGGAAATTGTGATTTAAACCGCGCAATATAATAATTACTATCACGTATACATTTTTCAAATACTGAATTAGAATTAAATGGCTTGTTTAAAATAATAAAATAATTACTAGGCTTTTTACCGGTTGGTAACAGTTGTCCTTACTTATGTGTATATATATATAGGGTAAAACCCAGATAGTTGCCTCAGTGGGATACTTGCTCCGGTTTTCAATACACTATGTTAGAGATATCCCTGGCGTTAGTGTTCTTCTTTAATTTGAAGCGACTTTAATGGCTTTAATATTTTCTTTAATGGTTGTGGATTCAATATTTTTTTTTGTTTCTACGCATGCACTGAAGTTTAAATTACAGGCTATCCGCCTTAAGGACAAGTAATGATTTTATGTTGCAGGTAGGTGAAATGCCTCGCAAATATGAGCGAGAGCTTAACATGTCTTAAAGGGCTAAACAATCTGCAGAAGTTCTAAATTCCAACAAAAAAATGGTCCACAAAAAACTCTAAAAAGTAAAAAAAATATCTCTCTTGGTCTTTTAACTTATGATGCTCTTTAAACTTTTCTTTGTAATATCCGCATGCTCACTAATTTTAATGTTTGTGCCAAAGTTGATTACCATATTGTTTTTTTTATCTTTAAAGTTAATTTGGGACTTTTTATGTATCTATTTGAAAAGTTTAACCAGTTTTGATTAGTATTTGGACTAGATCTTAATAAAATATTATCAATATATTATAATTATTAAAGATGAAAAAAATTGAAGCAATTTCATAATGAGTCTTCTACCCTCGCATGAGGCAAGTATCCCTTTTTTCATAGAACAAATTAAACAGGAGTTACTGTAAAAGAATGTTGATTGTGTTTACAAAAATAGATCACAATAAAAAATTAAAGACCAATGTTCTAACATACACGGAGCATATTGTAAGTAGATACTTAACTTTTGTGTAATTGGAGATTTTCAAAAAGCAGGGCAACTATCCGGCTTTTATCCTAAATATACTTAAGGTGTTTATATAAATCTAAGTAAAATTAAGAAATTATTTAGAACATTTTTAAAGTTGACTTTTCCTAAAAGGATGAAAAGTATAAATCTAATGAAATGTGATTTTCTTTAATGAAAAACAATATATACCGTAATATGGATAATATGATGCTCCTAGTAAGAAATAAAAATTTTCGATTATGCAAAATCGCATATCTTTGAAATTGATTTAAAATTTTGACACTCACAATTGGTTTTTATGGAAATCGTTTTTACGGTGTAATTTCCACGGAATGTGACTAAAACTTAAACTTCTGGGTTTAGAAGTTTGTTTGTGTTTTTATATTAAAATAATAGGTATATTGTATCGGGGCTCTTGTTGGTCATTGGTCATAAACGTCATTTTATAAGTTCTTGAAATGATAAATTTTGATTATTACACATATCAAACCCTTTCTGGCGGATATCTTTAATAAATATTTGTTCCAGAGGACCTATTGGAATAAAAAGAAGATCTAACAGAAGCGCTAAGGATATATACCAACACTATCATATTACTATTAAGCCAAAATTTCATAGGAGCAGTTCATTATCAGATTTGTCACCAAATTCTAGTGTTTTTTGTGAGTGCCAATCGTTAGAATTTCCTTAAACCTTTGACATTATATTAATAGAATCAAGTCTTAATGTTTAAGAAGTTGAAGTTTAAGATCCTAAAATAGAAAATAATCACGTGTACCAAATTGTAATACCTCTCTTTATACAGCTATATTTTATTACAGCTTTTGATTTTCTACAAAGAACCAGAAAGCATTGTTTACGAGACATACATTTAAGTGAGATTTATGATTCATCAGGCGATTCCGTAGACAGATATTGGACTAAATATTTAAAAAAAACACCATTTATGTCGTGGAACTTTAAAGGAAAGTGAGTTTATGCTTTGTATTATGATTTTACATTTGTAGGATAATTTTTAATTAAAGTTTTGTTTCAGTAAGAAGTCAAAAAAGAAAATTCAAATGTCACCCGATTCTTATGCTTCAAAATTTGCAACTGAATACGTTGGAAAATTTCAAAAGGATTCCAATTTGTCATCTAACGCCGAAGACTCGAGGTTAACAATAAGTAACAAAATTAGATATGTATAAGCAAAATTGCTAGGCAGCTTAAAAATGCTAACAATTTTTTCAGTATGTGCAGTTTGGAAGAGAGAGCCACATTTCCATTTAAGCCCACTCCAAGTGGAAATTTAAAAGTGCAGTCAAATCAGGTAAAAAATATTTAGGTGTAGAAAAAGTTTTTTTTTTTTAATAAAACTAATATTATTCAAATCAAGAAACATACAACTTTTTGTTAGGTAGTATTCCAGTCGTCCACCGTCGGCGTGCTTTTAGCTGACCCAACTCAAGCAAAGGTAAAAGTTAAATTTGAAGGAAAAGCAGCTGGCGAGCCAGACGATGATCAAAGTTTTGATCATAAAGTTAGTAAATTTATAATATAATAACTGTATCATCTTTAAGTAATTATGTCAGTCATAACAAAATAGCTGTTCTGATATTCATTTTCTGTAGGAAAACAGAAATGATTCTGAGCCACAATTTCAATATGGTACAAAAGATGCTACAATAAATATGCAGGTTAAAAATACATTTACAAATGATAAAAATACAAAAACATCCTGCACCAAAGAAGATATGGGGAAAAATTTGAGTAGTCTTGGGTATACTCTTGCGGAACCCGTTGACTGGATTCGGCTGCAGTTGCCCAAAAAACAAGATTTATTTCAAGAGGTTTATCGACGAATACATAATTATATGTAAGTTGATGTTTCGATGCTGGTTTCACTATCATATAATATACACAAATTAACATATCTATATTTAGATCGCATTTTTCATTCCAAAGAGAAGTTAATACTTTCTTAGATTAACGCGAATATTTGACATTTTAAATAAAACTATCTTTCCGAATTTTTACTGCAGATTTATTTGGATTTTTGGTTCCCGACGTTTCAATGTTTTCTGTAACAATTATATAATATCTTTGAGACATCTAACACTTTAGTCTCTCCCGTAACCGTGATTGCTGTAAAGCATTCGAAACGTCGGGAACAAAAAATCCAAATAAATCCGCGAAAAATCCGAAAAGATAGTTTTATTTAAAATGTCCAAAGAGAAGTTTATACTCATAAATCCCTTGTTACTAAATATTTCTCTCTGTGGCAGTTGGCAAAGCCAATGCGTTTGAAATATTTAAAAAAAATATGTAAACAACACTAATCGATCAAAAACCTAAAGGAAACCACTGTACTTCATTTTTTCTTTAGTAATACAGATACTATAGTGCATATTGGCCGTAAAGAATTTCATTGTCACCGCCTAATATTACAAATTTACTCATCGTTCTTCGATAATAATCAACAGCCGGAAGTTGAATTGTCATCGGTAAGTAGTATTTATCAGGAAGTTTACATTTTAAATATAACTGTTAAGTTTTTTTTTTATATTTGTTTGATTAACATTTCTACAGACAAATGTAACACCAGAAGCATTTCATGCAATATATGAATGGATGATTTTTAGCGGATCTGATAGTAATAAAATTATCAGAAGAGATAATGCACTGGATTTGTTTTGCGCTTCACAGTATCTTGGTATTAAAGGTAACAACACGCTTTAATTTTTAGTCTCAAGTTTATATTTGGCCGTGACATTGCCTGCGTTAAATTAAAAAAAATTAAAAATTATTATAGTTAATGTTAATTATCTGACATCAAACTCATAAAACCTTTTATAATATACCTTTAATGCAGAATTTTATTTTAGGTTTTTTTAAAAAATAACATATTTTAGAGAGTATTTGAAACGTATCAAATATTTTTTGTAAAATGAAATTTCTTAAAAATTTTGTCCTTTATCCCGCGAAAACTGGTATTTTTTGTTTTATTCCAAATTAGGTTAACTTTAGTTTTGTAATTTTACCAGGAAAATTTTAACAATCAGCTATTTTTGTATGTATAATTATTAATAATTGAGTATATATATTACATAATTAGACTTTTCCTTGTTACTATGACAGATTTAGAAGATCAATGCTGGGCATTTATCGTAAATGAAAATATTTTTAACGAAGATACCGCTTTTGTTTTATATAGAGAAGCCAGAGCTAAACGTATTACACCAGTCATGGATTTAATGGTATACATATTTGATAAGTTCTTATCATGAAAATTAATATTAGTAGTCTATACATATAATAAAATTGTAACTAAGCCGAATCTGTACATTAAATATTTTTTGGGAAATCTTATTGAAATAGACATAATTATCGATACAGATTCCGAATCTATAGTTTTTAGAATATTTGTCTGTCTGTCTGTCTGTTAACGCATCACGAGAAAACCACTGGACAGATTTTGATGAAATTTGGTATAATGTTAGCTGGTTATCCGGGTCAACATATAGAATACTTTTTACCATGGGAAAATATCTCATTTCTGAGGAAAAAATACAAAAACTGCAATGTAAACGTATACTAATATGTAAAACCTAAGAATTTGGTTTTTGGTCATCTGAACGCGGGCGGGGCCGCGGGCAATGCTAGTATTAGATATAGGTTTAAGATTTTTGTTGATATTTTAGGTTCCCAGAATAATGAGGTTTTTTTTACCGCTAGTTGCTTCGAATGATTTTCTCCAACTAGAGCCTGATGAAGTTATAACTATTCTAAAATCCAATTATATCTGCGTGACGAGGTATCTACTAATCATTACCTACTTAAAAGCACATATCAAAAACTAAGGCTCGTGTCTTACACATGTTGTCTACACCTACTAAAATATGACTAGATCGATGGACAAAATTGTAAAAACTAATATTTTTTTCATAAAACACAGTTTTGTTTTTGTTTTATGTTAGATTAAATCATATTTTTCTAGGACTCGTAAAGTTTTATGATTTCGCACGTAATAAATGTTGACTAAATTTATATTTCTCTTTACTGTTATCTTATCATCAGCAATATCTTTCATCATTGGTTATTGTTACACTATTCATGAAAATATTGATCATTGAACATGTTGATGAGTATCTAGGTTTTATTCAAGTATCTATAATACTTAAAAGTGTAGGAAAATTAGATGATCCCTTTGCTTGTCAGCCAATTGTAATTAGTGAAATAAAAAAAAATCTTAATGCATTAAATTTTAATTTTTAAATGCATTACAACTTCAGTGAAATGGAAGTTTTAATGGCTGGCGTGAGATGGTTGTACGGCGATTGGGGAAATCGATGCCGTTTTGCCGTAGACGTGATGCAATGTGTTCGATTCGGCCTCATATCTCCATGGCAGCTTGTCGACATCAAAAGAAACCCCGAAAACACAGAAATACTTGAAATTGTCAACGAAACTGAAGTACAACAAATGGTTGACGATGGGCTTGCGTAAGTTGCTTCAGCCACCTGTTTCTGTGTTGAGTTGAGCTAATACGACAAAATTACCTCGCCGTCGATCATGGCCCGTTTTTACCATAATCTTAGTAAAACGTGAAAGCATTTTAGCGGGCTGGTTAGTTTTGTAAGTTTTCCTTAATAGGCTATCGGAAGGTTACATCGGTTGTAGCCCTGCCGATGCCCATAAGGATATTATTCTATTAATCAAGTAATACATTATATTACTATACCTAACTTATATGCTTCCCAATACAAACTTTCATCCCCATCTTCACCCCCTTAAGGGATGATTTTCGGGATAAAAAGTATTCTATGTCCTTCCCAAGGTCTCAAACTATCTTCTTACCAAATTTCATCTAAATCGGTTCGGTAGATCCAGAGATTACATCCTACAACGTCACAAACTTTACCTCTTTATAATATTAGCATAGATTGTATTTATCTATACTAATATTATAAACAGGTAAATTTGGTGACTTTGTACTTTGTGTACTAAAAAAAAAGTAGCCTATGTCACTATGCAGCCCTCCAACTATTTCCACACGAAAAATCACGCCAAGCCGTCACTCCGTTTCGACGTGAAACAAAAAAAAAACAAACAAACACACTATCATATTTATAATATTATTATGGATTTTATTTTTAAGTAAATACAATAAATACAACGATTTATATCTATTATTTGTTTAATGATAAACTCACTTGAGTATATTATGTACTTATGTATATTTGACGAATCACCAGTAGGTGTGTAGTAGTAGATACTTATAGCACTCCTAGTGCTCTACCTTACATAAATATAACCGTTAATCATGTATATATTTTTTTACTTTTTACGACATATCGTCGTATCAGTGGTTATTTGCCCAAACGACTAATTTACCGGAAATGTTTTAGTACAGAATTATTGACTTTCAAATGTCAATTCTATTACTATAAAAAACACATTTTACATTAAATATATATCAGAGATGCGAGACCCGGGATTTGAACCCGCTTCACTCGGTTTCCCAAGCGAGCGCGTTACCACTTTGCTACCACTGCCCATAGAGGAATAAAAGTCTTCTAAACAACAACAACTAAAACTAAACAAGTAATGGTGTAATTATAATGCATTTTATTACCTAGAAGATATATGCCTGATTTCACCAACAACCCATAAGCTACCACCTACGTATGGGATCCCTAGCTTAAAAGTCCCCTAAACGAGCCCCTAAATTAAATTTCGTTTTACGATGTCTTTAAGCCCATATTTCGAGCACCTAAATTTAGGTCGCCATTTAATATTTAGGTGACCCCTAACTGTAGGTGAAACAGAAACTGTCCCCTAACAGCCCCCTAACCATGCTTAGGGGATCCCTTAAACTTAGGTGACGTTGGTGAAATGGGCCAATACACTCCTATAATTACTTCTCGGTAAAGATTTTTGAATTGTTAAGAAATCAAAATGTAAAGAATACTAAAAAAGTAACAGGAACAGGATACACTGATTTTAGATTTTCCCATTTAAAAAATATAGCAAGGCTATTCAACTCGTTACAAAAATACATAATATGTATACTAAAACAGGATAAACTTTAAATATAAACAGCTACACTATGTAAAGTAATGACTAACATCGTCTTCCATTTATCTTTTATAATGTAAACATTTCCTTAAAGTATTAATTAAGTGAAGGCCAAATGAATCTTCCATTCATACATAATACGAGAAATAGACATATGTATATATGTAGAAATATACCTTTACTTATTATATAAAATTTTATATTTATATATATAAATAAAAAAATATATAATATAATATTTAAACAATAAATATTATATATATTTTTTTATGTATGTTTATATTATGTAATATGTTTATTGAGTACACTTTATGCACCTTTCCGCTTTCTGTTAACTTTTGTATTCTACTTCTAGCGGTTGCCTGTAATTTAGTGATAAGGCCGCCTTTGCACATTTCTTTAAATGTATTTTTTTTGTATGTATCATTTTTATTTATTTTTGTGTGCAATAAAATGTTTAAATAAATAAAATAAATAAATAAATATAATTTTATGTATGATAATTACAGCATAATATGTTAACACCTAAATAACCCTGCAAGTTTTCATTAAGCTCACCTAATGATTACTGAGCAAATGGTTTTCAAGATAAGATCAATCTTTATTTTTATAAAATCTCAGACTAATATTATATGGATGGAGCGTGTTTTACCGTTTATGCTAATATTACCGATTTTTATGACATAAAAGAAGAATGAAGAACATTCCCTTATTCTTTGAAGAAAATAAGCGATAAGTCCATAAATAACGAAAAAATTATTGGTCATCAATTTACAATATTCGAGAAGATCATATTAATAACTAGCATTGCCCGCGGCTCAAAGAAGCTCAAAAAGAATCCTATATGTTGACCCGGATAGCAAGCTATCGCCATACTAAATATCATCAAAATCCCTCCAGTGGTTTTTCTGTGATGCGGTAACAGACAGACAGACAGACGAAAATTTTAAAAACTGTAGATTCGGCCTCTGTATCGATAATAATGTCTATTTCAATAAGATTTTCCAAAAAATATCTAATGTACAGATTCGGCTCAGTAACAATTTTATTATATGTATAGATAAAAAAATTGTATTATTTTGTATTTTTAAGCATTATTCCTCTTCCCCTTGAAAGACAGATAGCATAATATTAACATATTTATTTATTTTTTTCTTCATTATAATAAAACATTTAAGCTATTTTTATTGATGATATTAATTTACTTGTCACAGCAATGTATATTCTATAAAGTTTGTTCTGTCATCATTTTTATTATTCTTACCTGTTCACCGATTACATATGATGTTCTCCCGGCTGATTCCGGCCACGGCGGCCAATCTCATTGAGACTAGCCAACTGCGCAGGGGATATTATAGTGCACAAGTGTACGCGCAGACACAAGTGCACTCTCTATTCCTGTCACTCTCATACTCTGGTGGGACGACACGAGACACGACCGGTGAGAGTTAAGGCGCAGGATCGACGGCTTTACGTGCTCTCCGAGGCACGGGGGTGAAACACCGCCAACTTGCCAACTCCGGGCTATTACTGAGGCTCACTGTACAGAATGACTCAATAACTAAACTTGGCCCGACCCGGGACTCGAACCTAGGACCTTCGGGTGTGGCCGTACATGCCACTACACCACCGAGACAGTTATACATTATATATACAGATAATGTGAATAACAAGCTTTATTTGCAACTAACGCATTACGAATAACTAATCAACAGTTTCGTTATAATCAAATACTGGTATGGCAACAATTCGAAGAATTATTATCACTGGATTGATGTACTGGGACTAACTGAACCCGCTGAGAGGAACTGGATGGGTGATGAAAAGGTTATTTTGAAAACGCATTTTATCCGTATTATCTGAATCTGTAAATTCCGTTTTATTAATATTATAAATGTGAAAGTTTGTGAGTATGTATGTATGTTTGTTACTCTTTCACGCCAGAACGGCTGAAAGGATCTCGATGAAATTTGGCACAGAGATATATTATAATCTGTAATAACACATAGGCTTCTTACTATCCCGGAAAAATCTACGGTTCCCGAGGGATAGATTTGTATTTGTTTTTCGAGCGAGGGTGCGTCGCTAGTAATAAATAAATATGTGATTAATTTTGGATTCTTTGCATGACGCACAATTAGCTAATTAATTATATCCCAAAAAAATGTTTGTAAACATATTATTATGATCATTAATTTAAATCATGCTAATTAGTCCAAATAAATTTAAAATTTAATAAAACATTTAAGTCTTTATTTTGGTGGACTAGTAGGCACGTTATTATTGCAACGGGCTATTTATTATATATAATGCAGGAAAATATCAACAAATACTAATTTTCAACTTTTCCTGGAAATATCAATCAAACATTGTATTTATAACACTAGATTGGATGGGATAGGTTTAACTGTAACTGTAAAGTACCTAAAAGACAATAAAGTTGAGAGTTTCAACAGGAAATAATAAAATAAATAATAATTACACACAGAACCATGTCACGTACAAAGATTTTCTCAAGTACCTTGAAGAATTTTTAGTACCTAAGGAGCAGATGTACCAACAGATGGCAATGATGCAGCCGCTGAGACGAAGTGACGACATCCCTGGTAAATATTGTTGATCTAATTTATAATGGAACTAACACTGCCCGCGGCTCCGCAAGCGTTTAAATGACCAAAAACCAAATTCTTAGGTTTTACATATTAGTATACTCTTACATTATAGTTTTTGTAATTTTTCTCAGAAATTAGATATTTTATTTTTCCCGCGGTAAAAAGTATCCTATATGTTGACCCGGATAACCAGCTATCACCATAACAAATTTCATCAAAATCCCTTCAGTTGTTTTTCTGTGATGCGGTAACAGGCAGACAAAAAATCTAAAACTATAGATTCGGCCTCTGTATCGATAGTAATGTTTATTTCAATAAGATTTTCCAAAAAATATTTAATGTACAGATTCGGCTTAGTTACAATTTTATTATATGTATAGATTAAGTTATTTTTCTACTATAGGGTACACTTCAAAATTATTATTACGTTACAGTATGACTTTTTTCGTAAATTTTAGATAGATCCATCCTAGATGCTCAATAAGAGTATCATGAAATTCTGTTGACATTTACGTACAGAAAGAAATCATACATCCTTTTTCAAGGCGATCTACAACAAAAAAACTATTCGGTTAAGCTATCGTTATTATCCTTTAGTGAAACGTTTTTTTTTAAATATGGAAAATAGATACTGTTGACAGAAAAAACGACTCTGCTCTAATTTAGAGTATACTGGATGGTTGTTTTAAGGTGGCTAGAATACAACCATGTACTGTGTACAGCACAAAAAATGCATATAACTAGTACTGCAGCTTAATTTTCTTTTTTTTTCAAAATATCCCTTAAATAGTTCTAAATTTTTTTATGAATTTGTTGAAATTACTAAATCTAGATTATAGTTCCAATAAATTATTTATAGAATATATATAGAATAAGTTTGTTGTTATAAATGTTTAAAATTGACGTATACTGAGTATTGACTCATATGCGGACTAACTATATATATATATATATATATATATATATATATATACATAAAATGTAATTAGATATTTAAGAGTGCAACTTTTGAGTTTCTCATCGGCTCTTCCCAACAGCCGGTAGTCCGACCACGAAGCTCCTGACGGACTGTCTACACTGAATTGCTTTAAATTAAATTGACGATTCAAAAGTGCTTATATTATGTATAACTAACTATATATTAAACTTTCTTTAATTAGACAATAAAAGAAAGTTTAATATCATTTCATTTAAATTCATAATGTTGGTAATTTTTTCACACTGACGTCCAATTTTCAGATATCAGGTAATCAAGGTACCTCAAAATATTACTTACCTCACGTACATTCTCCAAGCTGATTTTCACGTATATTTTAGACAATATCGTTAAAAGTAAGTCGTCAATACTCCCAGACACTTTCCGTCGGCTGTATTGTTTTGCAGACGCTTTAAAAGTCCCAAAATAATTCCTTAACTTCACGTAAATTCTGACGCTCCGTTTTTATATACGTTCGCCAGACAACTATTTTAAAACCTTTTACAAGAAGACAGACCGATCTAAAGGGGCCAATCATCCCCTAAACTCAATTTTAAAGCAATACGGCCGACAGAAAGTGTCTGAGAGTATTGACGCCTTATTTATAACGATATTGTCTAAAATATACGTGAAAATCAGCTTGTAGAGTTTACGTGAGGTAAGTAATGTTTTTATGCACCTTGATTACCTGATACCTGGAATTTGGCCGTCTCACCAAGTTAGCAGGTAGGCATGCGATCTTAGTACATACTAACACCATCCAATCGTCCACATTTCGTTCGTCAGAAAATACGTGACCTCTGGTGGCCCTGGGATCTTGCTCTATTAAATGTTAGATAAATAAATAAACATATGATTGAAAAATCAATAGCAATTTTTCATATTTGCATATAATAATTTTAAGAGTTGCAAATTTTTCGCATTTTTGTAGTGTATTGTTTGATTTCATTAAATAAAATTATAATAGCAATGCATATATTGATCACTTTAAGCAATATTTTGTCATTAGGCAGTTTACGTGGTATGGATAATGGTAAAATGGATATGCGAAGGGCCAAGATAGAATTTCCTTTACCTGCTGCTTTAAGGGAACTGTCGTCCGACAAGCAGAATTTTCCAACAATGAGTGATTTTTTTGAAAATAGAAAACAGGTAGCTGGATCTACATTTCTTATTATTTCACCACATAAATAACACTCGGATAACAAACTAACAGCTTTTATCATAAAATGATTTCGTTGTAAATATAAAAACTGTAAATTCAGTTAGTTTATTACTCCTGACGGATTTCGGCCACGGCGGCCAATCTCATTGAGACTATAAAAAAAACTAAATTATAGCCATCTGACCACGAGATATTATAATACACAAGAATTTGCGCAAACAATGTGTACTCTATTCCTTACAAGTCACTCTCATACTCCGGTGGGGCGACTACTCGACGCCACCAGAGAGAGTTAAGGCACGGGTGCAGTCAAAATATAATTCAAAAAAAGACGGAAGTCACGCTGTCTGTTGGTTTTCGTATTTATATTCAACAGATTTTGTTGTTTATATTTCAACGGTTTTTAAAGGTAAAACAAGATCAAAATCACTCGCCCAATCGATCGCCACCACCGACAACTGCCGGATTTAACTCTATTTTACACGAGCCAAAGAAGAGCTTTGCGGCTGAACAGAACCAAAAGCACGAGGTATTGAAATTTGAAACTATATATATTATTATTATTATATTTTCTTGTTTAACCGTTCCGCTGAATTTTATTTATATAATATATTTATTCCACTCTTAATGCTCATAGCGTGATGCTATTTTAGCCTTTATAAATAAATAGGTTATAAATTGCATTAATAACTTTATAAATGGTACAAAAAAAAAATCAGTGACTGTCCGTGGTAAGTAAATCGTGAAAGGCAAATAGCGCCATCTATGAACACACAATACGAACTTATTACCAAAACATATTGTATGGATTATGAGGTGCTGAGTAATATAATATGCTACTTTTATCCCAGTAACTGAAGTTACAGTTCCTGTACCTTAATATTATTTGTATTCAACCCTTTTAACGTCCCACTGCTGGGGGTGGGCCTCCCAATACGAGGGGGATCAGGCCATAGTCCACCACGCTGGCCAAGTGCGGGTTGGCGGACGAAAACTTGCTAGGTTCTCTCAGACATGCAGGTTTCTTCACCGAAAGACAAGTGGTAATCATGTTAGAAATGATTCGCACATGAAAATATCAGAGGTGCGAGACCCGAGATTTGAACCCGCTTCACTCGGTTTCCCAAGCGAACGCTACTACCACTGGGCGACCATTGCCTGTAAATATTATTTATGTATTGTAAATAATTATTTTGAGTCCCACAAGATGCAATAAAAACTTAAACAATTCCAACATGGATCACTCCGTAAATAAAATTTATTTATATAATTATATCGTTTTTTTATATAATTTTCTCGTTTTTTATAAATTAAAACACTTACAATTCTATGTTATTCAAACTCAAAGCTCCAGTTTTTGTTACATATTGATATAAATATACATAAGTATAAGATTACACGCAAATATTAGTAACATAAAGATTGCTATATCAATTGCAGGAGCAAAAGTACTTTCAGCAGCCACAAAAACAAAGCAGCAAGCCGATACATCTGATACATATGTGTAAATTACAGCCAGATCGAGTAATTTTTTTTTTATTTTTTACTGTGCATTACATATTTCTATGCGACTTTATGATTAAATTCATTTTTTTAAAATATAAGAGGTTCTCAAACTATATTATATACTTACTTAAAAAACAATGAATATTCTCTATAAGGAGTTTAAAAGGCCATTATCTCTTTAAGTGATTATTAGATATATTTTACTCAAAAACTCCTTCATTCAAAATAATTATTAGTACAATACGCTTAAAAAATCTTCCATATCCATAATAATTTATAATTCCTTGCTTTCTAGCTCTATTTTTAAGTAAATTAATAAGTAAAAAAATTTCAAAGTATTTATGAATCAGTATCAAAAATATGTGATTATAGATGCCCTACTCTTCACCACACGACCCTCCTGAAAAAGACTCCGCAGACGATCTCAACACCACCAGCGAGACGAGTAGCGATGTTGTCGGAACAAGTACTACTGAGAACGTTAGCTTTTGTTAGAATATGTAATATTATAAAATGTGTTTCGAACATCCCCTTTTGGAATTAAAGAGTGATACTGAGTTTTTATGGAAATTATCCAGCTTTTTTTTATTATCAAACAATTTAATTGGACATTATTCGCACACTAATAGTTACCTATATCAAGTTAGCTCTGCAGATTATCTATACATTTAATAAAATTGTAACTAAGTCGAATCTGAACATTAAATATTTCTTGGAAAATCTTATTGAAATAGACATACATTATTATCGATACAGAGTCCGAATCTATAGTATTTAGAATTTTTGTCTGTCTGTCTGTCTGTTACCGCATCACGAGACAACCACTGGATAGATTTTGATGAAATTCGGTATGATGATAGCTGGTTATCCGGGTCAACATATAGGATACTTTTTACCCCGGGAAAATATCTCATTTCTAAGAAAAAATACAAAAACTGCATTGTAAGAATATACTATTATGTAAAACCTAAGAATTTGGTTTTTGGTCATCTAACGCGGGCGGAGCCGCGGGCAATGCTAGTTTTAAATATATTAAGCACTTTAGCTCGAATATTCTCTATCTGTCTTGTTTATTAAGCAATACAAGAGAATGTAAGTTAAATTTGCATGCAGTTAGGGCTAGCAGAATTAAAGACTGGACCACCTCACAGAGCGGTCTAAACATATTAGATAATAGGAAAATCTTTATAAATGTAAATGAAATGATAGATATATAATTTTTAATCTTTAACTTTTAATATCTTTAAAGAAAATGTATGATGAGCAAATATACACTTTAAAAGTATGATTATACGTTATACACGTAGTTTCAAAATAACATGAGATATCAGTATATTGCCATGTTACTGAAAGCATACTAAGGCACAATATTAGGATTTTGAAGCTGTTACAGCTTGTGTGTTCTTTTAATATAGAACCAGGGCACCAGTAAGCAAAGTGAGCGGAGGCACAGCGTCGCAGCTTCCTATCTAGCCGCGGCAACAGCGGCACTAGCTAGTTCAAGAAGGTTAATATATTTTTTATCTCATCCTATATAGTCAAAGAAAAGTATATTTTTTAACGTAAAATTTAAACTTGACGAGTTAACTCAGATACCTTTGAGTTAGTAAAATAATTATTCTTTATTAAATTCAATTCCATGAAATTCGGGTTGGAATAAGATACAAAAACTGATTTTAAAAGAAGTATACGTATGTATGTCATTACTCATTAGGTATATAGAGCAATTAAGAGTTATGTATTGCATACATAAATTTACATTTTAATCTTTATATATATAATTCTTCTGTGAGTGTGTATGTCACTGAACTTCTCTCATACGACTGGACCGATTTTGATGAAATTTTTTGTGTGTGTTCAAGGGGATCTGGGAATGCCTAGATTCACAATTTGAATAATAATTTTTATCAAAAAAAATTATTAAAAAAAGTTTGAAATTTTCAAATTAAAGACGTGTAGACAGGACAACGTCCGTCGGGTCCACTAGTATTATATAAGCTAACACATTCGACCAATAAAAAAGACTTAAAATAAGGCATCGTCAATTTTATTTATATCTATTACGTATATTATGATTTAAATATAATTGCTGTTAAGTTGTAGTATTAATACATTCTGTGTGTTTTAGAGACTCACAAAGTCCAGGAGCACGACCTCAAACAGCAAATACGTCGCGTCAAGACGCCCAAGCGGTCTCACCTTCTAGATTCCAAAGCCCACAAATATCAATGTTCAACCATTCTAAGGAGTCTCTTGCTAGAATCAATATGTAAATCTATACATATAATAAAATTGTAACTAAGCCGAATCTGTACATTAAATATTTTTTGGAAAATCTTATTGAAATAGATTTTATTATCGATACAGAGGCTGAATATACAGTTTTTAGAATTTTTGTCTGTCTGTTACCGCATCACAGAAAAGCTATTAGACAGATTCTGATATGGTATGGTGATAGCTGGTTATCCGGGTCAACATATAGGATACTTTTTACTGCGGGAAAATGTCTTATTTATGAGAAAAAATACAAAAACTGCATTGTAAGAGTATACTAATATGTAAAACCTAACAATTTGGTTTTTGGTCATCTGAACGCGGGCGGAGCTGCGGGCAATGCTAGTATATAATAAATATAGCGTTTCCTTAACGATTTCGAAAAAATATTTATTCTAAATAGCCATATCTAATCTATAACGTATGTACTTTAGAGGGACTGACATATTTTTTGTACGATAAATATACAGTTATAATACATACATCACTAGACAGGCATACTGTGTTGTAATATTATTTTATTTAGGTTGCAGTATACATTTGCTACAATAACAATAAGCTCTTTCATATATTTATATCTGTTTAGCGATGCAGATTAACTGTAACCATTTCCGCTGTGACGTTCCCAGAGAAACATAAATGGTGCGCTCAGCGCTGATGATACTTTGAATGGACTGGCTTGAATGAAAACTGAAAATTCTCTTTGTTTTTTTGAATATCGACATAAAAGTAGCAGTACTCTTCATATTGCATTTCATTCGGTGATATTTGTTTTGTAAATGAGAACTAAAGACTTAACCGTTCCCTATTTGTCGACACGTTTGGCTCAGTTTGTAGTGACCCTACTTGCTGTGCCAGCGGTCGCGGGTTCGAGTCCCGCTGGGGGCATTCATTTGTGTGATGAGCACGAACGTTTGTACTCCAGTCATGGGTGTTTATATTTATAATATGTATGTATTTAAAGTTATATATGTGTAGTGTATCAACTATCTGGTATCCATAACACAAGCCTCGTAGCTTACCATGGAACTAGATGGCGCTGTGTGTTAATGTCCCAACATATTTATTTATCTCTTTTCCCTCTCCATTTCTCGCCTTTTCATTAATATGGAACAGCTTCTACTGGTAATAAGCCAAAAGTAACTCTAATATTGCAAAATCCAATTACCAATTGCCACATCTTTCACATAAAAAGAAAAAGAAGCCAACGTCAGTCGAGCTATGATACGAGTATACAGAGTAATAAATAACATCCTTGAGGGAAGCCAGTTGCCAAGCTGGTCTAAGTTGCGCACCCCGTTCAGATGAAACATTATGATGCAAATTTATGTTTAATACACACGAGTAACACAAATTAAAATTCTTAGACAGCGCCAAACGGTCGTCACAAATATATTACATTACACACAAACGTAACCTCTGTTACCTTACTTCAAGCCTGTATACAGTGCTTAAGCAATCATAGATAGCTTAAGCAGCTGGCTAAGCAAGCTAAATTTATCTAAATTCTAATGTTTAACAAAAATTACCTTTAGTATAAAAGATACAACTATATATAGACTTCCTACACCAGGTTTCTAGTTTATTATAATTGTTTATTAATAAATTATAGGAATAAATTGTCAACGTCAATTCTCGGACCATCCAATAAGAATTATATCGCTGATGGGTCGCTCTTCAACTGGGACAGAGAAACGGTCTTGGTGTTTGGCGGCACCGACCCACACACTACGTATGGAACAGCTGGAAACAATGGAAAAGACATTTTTAGGTTTGATTTAATTTATTATACTTGTTACGTAATAATACGTGATATCAATATTTTTTGTAAAACAAAGTAATATAATATGAAAAACGTATTTGTTGATATGTCCATCTTTTGCTCACCAACAAAGCAATAAATTGAGATGATTTATCTGTATAAAGACTATATCTAATCTTTTATTTTGCAACAACCTATTCGGGAATTCACCTGACCGAAACCATACAGAGTCACTACTAAAATATACCTACATATGGTTACCCTTACATTCCTTCATTACTCTGCGTATATTAAAGTCTTCTGAGCAAATATAATACTTACGTCAGGAATCAAACTTATGTTATCCAGCATACCAGCCCGACTCCCCTAGATCATGCCCTCCAGTCCTTTAGTGCCTTTCTGCGCAATCACAACCGTTAAATGCATTAATTTAACCTATATATGTAATATAATGTATTTTAGATTCGATCCTGTGACAAATTCTTGGGATTTAGTAGGTGAGCTTCCTGAACCGCGACATCATCACTCGGTGGCTTTCTTACGTGGGAGAGTATTTCTTGTTGGTAAATATCAATATACATATGCTGGTAGTTATAATATTAAATCCTTATTAATTTATCTACTGTAATCAAATATTTAATTATAACAACTAAAACGAGCAATAAGAGAATAGTTAAGAAATTAAAAATCACAAATTCCGATTGCCTTTCCAAAGTCCAAAAAGGTTTGGTATATGTAGTGTATGATCCGCGTTACGCGGAGTAAAATATATAAAATAGGGTATATATATCCATTAGAAATAACTGTACAAATGAAACGATAAATTTATAATAGACTTTAGACACACTTTAAAAACTATATAAAATTACATAGAGCTGTACAATATACATCCGTCTATACAAGTCTCTCTCATAGGTGCAAAAATCTTTTGAACTATGTAAACGTCTGATTCACGATAAAGATTTTTATTGTTATTACCTATTTATATTACAGGAGGTGCAGACCCCCGTGAAGATGACTTACGCGGCAAATCTGTGGTAGTATCCACGGTGTGGAGCTATGAACCCGTGACGAGATCATGGTATAGCGAATCAGGACTTGCAATACCGAGGAAAAACTTTGGTCTAGTCGTGCATCGCATGGCGTTGTATGCGATTGGAGGTCAGGATAAAAAGGGACGGTAAGTATATACAGACGAACAGACAAAAATTTCTATAACTGCAGTTTTTGGGTCTATATTCTGTACACAATACTTACCAGTGATAGTTTTAAAGAAAATATTGCCTGTACTGATTTCGCTTGGTTATTATTTTATTATATGTACATATATAGATACGTCTTTCCTGAAAACTTTTTTAATAAACCAATCAGAGTACTTCGGTCTATCGAACGCTTCGATCCTAAGACGGGTTCGTGGAGCGAAGTGCGCGCGATGCTGACGGCGCGCATGGCGGCCGCCACCGCCAAGTACCGCGACTACATCTGGGTGGCGGGCGGCATGACCGGCGAGCGGCGGCGCCCGCTGTGCTCCAGTGTGGAGTGTTACAATTCTAAAACCAATCAGTTAGTTCAGTTTTTGATGTACATACAGATTTGTAATGGGTTTGTTTTTTTATTATTATTAGGTACGAATAGTTATAGAATGCAGAGTATTATTATTTACTAGTTAATACTTTCTTAGATATATGTGATTATTTCAGATTTTTAATAAAACTTTTGGATGGAGGATTTTTACGCGGATTTCTTTTGATTGAAACAGAAACTGAGTCTCTTCCGTGACCATGGTATGGTTGCTGTGAAGCATTCTAAACGTTGAGAACCAAAAGTCAAAATAATTCCGCCAAAAAAACCTAAAAGATAGTTTTCTTTTAAATGCCTTATTAGTTTCTTTTTTCGTGCCTTATTTTTTTCTGTCATGACTTATTTCTCAAATATACTTCAAATATGAGTTTGCTAGAAACTTTATATAATACTTAATCCTTGATATCAAAAATGACAAATATAAATATTTATAATGAAAACAAAGATATTAAATGCAATGATGATTTATTGCTAATATAGTAATTATGAGGTAATATTAGCTCTTCATAACTATGTATTAGTAAAATTTAAAATTTAAACATTTACTAGTACATGGTAAGATTAAAGAATCTAATATTTAATACTACAAATTAAATTACATGATAATGGCAACAACAGACAAACATAAATACATGTAACAAACAAAAATTTAAAACAGTTTAAATATACATAGAGATGGTCAAGCTACTTGTGATGGATATAATATAGATTTTGTATATACTTCTAGATGGACAGAGATCCACAGTTTAAGATTTCCAAGATGCTTCGCTACGTTATTTTCTATGAACGACAAATTATACATCATTGGCGGCGCAGGCAAGATGTCCGATAAGGTACTGACTTAAGAAAAAGTATTTTTTTTAATTTATCTATACATATAATAAAATTGTAACTAAGTCGAATCTGTACATTAAATATTTATTGGAAAATCTAATTGAAATAAACATTATTATCGATACAGAGTCCGAATCTATAGTTTTTAGAATGTTTGTCTGTCTATCTGTTACCGCATCACGAGAAAACCACTGGACAAATTTTGATGAAATTTGGTATGATGATGCTGGTTATCCGGGTCAACATATAGGATACTTTTTACCGCGGGAAAATATCTCATTTCTGAGAAAAAATACAAAAACTGTAATGTAAGAGTATACTAATATGTCAAACCTAAGAATTTGGTTTTTGGTCATCTGAAAGCGGGCGGAGCTGCGGGCAATGCTAGTAATATTATATAATTAATAATTATGTATATATTATTAGTACGGATTATTATTCTAACATGTTGACGATATAATGAAATCAATAAATTAGTTAAAATTTATTGTAAACAATGCAACTTAGTTTCCGCGACTTGTGCGAAACTTAAATAGGCAAATATTTAAAACTCTATCTTGGGTCTTTTACTTCATCACGGTATTTTACTTCACGCAAACTTAAATAAATATTGAACTTCAAATAAGGCCGGTGTTTGCTTTATTACTCGTAGCTATATGATATGGTAGGGGAGCCCACGAAGCTAAATGGGGATTTACTCGAGCGTCGTAGAGACCTATTGGGATGCAAAGCTTAGATGATAAGAAGAAAAAAATGTTATATGATATATACCTTTACATCGGTGGGGGAAGCGGCTATAGATTTTTAAATATGTAAAAAAAAACTGTTGCATAGACATCCTCGAGCGCGTCAGATATTGATAGCATAAATGCCCTACGTATTTTTAATAATGTACGTATGTTAATCTGATCGTTTGCATGATGCGGGTGGTTGTATTTAAGGGTTGAAAATGAAAAAAAAAAAATTTAATCGAGCGCGTCAGATTTTCTAAGGGAGTGTTAAGTGCACCAAAAAAAAGCTCTCATTCACTAATCTGACGATTTCGATGGGACGCAAACTCGCGGCCATTTTCATAATGTGCAAAAAAAAATCGCCATTTTGAAATACTCAAGCGCGTCAGATTAAGATATATATGGTTCATCTTTATGTTCTAAACGTACTGTCTCATAATCTGACGATTATCTAGAGGGATTCGCCTGATCTGACAAAAAAAAATTAGAAAAACGGTTCACCTTAAAGGCCATACCTGCAACTTCCATGAAAACTACCAATCAGTTATTTTTTACTTTTTAGTGCTTTTGTGATTCTAACGTGTTAGGCTTGTCAAATCAAACAAAATAAGCCCAAACTCAAAGTATCTACTATTAGCCGTTGAAGAGTTCCACCTATCCACCTTCTGGCCTTGCCATCAGATCAGGTCAACAACACCGAACGACTGTACTATCAACGGAAATAGAAATACTTGCAAAGTTTCAAGTCAATATGACTATTAGAAGTAGGTTAAATTCATCATTAGTAGTTTTTCCACCCTTAGGGGTGGTATTTTTTTTTGAAATTTAAATGGGACCAATCTGGAAGTATACCCTTTCAAACGACACAAAAATTGTCCAAATCGGTTAATAAATGACGGAGTTCTGAGGTAACAAACATAAAAAAAAAAAACATATAGTCGAATTGAGAACCTCCTCCTTTTTGAAGTCGGTTGATAAACTAATACAACAGGGTGTGCGAATAATTCGAACTTACGAATTATTCGTTCCGAATCGAATATTAATATTCGATTCGAAACTCGAATCGAATAATTCGAAAATTCGAATTATTCGAAAGTTCCCGAATAATTCGAAAAATTTCGAATAATTCGAACATATATTGCAAATTTAAAAAATGAGCAATTGTTTTCTCTGGGTAATTTATTTTTAAACGAAAAGTATATTATTCGTAAGTAGACTATTTTGACACACGATTTGAAGGAATTTAAATGGATACAATTGAAGATCCAGAGATATTTCATTAATTCGCGAATTATTCGAAAACTTTCGAATTATTCGAAATTTTTACGAATTATTCGAAATTTTTCGAAATTCGAATCGAATATCAATATTCGAAGGATGTTCGCACACCCCTAGACTCTTTATGATCAGCTGTGATGGTGTCATGGCGGCAGAAACCAGAGTGGGGACGGAGTGAGAGAGTAATAGATAGAGAAAGAGTGAGAGAGGAATAGAAACGCGGAGAAGGAAATGTAGGCATCACGCAGCTGCACGCATTTAACTTTATCGACGAATTTTGGTTATTTCGGCTTGCGGAAATCGTCAGATTATATATTTTTCATTATTCTTGCATTATTTCCTTCAAAATAAAAAAAAATTTAGCTACGCTCGAGAATGTCGAGATGACGTTTTTTTTTTTACAACTTTGTTGCCCTCCCCTTTTTTTACGTCACTCTCAAATTGTCAGATTAGTGGAATATACACTTTTTAGGATGTAATTAACTCACCCTACCTTAATCTGACGCGCTCGAGAATTTCTGGTGGTCAATTTTTTTTTACTAATCTGATCCTGTATTCTTCACGGGCGGCCTTATATATGGGCCTCATGTTTTGTGGAGGTACTTAACCGGGTACAAGGTATCCCCCTGTATATTAATCTGCCGCGCTCGAGTAACTACAGAAAATCCCCTCTTGGGCTCCCCTACTAATATGTCTATAGATAAATTTATTTCATACAAATATTGATTATGTTATTTTATTCATGATAACACAACACATTAACATTATATATGTAGTGAACAATTTAAGATAGGTACCTACAGTACTTAGACGACAAGTTTGGCTCAGTTTGTAGTGACCCTACTTGCTGTGCCAGCAGTCGCGGGTTCGAGTCCCGCTGGAGGCATTAATTTAAAGTTAGATATGTGTAGTGTATCCACTATCTTGTATCTATAACTCAAACCTCGTAGCTTACCATGGAACTAGATGGTGTTGTGTGTTAATGTCCCAACATATTTTTTTTAATATATTGTTATTTACAGTGCTCATAGTAATTATTGACTCTCCGCAAACGGGAAAAGAAATCGGCCAAAAGTTTCAATTTACGGCCAAGTATAGTACTAAAATGATATTATAAAAATAAAGAAAATCTTTGTTTGTTTGTAGATAAACTCTACAATCACTACATAATAACCGATTTTAATATTTTTTGCTCCATAAGAAAGCATCATTATCTAAAAATTGTAATAGCATAGGCTATTTTTTTAGTAATAATTTTACAAGTTTATCAGTAGTAATTATAATAGAAATATATAATTATAATAGAATATACGAATATTTTGGTACTGTTTATCACAAATTGTCAGGACAAAACGCCGAGTAGTGTGGGCGCGATAGATGTATGGGACTGGAAGGAGCGGAAGTGGAAGCTGGAGACTGAGATGTCGATACCTCGCCACGGACACGCACTCGCCTATCTCGGTACACAGCTCATAATAATAGGTAAGAAATATTATTAGTTTATTTTAAAGTGTTTTCTTTTCACCCAAACGTTTAACAATCTTAACCAGCGCACGTATTAAAAGGTTCATTATTGTATTATTGTTAGAAAATTATTAAAAAAAAGATGAAAAATGTTCTTTTCAATGTATGTATGAATCATCATCATCCAACTCCAAAATTAATTTTTCAAAAACCAAATTTTCACATTTCGATGCAATTACTTGTAGATATTTTTAAACTGCACATTAAAGAAATTACTTTATATGCTGACCGTTTGCTTTAACGTGCAGAAAACACGTTTGCGGAAAACAGATAAAAATTCTAAGTAATGACAAAATTTTATAAATCTGGGATTTTTATCTAGAAATCTATAAATATCTACATTGTACAATGTACATATCTATTACAAAAGTGTAAAAGTGGCCAATAACTTATAACATGTAACAAAGAAATCAATCAAAACAGCTGATCTTAATCTATATCACCAATCACTAGTTCTGTGAATCCCTACGCATTTATTTTGATGGTAATTGTTAAATTAAATGCGCAAATGAGGGATTTATATATATATATATAAATCCCTCGATGTATAACAGTAGCTTATATTATGATCCGCCAGATCATAGACTATCTGTGTTCTTTACATCCGAATCCGTTTCAGCATGAAAGAGTAACAAAAACATACACACATACACAAACTTTTACATTTATAATAAGGTTTTCTTTTTTGTGATTTCTTTAATGGCAATTTCTGTCTTATATAGAGTATCATTTTGAACCATTTGCATTATAACATATAAATGAATAACATATACTGTAACACGCATAGGCAATGTAATTTCAAAAATATATGCAAAAAAATAATAATTTAGCAACAACAAAATTTATATAAAAACCTGGGTTGGCTGCTTGAAATATATATATATATATATATATATATATATATATATATATATATATATATATATATATATATCTTATTTTTATCGTATCGTCCATATTCACGATATTTAAAGTCTACGAGTATAATCTATGTTATTTTTGCAAATACGAGAATTCCTTTCAAAAATATGATAATATCAATCAACTGTGTACCTACGTAATATAAAATTTGTTTTGTAATGGAAAAAGTACTCAAAGTTGGATTTAATAAGATATAAGGTTTTATCTATCATGTGTCGAAATATATAGCTTATGTGAGTTATATATAGCAATATTTATCGGGCATTAAATATAGTTATTAGATTAGTATAATAATAAGTAATAGCTAATTTATTAAAAATATCTATACATATTATAATAAAATTGTAACTAAGCGGAATCTGTACATTAAATATTTTTTGGAAAATCTTATTGAAATAGACATTATTATAAAAAATATCTAAATACAGATTGGACTCACTTAGAATTTTATTATATTATATATAGACTTAAGATTTGTATAGTTGACAAAAACAAATCCATGAGTGTGTAACAAACAATGAATGTAACAACCAATAACAAGACATCACTTAGAACACTGTTTTTTGAGAGCCGAGTAGCCGTGTGGTCGGATAAATTACCACTATTCCAGATCTCTACGGATTATTATACGGATATTTAATATATAAATTATGTCACGGTATGGATAAAGTAAAACTCTGTTTTTGTTCTTAAGACCTATGGCGACCTAACGAGGCCATAGAATGTGCAACATTATTTATTATATTCTTTTACCACTAAACTGACAACCATGTCTCTAGGTCGCAAGTTCGTATCCCGCTCGAGGCAATTATTCACATAGTTAATACAAACATGTCATTGCTTATGTTTTAAGAACAGAACAGAAATTTAAAAATTGAATAAGTTAATATGATGTTTAACTTCATAGGTGGAGTTACAACAATCTATATGCGGGCTTTGAGCAATGTAGAGTCGTTTTGTTGCGAGCGTGGTGCTTGGATTCGGGGTGTCGCCACGTTGCCGTCTCCGCTCTCTGGTCATGGCGCTGTCACCTTACCACCTGCGTCCCTTATGTAATTAACACACTAATAATTTATTATTAACCTTCGCACTTAGTACTTACACGATGTTAAGTACATAAAAGTATATACATATATGATAATCTTATCACTAACTATGTATTTCAACTATTTTATCTGCTGTTTTATGTCTATATTCCATTAAATTTCCTACTTCATATTGTATTTACTTTTGTATGCTTTATTATGTTAATAAATGGATAAAAAATCTTGAGTGTTTTAGAAAATGTTACTTTTAGGAAATTTTATGTCAATAATTTATTATTTTAACGTTTTTATTGTTGTTGTTGTATAAATTTAAAGTACATTTTACCAGATCTTATACAAGTTGTTTTATTTATGGATATTATTATCTTGAGATGGATGTTAGCACAGACAGCTGGCAGCTGATAAAATATCAGATTTTCATAAAGGTCAGTGTCCAGTTTGACATTATTAAGGACATTTTGCATGTTTGCAATATAATATCGACGGCACGTTTGGTTCAGTTTGTACTGACCCTACTTGCTGCGAGTCCCGCTAGGGGCATTCATTTGTGTGATGAGCACGAATGTTTGTACTCCAGTCATGGGTGTTTATATTTATAATATGTATGTATTTAAAAGTTATAAATGTATAATGTATCAACTATCTGATATCCATAACACAAGCCTCGTAGCTTACCATGGAACTAGATGGTGTTGTGTGTTAATGTCCTGACATATTTATAATTACGTTTTTATAGTTGTAGTAGCCAAGTGGCTAAAACGGAACCCTTATATTTTCGCTATGTTCGTCTGTATGTCTCAGCTATTTTACTCAAAAACTATTCAAGATACATTCTTAAGTAGGTGTCTTGTGTAAACCACAAGATAATTACAAAAAAAATAAAAAGGAATGATACTCGATGTATGTTTTTAAAAATTCAGATAGATATGTCTAAATGCGTTTTTTTGTTCAAGCTAATAATTGCAAAATCATATACTCCTAAAGTCATAAACATTGTGTAAAAGCTAACAAAAGCGTGTTGAAAAGATTATAAAATGATGAACCACCATCTTAAAAGTAGAACTATGTACGAGTATACAAGAATATGTTCGTAGGAATAAATAATAAAAATATTAATTTTTATATACTATGTATTAATGTAAATAATTAATTAATATATAAAATTTATTTTATAGAGTCGCATCGTATCAAAAAAACCACACGTAAATGCTTAAGACTCTTAATAAAATTCTATAATAATTTTTATATCTACCTAAAATTAATAACCCATAATAACTAATATCACATTTCATTTATCAATTATTGTACATATAAGGCTGTTACTATTTTAGAGGCTTAATCGCAAGATAATTATAAAGACAAATAATATTTTTTATCTAATTTTACAATAACAGTTGAAACAAACAAATGCAAATTTTGTAAGACTATTTGTTTGTCGAATATATAAATAAAACCTGCTAATATTTATTTAGTGATTTTCGAAACAATTTTAAAACATTTCGATTAGGCCGTTCTTGTACTGTTAATTGATTTTTGATCCTTATTTAGTCCCAAACTTCTCTGCAGATTCCGAGCGCGTCCCTTTTAAACCCATCTTCACAAGGCTCGTAGGTTTTGAAAAATGATTCTCTGTTTAAAGGCACGAATCTAGTCTGCTTTAAGTGTAATATATCCTGAAAATATAAATATTATTTATTATCATTTAAATGAAATAGAAAAGTTAAATAGTGTAACTAATAAAATTGTCGATAAATATTAATATTATAAGTTACTGTAGCTTTTAAAAATATATATAATGCTAAAAATATTTAGGGCTTACACCATTTCACCATTCTTTTAACTCAGTATTTATAAATAACTTGTATAATTTTAAAAACAATGCCCATAAATACAGTCAATCAATCAAAATATAATATGAAATGATAAAATATCCTTTTAATCGCTCTATTTATATCTATTTACTTCTACTTTATCGCAGAAATATCTAAACAAAGATTGAATGAAAAAAACAAGAAAAATAAAACAAAAGAAAATGTACTTCTTCACAGCGTTCAATATGTTGTACAGAAATCAAATAATGGAATATATTTGAGAAAGATAAATGGAAGCTATTTACAAAAAACTATTAGGTATTAAGGGTTTTTATTAACGCAATAGAACGCAAAACAATGATTTTTAGAATTTTTGTCTGTTTGTCTGTGGGTATGTGCGCGCTGATCTCAGAAACAGCTTAACCGATTTGGGTGCGGTTTTCAATAATGTATTGTGGTAAGCTTCATTTAACATTTAATATTTTTTTGTTTTATTTCAATCGGTTCATAGATAAAAAAGTTATGTCAGTTTAAAAATCATATTCTAACTGGTAATAAAATAAACTATAATGCACAAACATCTACAATTCAATTAAAAGTATCGAATACAAAGGCCTCCATTAGAGTCGATAAGTATCATTGATTATCACACACACATCACTCACTCATCACAAGCACAGGTTTCGAAACCGCATCTACCGGAGATCGTTACTAACCAAGGGCTTCATCATGTAATAACATAATAAAAGACATTTTATTGAAACCTTATAATGTACTACTAAAAACTTAGATAAAACACAAGCATGTTATGTCCGAATATTAGAAACTAGAACTACAAAAACAAACCTATCCCACGGAAACCGTACATTTTGCCGGGACAAAAATTAGCCTATGTTTTATTCCAGTCTATAATCAATCACAGTGCCAAATGTCATCCAGATCCGTTCAGCCGTTCTGGCGTAAAAGAGTAACAAACATCCATACTCACAAACATTCACATTTATAATATTTACTAGTGGCTCACCCTCGCTTTGCTCAGGTTCGCCTCTAGAAAAACAAAAACAAATCTAGCTCACGGGATGAAAAGTAGTGTATGTGTTATTCTGATGTATGAGCTATACTATTGCAAAGCTTCATCCAAATCCATTCAGTAGTTTTTGCGTGAACGAGTAACAAACATACATCCATACATACATACTCACAAACTTTCACATTTATAACATTTATTATATCATACATATAGACGACTAGAAATAGAAGTAAAATACTAATCTAGATAACATGTCTTCGCATTTATAATATTAAAACAAATAGACAAAGGTAAATAATTTAACTTACAACTGGCGTATCTTCCGTATTTAGATCTTCGAATATAATATCATTCTCCAATATGTGGCCAGGATGAATATGCCTCGCTTGGCACATCACTCCAACAAGTACTAAAAATGCTAGTTGTTTCATATTTGCGTTCGATTCACTCCTGCTTTCGATGCAACAATTTGATAACTGAAATGGACGTCGTGGCGTAGTTTTTAATATAACAAAATGTTATCGACAGCTGTATCGTCACAACGTATGATTACAAGTTGACGCCAAACAGACTCTTTATACAAATCTGGGAGTCTTCTTCAACGTACATGTGACGCATCTACAAAAGAACAAACAGTGGTTCACAAGACACACCACTTACTGACTCATCAATTAATTTGAAATTACGCCTAAACGTAAACTTTATACATATTTAAACGTATGTATTTTAAAACTAATTTAGGTTAAGGTTGAACATAGAAATATTTTAGTTAAAAAAATTTAGATTGTGAAGATTGATTTTTCCTTATTGTATACATGAGTATTTTCATATTTTTATTTACTTTAACCTAAATAGGTAATTAATTACTGGTATTTTAGTTGTACATAAAAAGCACGTAGTATATTTTTGCACTTTACTAATCTAAACAGATTAGATATTTATTTTGTTAAATTGCAGTTTTTGTATTTTTTCTCAGAAATGAGATATTTTCCCGCGGTAAAAAGTAGTAGTAATCCTATATGTTGACCCGGATAACCAGCTATCACCATACCAAATTTCATCAAAATCCCTCCAGTGGTTTTTCTGTGATGCGGTGACAGACAGACAAAAATTCTAAAATCTATAGATTCGGCCTCTGTATCGATGATAATGTCTATTTCAATAAGATTTTCCAAAAAATATTTAATGTACAGACTCGGCTTGGTTACAATTTTATTATATGTATAGATAACTATTATGCCATACGATATTTAATTTTTAGTAATTTATCTAATAGATATACTTACAGAATATACCTAAAGTATCCGTCTTGTATTGAAAGGCAGGCCGTGCCCAGCAGCGACGTTAAAAAAAGACTGAATATATACCTATAATAAAATACTTTAAATTTTTATAAACTTCGGAAGATCTTATAAATAACGTATATAGATTATTATAAATTTCTTAAGTTTTATTAGTATATACCAATTTCAAATCATCCTTTTTTAAAGTTTATTATTCTTAAAACAAACAATACTTGTACCTACCTACCTATAACCGTCAAGTTTTCTATCTTTTCTAGAATATTATAATAGTTATTTAAAAAAATTGGTAATTTCAATATATCATGATAAAGAACGTAGCTATATTCGCAGAAAATCACCTTGTGCAATTTTAAAAACGTTGAATACAAAATAAACACTAAACACGTGTCCAGCTATCAATTCTCAAAAGCCTCCACTTTCTAAATAATCAGTTAAGCAATAGTCTGATAATAGCTGTTATTTGTTATCTTGATGTTAAAGAATAGTATTGACATACACTTTAATAATAAATATTGTTATTTACAGCAATATTACGAAACTCACGTAGGTATATTTGTTATATAACTAATATTACGAGAAATAATATTTACGAGGACCGCGAGGAATATGATCGTACCTATGTTTTATAAAACGATGAATGCTCTTCGAAGCTCAGCATTTTTACTAAATTTTACTCCACCCGTTCTTCCGAGAGAGCGGTTTGAAATAACACAAAAATAAAAACCGACTTCAAACAAAAGCACTAAAAAGTAAAAAATAACTGATTGGTAGTTTTCATTTACTATACATACCTAATCAAATATTTTTGAAGTCGGTGTGCTTTGCTTTGTATCGGCTGGCACCGATTTCGAAAATATTTGATTAGGTATGTATTTAATAGGTAGGCTTTAATTACTTATAAATAAACTTTAAACTATATTATATTATAAGAATTTAGAATTCCCCGAACCAATGCTAGTGACGTCTTTAAAACTCATAGTACTCTGATGTACGCAACGCTCTACATCCTTCAAGTTCGACTGTGTCAACAAAATAATTCAAACGGTCTCAAATACTAGCTAATATTTCATATCAGTATAAAAATATATAAAATGCACAGTTATCATCATACAAATATTCTGTACACAAATATTCTTTATATCTACAGACAGAAAAAGACATTCATACTTTTTTAATATTATAAATGTGAAAGTGTGTTTGTATGTTTGTTTGTTTGTCCTTCTTTCACGTCGAAACGTAGTGGCGGATTGGCGTGATTTTTTGTGTAGAGATAGTTGGAGGGCTGGAGAGTGACATAGCCTACTTTTTATTGCGAGAAAGTACGTTATTGTAGGGGAGCCCAAGAGGGGATTTTCTGTAGTTACTCGAGCGCGGCAGATTAACATAAAAGAGGTTACCTTGCACTCTATTGAGTACTTTCACCATAATATAAGTCTTCTATATAAAGGGGCGCGTCTAGGGAAGCCGATTAAAATATTTAAAAAATGTTTTGATAAGGTAGAAATACTTGAAACCGTCAGATTAAGGTGTGGTAGGCTAGTCACATCCTGAAAAGTGTCCAATTCAATAATCTGCCGATTTGCACAAGCCGAAGAGGCAAAAATCGACTATAAAGTCTATGATGAGTACCTTTTTAGAGATTTTTTTGTAGTTTCAGCGCGAGCAAAGCCGCGGGTTCTGCTAGTATTTTTATATTTTCTAAACTATTGTAATACAGACCTAAATATATAATAGTCATAACGGACATAATAGATTACATAAACAATTTTCGATAGGTTTCAAAAAAAGAAATACTATGGCTTATGTTTTATAGGACGTCTGTGTTACGCGATATAATTGACTCTTTAATGAATTCCGTATGCCATTTTTAGTTAAAAAACAAATTCATCTTGTTTGTTTTTGTAATTTCCACGAACAACTCTCTGACGCAAATTAATATGTACAACTTTTCTACAAGCTGAATATTAACATAAACAAATAACATTAGTTAGGTTATTCTTAAATTCGAGTGAGGAGTCAAGAACTTATTATCTTTATTAAAAGAAATATATTTTTGTCATTATGTCATTGAAATAGATGAATTTACTCATTGTAGATTTTTTTAATATTCTCCGTAATATTTCCATTGGTCGATGTTTCCAAGTGTAGTTCTGTGACGCGCGATCCGAGTGCACTGCAAGTTTGTTCCCATCACCTCACCAGGAGGACACTTTTCTTTGTCTATAAAAAAATTAAAAGTTTCTTAAGCGTTTTGTTTTATTTTTTATATTTTTATAGTACCTACTAATATGAAACTTATGGCCGATTTCACCAACGTCACCTAAGTTTAAGGGATCCCCTAAGCATGGTTAGGGGGCTGTTAGGGGACAGTTTCTGTTTCACCGACAGTTAGGGGCACCTAAATGTTAAAATGTTAACCTAAATGGTAAAACGAAATATAATTTAGGGGCTAGTTTAGGGGAACTTTTAACCTTTTTTTAAGCTAGGAATCCCATACGTAGGTGGTAGCTTATGGGATGTTGGTGAAATCGGGGATTAGAAACGAAAATGAACTTCTAATGTTGAATTATCTACACTATTATTATAAAGAGGAAAAATTTATATTTTTGTATGTAACTTAAATAAACTCAAAAACTCCTGGACCGATTTAGATGAATTTTGGTAAGAAAAAATCCAAAGATTTTTATTTACATAGGATTTTATTCCGGAAATCATCCCTTAAGAGGGTAAAAATGGGGATGAAAGTTTGTATAGAGAACTACTACACTACTACTACTACCTATAATAATAATGTAGTAATCAACCTGTAAAAAATTGTGAAACTTCTAATTTTCCTTGTAAATATCATAATTTGCTAGAAAAACCGTAATAGTTTGATTAGAATTAGAATCGTATTTCAAGAATTTGTAGCCACGGGAAATGATGCAATAATAACAAGTTTATATCGACTTATTAAGTACATAACTGTGTAACTTTACACCTGAATTGTGACACGTACATATTTTATGATAGTTTGCGATAATATCGGATATGTTACAATTTTTATGAAATAATTTACAGAAAAAGATGTCAAGCCAAAAAATCTCAAAACTGTTGCATATTAATAATCCTAAGTAAAACAGTGGTTGCATGAATCTTTAAGATTTTTTTTATCATTATTATATTCTTCATTGCACTTAAAATTCTATATCATAGAAAAAAAACAACAATACACACAAAGGTGGACTTATCTCTAAAAGAGATCTCTTCCAGTCAACCCCTGGATGTGGAAGATGTATCATTTTATTAACTTACTATATTTTACCCTCGCTCGTGTATTTATAATACAATTTATAAATAATTACTTTACCCTTAAGGGTAGTTAAGAGAAACTTTACTCGTAGATCTATCTTTAAGTGCAATTTCTGTTTTTAAGTTTATGTACATAATATGGAATATTTTTCTATAAATTAAAAGAAACATTTTTATTTAATTACATTTTTATTCGCTATGAATGGTAATAATATATAAAAACTAATAAGAAAATAACTAACTTTTCAAAACTTTTTAATTCAAAGACCAAAAACTGTAATAATTTGACTAAACAAAATTCAGGCTTATAAAAGCTCACAAAGCTACTTTTGTCAACATAATAGTTCGAAAAGCACTTCTAATTAAAACATATGGTTATAAAAAATATAAGTATTTACAATTTTGTTAAGTGTTTTCGACACTTGATTCACTATTTTTATTATGACTATAATCATCGATTTGCCTATTTAAATAAGCATATGGCACTTCATCCATTTGTTTATTATAGTTTAAGAGGTTTTCACTCAAGGAGATTTTTGGGGTGCATAAAAGCATAATTGGCAAGGGACAATCTTGAGAACCGTATGGAGAAGAAGAATACTGGTACGATGTATCTGAGGGTGTGCTGGCACTACGAAGAAACGGTATGGGCATGGTCGGCAAAATGTTTTTCATAATCGAATCGTTTTGTAGTTGTTCCCAGAAATCATCATCAGATCGAAGCATTCTTGGAGTTCGCACATATAAGTCGCGTTCCGATGCCATATTTCGAGGCCATGTTTCGTAGTTCTTTAAATATACTGGTGGTAGATATCTTACAGGGTAAGGCTTAAAAGAAGCGGCCATTTCAGGATAACTATACGGATATAATAGTCCATTGTAACTTCTCATTAAACCAGCATCGGATGTTTTAATGTTCCATGGACCAACTGGATCAGTATTCATATCATAGTAATTATATCCGGGATTATAAATAAATTTATGGTACAAATCCTTGTTTACAAAATTTGTATTTGGTGCCAGTAGTTCAGGAGAGACCTCCTCCACATCATTTCTAGTTTTTAGTTTACTCCATCTTTCACTTTCTGCTACTGGGCATATTTCAGATGTAGCCGTTTTCATATTTAAATGTTCGTTATCACTTTTACTATCTTTATTTTTATATTTATTGGAAATAGCTTCTATTATCGTAGTTTTAGGATTTTCAAATAGCTGATTGGCTAACGTAAACCGAACCGAGCAAACAAACACACAAAATATTATTAAAAAACATTGTGCCATGGTGCACAGCTTAATAAAAACTATTACTCCTGAATTAAGAAATAATTTATTTAGTACTTCTAGTCATTCATTCATTAATGACTATCAAATTTCGCATTGAACGCATATTACGAGTACGTATTTAATAAATATTCCAAAACAATATATTGCCCCTGGGTTTTCTGTATGTATTAAAGATTTTACTGTAAAAATGTTTAAATTTTAATATTTTTCATTTCCTTAACAGGCCTTAGCCTCTTTGTACGTTATGGAGAAACTTAGCTGCTTTACCACTCGACCCTATTACTGGAAGGTATATGAAAAGGGACCATAATATAAATAATAATAATAATAAATAAATAAATGTGTTGGGACATTAACACACAGCACCATCTAGTTCCATGGTAAGCTACGAGGCTTGTGTTATGGATACCAGATAGTTGATACACTACACATATATAAACTTTAAATACATACATATTATAAATATAAACACCCATGACTGGAGTACAAACATTCGTGCTCATCACACAATGAATGCCCCCAGCAGGACTCGAACCCGCGACCGCTGGCACAGCAAGTAGAGTCACTACACACTGAGCCAAACGTGTCGTCGAAATATATTATTAAATAAAAATTAAATATAAATAATTATTAATTTATAATTTAAAAAACCCCCTACGCAAATTAATTGTCATTTGACGATTACACTGGCACGCGTGAAGCACTTAATCGAGTAATAATACGCCAAAATGCCTTACATCATTTTGGAAAAGAGCTGATACTCTTACACTGCTGGACCGATATTGGTTAACCAAACATAGCTAAGAACCACCGCAAAAAAACTGGCTTTCAAATATAAAAAAAACTGCATCGAAATCGGTCCATCCGTTTGAGAGCTACGATGCCACAGACAGACAGACACACACACAGACAGACATCGACGTCAAACTTATAACACCCCTCTTTTTGCGTCGGGGGTTAAAAAATATACCCCATGAGCAGAACGGGTTACTTTTCAACCGACTTGTTCAAAAAAGCAGGAGGCTCTCAATTCGGCAGAATTTTTTTTTTGATAACAAGTAATAAATTATGTTTATTATTCAAACGTCAATTTTTATATGATCAATACAATTTAATTGCAAATTTGAAAAATGACGAGATTTGTTTTATTGTTAGTAAAATATTATTGTGTACTAGCATTGCCCGCGGCTCCGCCCGCGTTCAGGTGACCAGAAACCAAATTCTTAGGTTTTACATATTAGTATACTCTTACAATGCAGTTTTTGTATTTATTCTCAGAAATGAGAGATTTTCCCACGATAAAAAGTATCCTATATGTTGATCCGGATAACCAGCTACCATCATACCGAATTTCATCAAAATCCCTCCAGTGGTTTTTCCGTGATGCGGTAACAGACAGACAGACAAACAGACAAAAATTCTAAAAACTATAGATTCGGCCTCTGTATCGATAATAATGTCTATTTCAATAAGATTTTTCAAAAAATATTTAATGTACAAATTCGGCTTCGTTACAATTTTATTATATGTATAGAAGAAATATTATGTAATATTAATATACCTACATACATGTTTATTCATGTTGTGTGTTGTTACCATCAGTACTTCTATATCTTTAATGAAACTTTACAAAAGTTTCTTTTTTCATTGATAATGACTCTAGGAATAATAAAAATACAAATTAAAGTTCACAACTTCACTTTATTTAAGATTTTGTGATGCATTTAGTACTAAGTCTTAAATTATAATTACAAAGTCCGTTATCTATAATCAAACATCGATATTTATATCTTAATGAAAATGAATTTATTGCTTATTTAAAGTTAATTCAGTTTTATGGTTTGATGGTGTTTTCTGTATCTTTAATGGTGTTTCATCTGTATTTTTAGTGTCTCGTTTCATATAGAACATGATGTCGTCGCCTGATCTATACGCTGGGGCAGTAATACCTGTGGGATGAGGTTTTGCTAAGCTCCCAGAAACAACCGATGGAGAACAACTTAACATCAAAGGTATGCCGCAAGCAGTGTTAGCATTGGGGAAAATACCGACTGCACCCTGGTTGTAACCACCTATAGGTAAACTCGAGCCATAACTGGATCTAGACATACCATGATGATGATGATTCCACTGTACGCCATTGTCTCTCATATTTAAGTGGGAACTCGGCTGCATCGAGCTATCTAACTCCGAGAGCTTACCGTGGTCATTTGTTCTAGATGAAAGCGGGGATAAATTATTATTGCTATCCAAATCAAATTGATTACCAAATCTGTTGGTATGTACAAAGCCGTGTTGGTGATGCATATGTGGCCTAAAGTGATGGTTGTGAAATTCAGGCACATTATTGAAGTGTTGGGACTGTAGATGCTTATGTTGGTTGTCTTGTGTCCATGTCATTGAATGGGCGTCATGCATACCTTGGTTATCATGGAACTGTTGCTCTAAGTTCATTCCTTCGCTCATTCGCATGTTTGTTTCTTCTTTGTGCATATTTTGGCCACTATGTTGTCTAGTCGGTATTGTTAATGGCATGAGAGAATGTCCTTTGTGGAAATCTGTAGCACTTTTAAAACCAGATGATAAATGATCCACCCGTTGTCTATCTTCTGACCATCCATCTACGAGAGGGGTATGTGAATTGAGATTTTGATTAAATTTATGGTCTCTATTTTTGTCTTCTATCATACTTTCTTCCATTTTCTGACTGTTTTCCATTAAATTAGTTCTAGATGTTAGCATAGATTGTCCATTTTGAAACTCTGAACTAACTTTAAATGCGGGTAGCAAATGATCATTATGTTCTTTGACTTGAGCGAATCGCATGAAATGAGAATCATGTAAGTTATTATTCTCAGCTAATTCGTTTTTCAAAGGTTTATCTTCTGTCATTCGCATACTTGCTTGTTCGTAATGAACATTCTGGCCACTTTTTAAATCAGTTGTTGGTTGAAAATCGTTATGTAAATCTGAAGCAGATTTAAGTTGAAGTTGATGGTTTTCTGCTAAGGTTTGCGCTGTATTTTGATCTTGGATCATTCTCATTTGATCATTAACCATACTCTTTCTATCAAGTTCTGATACTGTTTTAAATTGTTGTGTTAAATCATCATTATTTTCATTCGCATGTATAAAACTTAAAGTGTGGAGATCATTGTTTTCAGTCAACTTCTGGACAATGTTCTCCTCTTGGCTCATTTTGGCACTCTTGTGTTTATTTTCTTCAATAGTTGAATCTATTTTTGTCGGGAACGATTTAACTTGTTCATTAGTATAATCATTTGTAACAGTTTTAGCCAGACGCATTACATCATCATCTTGAGATGTTGTATGGAGCTCTTCATTATGATGTTTGTTTTCCTTAAACAGGGCTGCACTGTCGTGACTGGCACGCATGCTAAAAATATCTTGACCTTCCTTATCATTTAGTAAAAATTCCTTCATGTGTTCTTCGGTACTCTTTTCTCGTAAGTCATGAATATGTGTATGTGAAGGATCCTTTATTATATTTTCAAAGGGTAATGTTTCTTTTGGCATAAAAACTTCGTCGTTTTCAAATCTGACGGTATCACTATCGGATAAAGCTTTTGTTTCTGCGTGTGTTTGATCTAACATTGTATTACTAGATGTTAATGAATTTTCATGTTCTTTTTTCATATCCTTTTTATTTAAATTAACATTTTCCATCTCAACTTCTCTTGCTAGTTTAAAAGTTTCCTTATGTTCAACATCTTCATTAGAATGTGATTCCATGTTTTCATGGTTAACTTCAGGTAAGGCATTTTTCATCATTTGCAATTCATTGTTTAACGTTTTTGATTCACCAGATTGATGAGTTAATGACTCTGCATTTTTCATTTCTGATAAATGTCCATCTAAACTAGATTCGTCCATTCGTGTTTCATGCCTAGTTAAAGCTTCCTTGTCTATATTATTATTTGTAGAATCTGTTGCAGTCTTTTCCTTTTTTAGACTGTCGCTGTGAAGTTCCATTTTAAATTCTTTATTATTAGTCGTAGAAGTAAACATATCATTATTTTCTTCAAGTTGTTGTTCATTGGCAGTACTTGATTTTCGTTTTTCTAAGTTAGATATAAAATCAACATTCTCCTCTTTACGAAGAGTTTTCAGATCTTTCGTTAAAGCACTTTTATTATCCAGTAATTCATCATTAGATTTTTCTTGAATTTGATGTTCAATTACGCTCAAAGGATTCCCAGTTAATTTGGTTGCATCACTATTATCTAAAGAGAACGTGTCCAGAGATTCAGATCTGAAAGCATCTTCAATGTTTCGGGCAATTTCAAAATTTCTGTGAATATTTTCAATTGCATCTTTCCATTGAGCTAATCTTTCTTCATCGGTGGGGTTTGTTATTAACATATCGCTTGTTCTTGGAGCATGAATTTCCATTGATTCAAAATTTTCAAAATTATGTGTAATGTGCTCTAAAGCTTTTCTAGCAACTTCAATATCTTCTTGTACTTCAGCATCAGTAGCTAAATTAGCATTCCTAGGGGTTTCTCTCAATTTAGCTGAACTTTGTTCTATCTTTTGGATATCTCTTTGCAAATTTTCAACAGCTTCCTTTGCCATTTTTATACTATGTTCCACTTCTCTTTCAGAAATATGTCCATCCAGTCGTGCCGATGTCAAGCCTTTTGGGAAATTCTTAGAACTTACACTAGGCTCTTCATCACATAATTTAACTTTGACTTGCTTTCTACATTTTTCATGTGGATCCGCATATGTCATTTCTTCGTCTGAATCTCGATACAGGTGATATCCAAATTTTTTCTTAATAATTAATGGCTTTTTAAAACCGAGACTTCTTCCTTCGAACGCGGGTGCTACAATATGGGACTTGATGCCGGTGTCAATATGTGAATTTTCTTTCTCATTATTGAGAATTTCTTCATGTAGAGGATCGTGAAGGGGCGACTTCTTTTCACGCTTTATAGTCACTGAAGGCTTATTGTATTCAGATTCGAGCTCGTCGAGAGTTCCTTTTATAAGCGTAGGAATTGCCGTAGCAAAAGCTGCTATAGAACATAGTACAATGATTGTCTTCATTGTAATGCTATGTTGTGTCTGATATGAAGATCAATCTGCTAGCAGCATTTATACAAAAATTAATTAATGCCTTCGCGAACCAAAGAAAAACATACGTGCCTAATATTACTTATAACAAATGCTTAGGCAGCGTCTTCCGCGTGATGGAAATACTTTAATTATGTACAAAGTAATTTAGTAAATTTCTTATGTTCAAATTTTATAATATAGTCTTTTTAACATTTTATCCAAATAAAATTAATGTATGTAAATATATTTATTAATGAATTTAATTTATTCAATAATTTGTAGGCGAAAAAAAATACAATCAATACAAAATGCAACTTTTCGACATATTTTTTAATCTGACATAAATCATCTTTGTTTATTTTTTATAAATAATAGATTTTTTTATTTTTAGATTAAGACTATTCTCATAACAAACACACACAAAAGTAAAACTGATGAGATTTTTTTTGTGTAAAGCTCCTTTTTTATATAAAATAGGACTTTATTATTTGAATCTAGATTACGGCTTATTATTTACCCAAGCAATATGAATGGAATAATAGGAATAGCTCTTTCTATACTAAAATATAATTAACATTAATTAAATTTGAAAACAAAAGAAAAATATTTCAAGCTTTTTATAATTGTACTAGCATCGTCCGCGGCTCCGCCCGCGTTCAGATGACCAAAGACCAAATTCTTAGGTTTTACATATTAGTATATTCATACATTACAGTTTTTGTATTTTTTCTCAGAAATGAGATATTTTTCCGTGGTAAAAAGGATCCTATATGTTGACCCGGATAACCAGCTATCACCATACCAAATTTTATCAAAATCCCTCCAGTGCTTTTTCTGTGATGCGGTAAAATACAGACAGACCGACAAAAATTCAAAAAAATATATAGATTCAGCCTCTGTATCCATAATAATGTCTATTTCAATAAGATTTTTCACAAATATTTAATGTACAGATTCGGCTTAGGAACAATTTTATTATATGTATAGATAAGCTAATAAAATAAAACTTAATATAATATGGGTAGTATGTACCAAGAAATAGTAAAAAAAACTATAGAAATTCGGCAATCGTCCGAGTTCTATACTCGCCAGCAAACTGGTGGAAGTTATAAAAACGATTATTCACTTCTTATCCATTTGAATTATCCCTCCCACCCTCATACAGTGATAAAATATTTAAATTATAATTAAATGAATTAATTTATAACGATGCTACTTTTATAGGTAGAGATTATTAATGATTATTTATTATCAATAAGTATATCATATATTATGTACTATACAGGATAATAAAAATAAAACATTATTATTTTTCCTAGTTTATTAACTTTAACTTTGCAGTTTGTTTTTAACTTAGAGATGGGCCAGGCTATTGTTAAATCCCCCCAACGTGCGTTCACCTTGTCGTGGTGGGGGGGCTCAGTAGTGCCCGGCAACCCAACCGGGCGCGAAGCCAAGAAACGCACAGGGAGGTGGCCCACTTCGGAGGGCGGTGTACCATGCGGGTTGCTCCTGGTACTTCTCTGATAGCAGAGTGGACTGTGGAGCAACCCCGTGGTTGTTGTGGTCTGCTTCGGCAGACCTGCCGTCGGGGCGTCGTAGTTGAATGCGTAAGCGATCCTGCGACGCCCCATTAAGACGGAGGAAGGTTTTGTTGGGTTTTAGTGGGTAGTACTGGCTTTGCCGGTGAGTCCCACACCTCGTGCGTAAATGCATTTCCCAACGTTAAAAAAAAAAAGGCTATTGTTAAATGAATTTAAATCTCTTACGGGGCCTCAATGTATGCAAGAATTTTAAAGAACCTAGTTTCGTCTTACCCGTAAACTCTAAAAAGGTATGAAACATATAGGTATAAACAATAATAGTAACTTTTTATTGTACACTCAAAATAGAGTAAAATTCTAGCTAAAAAAGAAAGATATAAAACACATTACACAGGGAGTCAAACATAATACTGAATAATATGTTATTATGTAATATGTGTTAAAGTTTGTAATTTTATATATATTTTAATTATTGAAATATTGCATGCTGTAAGGCTGAATTTGGCTGAACATTAAATATATTATTATCAAAATCTAAATGTATGTATACCCAAGTTCGCAATAAAGTGGTTGATTTGATTTGTAATTTGTAGTTAGAAAATGCGGCAGATGCGGTTTTATCGATAAAACAGCTACTTTTCCAGGCAATCTTGAGGTGAATAAAAGGGAAAGAGAAATTCATAAAGCAAAAAGTCTCCAAGTTGCTTACAATAAAAGATGGAAATATGTAGAGTTTAATATAATGTGTTGTTTCTACAGTATGCATTTTAAAGTATGTAATCTATACATACTACGAGTATAATAAAGTTCTAACTAATCCGAATTTGTACATTAAAAATTTTTTTTTGGAAAATCTTATTGAAATAGCCATTATTATCGGTACAGAGGCCGAATCTATAGTTTTTAGAATTTTTGTCTGTCTGTCTGTCTGGGAACGCATCACGAGAAAACCACTGGACAGATTTTGATGAAATTTGGTATGATAACGATGATGAAGAGCTAGTTTAGGTCAACATATAGGATTCTTTTCACTGCGGGAAAATATCTGATCTCTGAGTAATCTGTGTATACTAACTAAAACATACCTTAGAACGAACCCAAGCGGAGAGAGGGTGAGTCGCTAGTTTGATATAATTATTACTTTTTTTTACTTGTCAACTTTTTAAACAAAAAACGAATATGTCAGTCACGGTTTCTCCCTATACAATAGTACTTATTAAACAATTTATAAAATACTAGCGACTCACCCTCGCTTCGCTCGGTTTCGTCCCTGATTACGTATTAAGGTTTAGTATCGATTTCTCAGAGGTGAGATATTTTCCCGCAGTAAAAAGTATCCCATATGTTGACCCGGATAACCAACTATCATCATACCAAATTTCATCAAAATCCCTCCAGTAGTTTTATCGTGATACAATAAATATTTTTTTGGAAAATCTTATTGAAATAGACATTATTACCGATACAGAGGCTGAATCTATAGTTTTGAGAATTTTTGTCTGTCTGTCACCGCATTACAGAAAAACCACTGGAGGAATTTTGATGAAATTCGGTATGGTGATAGCTGGTTATCCAGGTCAACATATAAAATACTTTAAAAAGTAGTAAAAGCAGTAAACTGCGGGAAAATATCTCATCTCTGAGAAATCTGTACTAAACGTTAAAACGTAAGTAGGGACGAACCTGAGAGGAGCGAGGGTGAGTTGCTAGTTATGTATAACTTAGATTATAAGTTTTGATACACTAATAATAATCAAAATCCAAAAAGATCTAACAGCAAAGAGATGTGTTCTTGTCAATATTATCTTACTGGGTATAGTCTCCTGAATTTCTAAATGAAAACAAGATATCAATATGTACGTCCATGCATAAATCCAAAGACAGCTGTATTAATGCCTTCATTAGCGTAGATAACAACCGCGTACATATCTTTTCAAAATTTGACTGCCCCTCTTATAGAAACCTATATCTTTCATAGTTCATTTAGTAAGCTAAATGCTTTAATATTATTTTAACGCAAATGATATCACTAATTTATATAAATAAAAATGAATATTCATTATGTTTGTCCTCTATGTGTCCTTTAACTATTGATCCGATTGTGTTGAAATTCTGGTGCGTTATTCTGCTTACGCCGGCAAAGGTACCTACTGGGAGCAAAAAAAATATTTTTATGTGTTCCTAAACAATTCAAGCTTAGGGAAGTCGATAGTTCTTTGTAAAAAAATTTTCAGTATATAATATACAGGGTCATTTTTAATTTACTGAAATCCTTTTGGGAATATACTATTTACATCATAACAACAACATCTGTAATGAGAAAAAATAATATTTCTTAAATTTTTATTTTCATACAAAAGAAAAATATTTTTTTTACACCTTCTAAACTTTAAAGTTCTAGCATCTGGCCAAGTTTAAATGAGTAAGCGCGGCTTCTTACACCCCCCACCCTTCCCCCTTCACCAGACACGCACTTTCTTTTGCTAATGTTGGACTATTACCGTTTAGAAGGTGAAATAAAAATATTTTTATTTTTGTTAAATTTAAGATACTCGTATATTATTATTTTTCTTACAGATGTTGTTGTTATGTTGTAAATAGTGTATTCCCAAAAAGTTTTCAGTAAATTAAAAATGACCCTGTATATTTAATGTGTTTGATGATATATTCGACATGTTAATTATGTTCATACGTGTTTTTATTATTTTTGTGTAAGTATATGAGAGTTTCATAAGGAGGACACACGTAATTCCGACGAAGCGAAATATCTTTGTTGATATTGAAACAAATAGCTAACAAAGGCATTTCCTTAATACGTAAATACCGTGATCTGACATACGACAGATCACGGTATCGTCGATTCATATTTTTCGTTAGAAATTAATCTCAAAATAACTTCTAAAAGCCGACCGACCGAAAAACCAAACCGATTTTCACTACAGTTGATATGGGAATACCTTGAAGCCTGATAAGCATAGGCTTCTTTACAAAAAAATACAACTAAAGTATGTAAAGTCAGGTGAAATAATTTTTCAATTTGGAAAATATTTAGGTTGTATAAAAATATTTGAGAGTTGGTATTTTTATGAAAATTATGTTTTAAATCCTGAATAAGTTTTTTTAATAATGAATGAATGAATGAATGATCACACAAAATAAGCTCATTTATTTATTTATTTATTTTATTATAATAACCAATAAAAGGTACATTCATACATTCTTCGTTAGATATACAAATCAAAGATAAATATACTTTTTGTACAGGATATCACATCATGCATTAAATTAAAAACAAAATATCATTAGTTCCTAAAAAATTGTCATTAAATTAATATAAATAAGTCTTATCAAGATCAAAAAAGTAAAGTTGTATCACAAACTCCATAGTTTCATCCACGAAACAAGATAATTTTCACAAAAAAATTATAAGCAAAAAGTGAAATAATGTAGGTTCCGCAGATTTCTCGGAAACAACGAAATTATCTATTAAGAAGTCTTTTTCTAGTAGAATATACGGTATTTCGGGAAAATTAGAAAAACGAAAGTTATAAATATATGATAAATATATATCATCAATTGTAACCTAATTCTAATTGTCGTGTTAGCTTAAAACTTTACGAGTTTATATTTCCAGTGAAGCTATGATATCCGAATTTGGTACAACTGAGCTCATCTGACTTTGAGAATAGGTGGTGGATATTGGAACTTCTCTACAGCGACGACATGTTTGGCTCAGTTTGTATTGATGAGCACGAATGTTTGTACTCCAGTCATGGGTGTTTATATCTATAATATGTATATATTTACAGTTATATATGTGTAGTGTATCAACTATCTGGTATCCATAACACAAGCCTCGTAGCTTACCATGGAACTAGATGGCGCTGTGTCTGAATGTCCCAACAATTTAAAAAAAAATTAATAGCTACTAGTATACCCTTCGAATTTGAGCTTATTTAGTTTGTTCAGACAAATATAACGTATTGACGTTGAGTTTGGGTTTAAGTTTCTAACTTTTAGTGCGATAGGTACGATACGATAATAGTATTTTGCTGAATTTTGACCTAAATTGTTTTAAAAAATATATTAAAATAGCTTATTCAACTTTGGCTACTAATATAGGTTCACATCGGAGGCCGAATCTAATATATAAATATCTCGTGTCACGATTTGTGTGGCTCGACCTATTTTAATGAAAAAAATGTATATTTAGTAGGTATTAGGATAGTTCGTAAAGTATTTGTCACCCTCCTATTCCCACCCCCATTTTTAATCGTGATTTTAGTATTTTTGTATGAACAATATTATATAAATACATAGCGACGAACCCGAGCGAAGCGAGGCTGAGTCGCTGTATAACATAAAGCCAAAGAGTTTTGTTTGTAGATTGAATGCGGGCGTAGCCACGGATTCTGCTAGTACCTACTTTTATAAAAATAATATTTACTTCTTCACAGTGAAACGACTGGATAGATTTGATAAAACTTAGTACACAAATTTACTATTATTTGCCAAAAGGTGATGCTACTTGTATATTACAAAAACAAAATCTTGAGTTAGTTTCTACTAAATATGCACAAAAATACTTAAAATTGTAATAAACGGACAAGATTTTTCGAAACGCTTACAATTATCTCCTATGTAAATACTAATCTGATATTTTTGAAGTCGATGCTAGATAAGGCAAATAATAATTTATAACTAGCTATTTATTTATAGGCTATAGATATGACCATGAGGCAAATTATATATTATGTGTGAAAATTTTATCAATATCAGTTTAGTGGTTTCTTCTTTTAGATATATTTCTGCATTTCCTCAAACATAAGAAAGGTACAATTTATAATATACTAGCAGAACCCGCGGCTTCGCTCGCGATAAAACTACAGAAAAACTCTACAAAATAGGTTTCATACAAACTTTCAGCCCCTATTTTACCTCCTTATAAGATGAATTTCGAAAAATGCTAAAACACATATTTAATTGTATTGAAGAGCATTATTAATACGAATTTTCAAGTCATTCTGATCATAAATATTTTTTGGGTTGTATCCCCGTTTTCCCGTGGGAACGAGATTATCTCCCGCGATAAAAAATAGCCTATGTCACTCTCCAGCCCTCCAACTATCTCCACACAAAAAAACACTTCAATCCGCCACTCCGTTTCGACGTGAAAGAAAGACAAACAAACACACTTTCACATTTATAATATTAAGTATGGATTTTATGTTCACTTTTACCTAAAAAAAATACACCAAAAAGATGCGTGTAACTGAAAATATTCTATATATTAAAAACTCTCTTATTCAAAATAATATACCTTAAAACTTAAAATAAATAAATAAATATGTTGGGACATTAACACACAGCACCATCTAGTTCCATGGTAAGCTACGAGGCTTGTGTTATGGATACCAGATAGTTGATACACTACACATATATAACTTTAAATACATACATATTATAAATATTTATTAAAGTATTTTGGAATCTCCATATCTCAAACGTTTTTGAAACGTTCGATCCTATAGGTACTTCAAAAGTTAGAGGGAGGAAGACACAATGTTTACTACTTTTAGATGCATATAACTTTTTAACTATTGGCTTAAATAAAAAAGTCACCTTCAAATATAAAATACAAATATATTTTAAAAACCTATTTTGATATACCTCACAATCCACATGATCATGTAGACTTATAAAAAAATTTCAGCTATTAGATTTTCCCATGATCATGTACCCAATCCCTTTTTTATTTTTTTTAAATTAATAAATAAAATATATTTAGAAGAAGGTCTAAATTCATTCTTTAATCATTTATCAAATGCAACCTACATAGAGTGGAATAAGCAATTTGTGTTTAATCGCACGTCATCGAAAACTGTTGGACGGAGTTCAATTACAGTTTTATATTATAATTTACTAGCATTGCCCGCGGCTCCGCCTGCTTTTATGTCACCAAAAACCAAATTCTTAGGTTTTACATATTAGTATACTCTCACATTGCAGTTTTTGTATTTTGTCTTAGAAGTGAGACATTTTCCTGCGGTAAAAAGTATCCTATATGTTGACCCGGATAACCAGTTATCATTATACCAAATTTCATCAAAACCCCTCCAGTGGTTTTTCTTTGATACGTAACAGACAGACAGACAAAAATACTAAAAAATATTATGATATATAGATTAGATAGATAGAATTCTAAAAAATATTATGATATACAGATTAGATAGATTCGGCCTCTGTATCGATAATAATGTTTATTTCAATAAGATTTTCCAAAAAATATTTAATGTACAGATTCGGCTTGGTTACAATTTTATTATATGTATAGATAAGCATCAATAATATTATAAATGGAATATATAGCCCTCGTAGAAAATAATTTTTAACCATATTTTATTAACAATATCCATAAACTCTACGATTATATAATGTACTATTCTTAAAATGTATGCTCCGTTAGAAACCTACGTATTAAATAAATTACCGAAGAACTTAGAAGTATTGCATATTTGTTATGTATGATATTTCAAGCAATTTTAACACAAGCTTGCTTTTTAAAGGTATTCGTGATAGGCATGGTACGAATAAAAGTAAGATTATTGTAATCTTGAAACAAAACAGTCTTGAAATAAGAATGTTTTAAAATAGGTGATGGTAAGGCCCCAGAGCTATCTATATCTTTTATTTGGTATCATTAACAACTACATAGTAACAACCTACGCACTGAAAAATATCTGAGAACCTCTTAGTATGGCAAAATAAAAGATTTAGTCGTATATTTATAGTTTAATTTTGTTAAAATTAAAGAATTTTGTTAAAACTAATATTTCACTCTGCACATTTATAAAATAATGGACTTTTTATCGCTCGTTCAGTAATACCTACTATTACATCTTTATGAATAACTTTTTATTACAATTAAACTTAAATGAATATGCTATCAAGTTAAAATTATGTGTGTTTGTCGTTTAGATGTACGACATCACTCTTTACTGGGCTTATATGGTCGTGCACCATTTGTTCTGCGTGGTTTGCTTGTAGTGCGTGAAGGTAGTGATCTGATACATCACGGTAAGCATCTGGTTGCGAGTTCACTGGAGAATTATATGGAATATGAGGTTCCGACTTGACTATCCGTCCGGGAACAATTGATGGCGTGCAACTGAAAAGCAAGGGTACGTTACATCCTCCTACATTTCCGTTAGGGAACATCCCGTATATAGGTGCCACTGGATGTACTAGTTGACCACTCAAACTGGCTAGATTCGCAGCATTCAGGGGTAGTGAAGATGTGGCAACTCCATAATTTGATCTAGCCATAGGTGCTTGTTCCAGAAAATTCATATCCGAATAGCTCATCACTTCGCGATTATCGTTGTATTGATCTTCAGTGCGATACATATTTCCTGCATAGCCTTGACTTCCATAATCATAAGTGCTGGGAATATATCTGTGTCCAATATTACTTGGGTACATCACATCTGGAGTATATGATCTCGCTAGTCCGTTCGATCCTGCTGCTGCTGCGGCGGCGGCGCACGGCGACACAGCATAGTAATTTTCACTTAATCTTTGCCCCCGTTGATAGTTTAATTTGCTGGTATCATATTCCAAGTATTCAGGTCGTTGTTCATTTTCAGCAATGGGTGCCGAAAACGTGACTGTTAAGACACTTAATAATATGCCAAATAAAAAAACTGCAGCAACCTTCATTATCTTAAGTGTTCACAAATAAAGGCCATGATCGTAATTGGAGTTATATTTATACATGTTTATGCAACATTTTTTCGGTCAAACACATATTTTGCCTGCATTAGGAAGTTGCAAGTCCAATGTATTTGAAAGCGTCACTCAGTACTTTTGCTGATTAAGTATTTGATGCAATGTTCAAGTTGACAAGGTAACAAATACGTTGGACATTTTTTATTGACATACATATTTTTGATCTACATACTTTTGTAGTAAAACTCCTCTTCTTAGTCAGCGATGAATGTCAGCTTTTTTTGCTTAGATATAAAAAATACCTATTCATGTTCGTGACATATGTATTAAAATTTTTGAAACAAGAAAAAAAAAACAAAACAACGTATACGTACGTGTTATATTATATATAATTAAAAATCTTTATTTTTCATTTAAATTATCTAATAATTATTAACTAAGTGGGTAAATGAAAAATAATTTCGTAAATCCAAGGAAGGTTCTTATACATAATTTATTTATTAAGATTTACATTAAATCATATTTAGTGGCTCAAGTATAAAGGGAGCACGTTTTAATTTCATATATTTATTAATCTACATCTACACTAATATTATAAAGAGATAAAGCTTGTAAGTTTATATGTAGGTAATGTAATGTGCTCCTATTCTCAAAATTCTTTCATTATATTACCGCCAACTGCTATAGGCTACTTTCTATAATACCCATTTATAATAAAACTAGCGACTCGCCCTCGCTCCGCTTGGGTTGTCACTACTTACGTTTTAGCGCTTAGTAGAGATTTCGCAGAAATGAGATATTTTTCCGCGCTAAAAAGTACCCTATATGTTGACCCGGATAACCAGTTATCACCATACCAAATTTCATCAAAATCCCTCCGGTGGTTTTTCCGTGATGCGGTAACAGACAGACAGATGTACAGATTCGGCTTAGTTACAATTTTATTATACGTATAGATTGTCACTAAGCCGAATCTGTACATTAAATGTTATTTAGAAAATCTTATTGAAAGTCATTATTATCGATACAGACGCCGAATCTATAGATTTTTGAATTTCGTCTGTCTTTCTGTCTGTGACCGCATCACGGAAAAACTACTGGAGGATTTTTTATGAAATTTGGTATGATAATAACTTATCAGGTTACCCTGGTCAACATATAGGATACTTTTTATTGTTGGAAAATATCTCATCTTTGATACTTTATCAGCTATTGTTAGGCACTTACGGACGCACCCGAGCGAGGTAAGGGTAAGTCGCTAGTGTAGTATAATTTATTTAAGTTTTATTTTATGGCAACTTTGAATTGAAAAATATTTTCAGATGTCCATTTATACTTAATTCATACATAATATATCTGAATATCAACCGCAAACAATAAAATGATATTAAAAGGAAGCATTAGTATATCGATTTCGCAATTGTTTTCATAAGTCATGACTTCTTTGTAATTGAGACGTGCAATTGTGAAATTTAAAATTATAATATAAACCATGACTTTGCATTTTACTCACGTAGCGTCACACATGGAATTCATCGAAGTTCAAAATAGGCCTTATACTTACTAGTACATTTATGAACCAGCACACAATCTTTGGTATATTCATCTCTAATATACCCAGCTGAGCATCGACACCCCACTCTGCACTCCCATTTTCTCTGACAGACGTCTCCCGACAAGCGTTTACCCAAAAGCTGTAAATTCACACATGTTGGAGGACATTTCCATCCGCATAACGAAAATTCTTCATTATTCCGCAAACACGCGGAAGTTTTAAAAGTTATAATATTTCTTATCAAAAATATTGCACATAAAATACACGTTAACGTTTTTATAACCATTTCTTTAACCTTAGATCTATACTACTGTATATAATAATACTAGCAGCTCACCCTCGCTTCGCTCGGGTTCACCTCTAGGAAAACACAAACAAACTTATTCCACGGAAACCGTATATTCTTCCGGGATAAAAAGTAGCCTATATTTTATTCCAGACTATAATCTATCTCTGTGCCTTTCATCCAGATCCGTTCAACCGTTCTGGCGTGAAAGAGCAAACATCCGTACATACCTACTCACAAACTTTCACATTTATAATATTAATACGGATTATAATGAGGAAAGATTTGTTTGTTTATTTGTAATCGATAAAGTCTGAAATTTCAACTACTAAGCCGATTTTAATAATTCTTTTACGAAAACATTATTTCAGAGTGCTATTATATTTGTGTTACATGTTTTATACGAGTTGTCACGTTTTTTGTCTAAAAATACAGCGTTCTTTGAGTGCACCGCTTAACAGTTGTTAAAAAAATTAAAATAATGTATAGCAAACATTATATAAACCTTTAAAATTAAAAAAACTGCGATATATATGACGTATGCCTATATCTTTTACATTTTCCTTTAATAGTTGTAATATATGATAGTTTTTAACTAAGTAACGTTTAATGAATATTTGAAATAAATATATAACACTAATCTTTACAAAAGTAAACCAAATAATAACAAGTAGCTACACTTAATAAAGATAATATTTGCCTTTTATAATCTGTAATTTAATTATACTTATAGTTTAGTAGATAATGTAGAAATGAAAATAAATCATGACGTGTGCGCACAGATATCGAGGGAGGCTTGTATATACGTATAATAATATAATTGTATCGGAATTAATATTTTACAGTCAGCTTCATATTACAAGTAACAGACAAGACGATGATCTTTTTTTATTTTCAATTTATTTATTTAGAAACGTGTAAAGTTAAAGTATTATTTCGTTTTGCTTTGGGTTCTTTATTTCTAAGGCTTTATTAATTGAAACTAGGAACTTACAGGATCGACCATCTTTATTGCGGACCAGAGACAAGAGAGAGCTATCTTACAGACAATTCTTCATATCAAGTAGACCATAAATTATAGACAAATTTACAGATACACAATATGTAACATGCCCCTTTTTTAAAAAGAAAATTCTGACACATGACTTTGACATTAATGACATTTACAATTTGAAGTTGACAGTGACAATTGGGCATAACCTTAAAATTGGAAATACAATGGAGTTACAAATTTTATTTTACATTTAGGTATCTTAGATATAAATTTATAATTAAATTACAATAGTGAATTAGACAAAAATTAATAAATGACTAACTAGTGCAATCCTGAAATAGTTAATTATACTTACAATATTTACAATAATTTATTTTAATTATGAATTTGTTAAACATTTTATTATTAAAATTATTACAAATTCAGTCTTTGAGTCTTTTTTATTCGTCTACCTCTAGAACTATATTGATATTCATTATCAGGTACATTGTTGCCATCGTTAGGAGATATTACAATATTAGACATTTCCTGCAAACATGATTCAGGAGGACTAGGTAAATGAATTTCCTCTTCATAATCGTTATGATCATGTAAGCTTTCATCTGACATATTATTATCTACATTGACAAATTCAGGAGATTGTACAGATTGACACGACTTCGAACTAGATACAGATTCATTTAACTCTGAACCAATTGACCTATAAGTATCTGACTCACTTTGACTTAAAATATAGTTATCTGCTTGTTTTTGTATTGGACTTGACAATAGACTTTGAGTATACGATAAATTTAATTTCTTTTGAGTAATTATGAAAGAACAATCATCATCATCCTTTTCCTTTTGAAAAAATGTTTGTGACTTATTTGTTTGACTATTATTATGATTCTCAAATCTAATTGATTTTTTGTTATTTACAGACTGTTTATTATTTAGACTATAATCAGGTCGAATATGTTGAGAATTACGCCTGTATGTACTACCTAAATTGTCCTTGACTATAAATGATCTAGGAAATTTAGTTTTTGATATGATTGAACCTTTTGTCCATATTATATCTTTTGGATTTTTCTTAAAATATACCTTATCATTGACTTGAAATTCTTCATATTTTTTACAATTTTTATTATAATAACATTTAGTTTTTTGTAAATTTTTGTCTTTGACTGAAGAATATTCTGAGAATTTTACAACTTTAGGTCTCAATTGACTAATTTTAGTAGGTAATTTAGTCCTTAACTGTCTCGACATGAGTAATTGAGAAGGTGAATGCATATTACCTCTCGGTGTAGTCCTATGTTGTAATAGTCCTATGTGTGGATCTGTGCCAGATTCCTCACATTTTCTAAAAATATTTTTGACTGTTTTGACAGATACTTCGGCTAAGCCGTTGGATCTAGACAAATATGGGCTTGTAACTATATGTTCAATGTCCCAATCTTGAAGAAATTGTTTAAATTCTTTTGAATTATATGGAGGACCACCATCGCTGACTAATTGCAATGGGATTCCGTGCCTTGAAAAAATTGACTTTAAATTATTTATTACTGAAGAACTTCTACTGTCATTTTTTAAATTAGCTATTTCAATGAAGTTAGAATAATAGTCTACTACTAGCAAATATTTCTGATTTTTATAATCAAATAAATCAGTTGCCAGTCTTTGCCAAGGAAATATAGATTTTTCATGAGGCAAAAGTGATTCTTTTGACTTATTTGAACTGTACATAGCACATGTTTCACATTGCTTTATTTTATTTTCTATGTCATGATTCATACTAGGCCAATAAACTGTACCACGGGCTAAATTTTTAGTTTTTTCAATGCCTAAATGTCCTTCATGTAGAATATTCAGAATTTCTGATCTCATGGAAATTGGAATTATAACAGAATTATTTTTGAAAAGTAAATTATCTATTACATGAATTTCTTCTTTTATATTCCAATATGGAAGAACTAAATTATTACAATGATTTTTACTTTTAGGCCATCCGCTGATAAAATATTCTTTAAGTTTTTGTAATGTTAAATCTTGGTTTGAATGCTTAGAAATTTTTTCTAATTTTTCTTGAGAAATTGCTAAATTCGATGTTAATAGATTAATATGAATATTTAAATTTTGCTCAAAATCTATTAAACTATTTAAAGAGTTGTTACAATCATCTACTGGTGCTCTAGAAAGAGTGTCTGAAATGTACATTTCTGAACCTTTTGTGTATGACACAATTAAATGATAAGCCTGTAATGTTATCATCATTCTTTGAAGTCTTGTAGGTACTTCACACAATGATTTTTTGAAAAGAGTCACCAAGGGTTGATGGTCTGTTTCTACATTAATAGGTTTTCCATAAACATATTGATGGAATTTTTTACAACCGAAGACTATTGCGAAAAGTTCTTTTTCAATTTGTGCATACTGTTCCTGACATTTTGTTAAGGATTTTGATGCATATGCAATTGGATTATCACCATGAAATATTACAGCACCTACTGCATTTTTAGAAGCATCAACAGACATTCTGACAGGTTTATTGACATCATAATGAATCAGTACTGGTGACTTGCAAATAATAGATTTTAATTTATTGAACTGATTTTCATGATTTTCAGTCCAGTGGAAAATATTTTGCTTTTTCAGTAATTCACGAAGAATATTGGTTTCTTCTGCTAAGTTTGGAATGAATGAACCTAAATAATTTATCATGCCAAGGAATCTTTGCAATTCTTTAACATTTTTTGGACTAGCCATTTTAATTATAGCCTCAATTTTTGATTTATCAGGAGATATTCCATTTTTATTGAAAATGTGACCAACATAACAGATTTCTGAAAGACCAAATTTACATTTTTCTCTATTGAATTTTAAATTTACTTCAGAAGCACGCTTGAATACAGCTTCAAGTCTTTGATTGTGCTCTGATTGATTTTTTCCATGAACTAATATATCATCAACGAAAATTATAATACCAGGTAAATCACCAAAAATATCATTCATTATTCTATGAAAAATTTCTCCACTGCAATTTATTCCATAGGGAAGTCTTAAGAATTTATATCTTCCGAATGGTGTGTTGAATGTACACAAATCACTACTTTCTTCGTCTAATTTAATTGTCCAGTAACCAGAACTAGCATCAAGTTTAGAAAAAATTGTACTACCAGCTACTTGTGATCGAAGATCATTAAATGTAGGGTATGGAAAATGAGGTCTTTTTATTGCTACATTGAGGTTTCTTGGATCAAGACATACGCGTAATGAACCATTGGGCTTTTCAACAAGAACTATAGAGTTGACCCATTTAGTTGGTTTTGTGACTTTAGCAATAATATTTATTTTTTCCATATTTTCTAATTCATTTTTTAAACGATTTTGTAAAGTAAATGGAATCCTACGTACTGGGCAAATTTTAGGTGTAACACTTTCATCAATATCTAAATGAACTTCATTTGGAAGACATCCTATTCCCTCAAATGTTTGTGAATAGTTAGAAACAATATCTTGTACTGACCTTTCCAAATCCAAGTCCTTTTGCAAATCCTTTTGAATTTTAAAAATTCTTTTGACAAAACCTAGTTTTTCACAGGTTTTCCATCCTAAAATAGTTTGACATTTACAATTGACTACAATAAAATATATGCTAGCTGTAAGACTATTTTCAAATTCACATTTTAGTATACAGCTGCCTATATTTGGTACTACTTGGCCTGAAAATGAGAAAATTTTATTATTTGTTCTCTGAATAGGTATTTTCTTATTAGTGTGAGTCATCATTTTATCAAGTGTGTCTTTTGATATGACATTCGCGTCAGCTCCTGTATCAATTTGACATTTTATTAAATAATTATTCAATTTTACATTTATTTTCCATTCCTCATTATTACAATTATTATTATTATTTTCAATGTCAGTCAAATTACTAATTATAAAATAGTTATTGTCAGAGTTAGAATTCTTATTACTACTTACACTACTAATATGTCTCTTGTCCGACTTGTTATTTTTGTTGAAAAAACAGTAATTGGCAAAATGGTTTGTCTTCTTGCAAATGTTGCATGTTTTTCCTTCCGCTGGGCATTTATATATATGCACTTGACCACATCGCCTACAAGTTTTGTTTTGTGATGGAGACCTTTTTCTTGATGAACTTTGACTTGAATTTCTGTTTTTCTTGTTTCTTGTTTTTGAGATCGATCTACTTCTATGATTGTTAATGTTTTTCAGCGCTTGAATATTGTTGGATAATTCCTTGGGTGTATGCGACTGTGTGATTCTTGACGAACGCTCCTGGGACAGTTCCATGCTTTTAGCAATTTTTAATGCATCTTCCAGTGTTAATTTTTCCTGCTGAAGCAAACTTTCACGAATTTTTGAATTTTGAATGCCAATAACAAACATATCTCTAACCAAAGAATCTTTCAATGTATTAAATTCACAAGACATAGCCAAATTGTTTAATACTGTTACATAGTTGTCTAAAGATTCATCTATTTGTTGAGTCCTTGTGAAGAAATTGTATCTTTCTACTGTGATATTACTTTGAGGATTAAATTTCTCATCGAACGCTTTTATCAGATTTTCCAAAGAAATATTTTTTCTGTCGATGTTGAAGGAATTATATATTTCAATGCCATAATCACCAATTGTGTTCAAGAAAATAGCCACTTGCTTTGTCTCATCTTGTTTTTTAATATCATTTGCGTCACAAAAAATTTCGAATTTTTGCTTCCATCGACGCCATTGTTCCGACACGTTGCCATTGTTCACAGCTAACGGTTTTATCCCAGACATGAATATTTGTTCAGACATTTTAACTTTTTCCTTTTTTGACTTTTAATCCCATTTATGACACCATATTTCGTTTTGCTTTGGGTTCTTTATTTCTAAGGCTTTATTAATTGAAACTAGGAACTTACAGGATCGACCATCTTTATTGCGGACCAGAGACAAGAGAGAGCTATCTTACAGACAATTCTTCATATCAAGTAGACCATAAATTATAGACAAATTTACAGATACACAATATGTAACAAGTATGAAGAGTACTTTATAGAAAACTAGCGGCTCACCCTCGCTTCGCTCGGGTTCGCCTCTAGAAAAACACTAATAGAGATCTAGTAGTTCCCACGGGAACTGTTTATTTTTCCGGGATGAAATGTAACCTGTTGTTTACCGGCAATATGAGGTATCAGCATGCCAAATTTAACTAAATTAGATGCATAAGTTGTTATGTATTAAGCTGTATAAGTTACTATAGTTTTTTTAACTATCCCACGGATTTTCTGGAATGAAAAGTATCTTAAATGTTGACCGGCTATATAAGGTACTACCATGCAAAATTTCATTTAAGTCGGTTCAATAGTTCCGGAGATTAGTCCGTACAAACAGACAAACAGACAGAGAACCAAAAAAATTGAAAAAAAAACTGGATTTGTTCTATTTCTCTTCTTTCGGGATGTAAGAAGAAAACTGACTTATTTTCAATTTATTTATTTAGAAACGTGTAAAGTTAAAGTATGAAGAGCATTTTATAGAAAATTATAGGTTCACGTTTCACGTCGGTTTAGTGGCAACAAAAAATGGCTGTAGATTCTGAGGTCCTAGGTTAGTGTAATTCATCGGGCAAGTATGCGCTATGCATACTTTACACAGAATTCTCAGTAGCAAGAGTTGGGAAATAATAATTATTATCGATACAGAGGCCGAATCTATAGTTTTTAGAATTTTTGTCTGTCTATCTGTCTATGACCGCATCACGGAAAAACCACTGGAAGGATTTTGATGAAATTTGGTATGATGATAGCTGGTTACCGGGTCAACATATAGAATGTTTTTTACTGCGGGAAAATACCTCTGAAAAATCTATACTACCTAAATGTTAAAACGTAAGTAAAGTTTTAAATAAGTTTTTGTTGTAGAAATAATTTAATTTCTTTTGCGTAAATAGCTTTGTAAAGTAGGTAATAGCGATGTATACCTAACGATAACGCTTGGAACCGAGATGCTCATTTTTTACTCGTAAGTACCTACTAAAGATAATTTTAATTACATTGCCATATATACTCCTTTCCTTCTAGCAAGTACAAAATATATAGGTCTAGTATTGAGAATAAAATAGTACGTAACTTATCTATTCACGTAAATGCTATCCAGCTTATCTCTAACATGTTGATTGGTATTACTTAGGAAAACGTGTCTTAACTTAGTTTTAGATTAAAATTGATCATGATTATATCTTTAAAACGTTATCTCAATATGTTGTACCAAATTATATAAAAGAATATCTCGATGTGTATTTAACATAATTAATAGTCTTGTAACAATGTTTAGACTAAGATTCTTTGCGCTAATCTTTTCAATTTTTTACTGTGTGCAATGTCACTTTTTATTGGAAACTTCAAAACATTTACAACCTGTTCACGGACTTTACGTTAAGCCATCAAGCGACGGTACAACTGGAGATCTTTACGTAGCAGCATCAGAAGATGATGGAGTAAAATCTCAATGGATTACAGATCAACCAATAAACTTTCTGTCTTCAGCCTCAGAACACCAGCCATCGAAGACTCATCCTATAACTTTGACAACAACTCTAACGAAAAACAGTTCACCTAATGAAGAAACTATTACTTCTCAAAAACGTGCTGTGATTACCAGCCCAGTCGTTAAATATGCGTATGCTTTACCAGTTCCAGGAGCGGATGGTAATCTGTTAGCGCCTTACCCATACGTCACGCCAACAGTTACAGCATCTTCTGAAGGATCAAATATTTCACCATGTCCCACAGAAATACCAACTCAAGCTTACTCTCCATACTTTTACCCATATATGTTATCTGCACTTGCTAATGCAATTAATTCTTTAAAAGATGTAGAAAATAGTGATGAAAATACTCCAACAATTGCATCTCAAGCTTCTCCCTATTGGCCTCATACCTATACATATCCGTATCAATATGTTATGGTAGATCCTAAGGCTTGGTTACAAAATCAAAATGCTGCGCCGTCGTCAACGATAAGCACAACAAGCAGTGAGAGTACTTAGTTATGTTGTATATTAAGAAATAAATAAATAAATTACTTTATTAGAATTATTTATACATTTTTAAGTAAAATTAATAATAAATAAGAATCTTATATATTTTTTTTATTTAACTATGATGTTATATTTATTATCTATAATTATTGTCAATTGTGTTATGTCAATGCCAATTGCCAGGCCTGAGGCCAGCACTGAACTGTCAAACAAATTGCGCATGCTGCGCAGTATATATCAATAGTTTTAATTTGTATTATTTATTTGCAAATATAACAGTTAATAATATTCACATTCTGAAGCTTAATTAATTGAACAGTATGGTTGCCAAGAAAAAGAAGAAGGTATGTTTCTAATAACCAAAAACATTAACACGTGTTTATCAACACTGAACTAACCAAAAAAACTTCTCTTATAGTATTCCTCGGGTGAAGGAGCGCAGTTTATGACCAGAAAAGCTGCATTAAAAAAGCTGCAACTGTCATTAAGAGATTTTCGACGTATTTGCATTTTAAAAGGAATTTATCCTCGGGAACCAAGAAATCGCAAAAGAGCTCAAAAAGGAGCTGGTGGCATCAAAACCCTATATCACACAAAGGATATAAAATTCTTATTACACGAACCTATAATATGGAAACTTCGAGATTTAAAGGTAAATATAAAAATATTATAGGTTTTAATGTTGAAGTTTGAAGTGATAACAGTAACAATTTATACATAATTTCAGGTTTATCAACAAAAAATCCGCAAAGCTCGTGCCATGCGAGAATATCGAAAGATGAGAAAATATTTCAGAGATTATCCTGAAGTAAATATTGATCATATAGTTAAAGAAAGATATCCAACATTTGTAGATGCTTTGAGAGACCTAGACGACTGTTTGACACTGTGCTTTTTATTCAGCACTTTTCCTTCTCTCAAGAAAGTGCCTCGCGATCAATCTCTTCTCTGTAGAAGACTAACTGTTGAGTTTATGCATGCAGTGATTGCTGCTAAAGCTCTACGTAAAGTATTTGTTTCAGTTAAAGGTTATTATTATCAGGCAGAAATTGAAGGACAAACAATCACATGGATTGTACCACATCATTTCTCATTCCAGGTATATTCTTGACTTAAAAAGTTTTTTTAGTATATCTTTTCAATAAAAATAAATTTTATGTATATAATATTGAATATTTACAACTTACTGTAAAACAAACATTATCAATATAATAATTTCTTATAATCAATTTATCATTTTAGCCTCAAAACAAAGATGAAGTGGATTTCAAAATTATGTCAACATTTGTTGAATTCTATATTATGATGTTGGGATTTGTTAATTTCAAATTATACCACTCTCTGAATCTGGTATATCCTCCTAAATTAACAAGTGCTTTTAATTCTGAAACTGAGAAAGATCTTGTTGATGAAAATGCTTATGTCGCTGAGAGGATAGCTGCCATGAACCTTTCAGTTGCTAAAATTGCAGGAGCAAATGAAGCAGAGGAACTGCCAGAAATTGATATATTCAACACAGAGGATACTGATCCACAAAAATTGGAAGAAGCTAAACTTGAAGCTGAGAAGGTGAAAACACTAAAAACAATGTTTAAAGGCCTTAAATTTTTCATTAATAGAGAAGTGCCTCGAGAGCCTCTAGTGTTTATAATTCGTTGTTTTGGGGGTGAAGTATCTTGGGATAAAGACCACTTTGTCGGAGCCACCTTTGATGAGTCTGATGAATCTATTGCTTATCAAATAGTTGACAGGCCAAGTATGGACAAACAATATCTTTCTAGGTATTATATTCAACCACAGTGGGTATTTGATAGTGTTAATGCTAGAACCCTATTACCAATCAATAAGTATTTGATGGGAGCAGTTTTGCCACCGCATTTGTCACCATTTGTTGATAAAATTAAGGATCAAGTTTACATTCCTCCAGAAGAAAGAGCGCTTAAAGATCCTAACTTTAAACCTTTAGGTAAGTAAACAAAGACTTGACAGAATCATATACTTTGTAAATTAAATAATTGACAAAGTATTAGTTTTTGTAAATTAAATAATAATAATAGGTTTCAATTTAAATATATTTCACTTGTCCATATATTTTTAGATGATGATGATCCTTCAGATGAAGAGATTGAAGAAGCTAGTGATGAAGACAAAGATGAAGAAGAAGAGGAAGAAAGTGAAGAAGATGCTGAAGGTGCACTAACAAAGCAATACCAACAAGAGGTAGAACAAGATTCCACATCAGGAAGTGAAGATGATGAAGATGGTGTAGATCCAGAGAAAAAGAAACTAGCTAAAGAAAAGGTAAGATCAATATAGATTATCTTGAATTTTTATAAACATATTTAAATAGAAAGAACAATACAACCTTTTTTTATTAATTAGTGGCTACATTTTTCTTTCCTTCACCAGTAATGATCATCTAAGTCTTTTATAGAAGAAACCAAATTGTTAAACTGTAAAAACCTGAGATGTAGCAGTTGCTATAAATTTTTATCAGGCATTTGTTTTAAATGCTACTACTATTGACTACTCTACCAGCTTATGCAGAGCATCTCGATGCCCTCTTGGATATATAATAAATATAATAAACAAGTGTTGTTTATATATTCGGCTGGGATCATGATTAAATAATCTTATTAAATAATAAATAATTAAGATATATAGAGAAAAAAAAATATAAACAACGCCCAGCACACTTAAGTTATCTAGGGATGCTATTAATAAATGTTATCGTCGGGGTTCGCGGATGATTTTGGTTCCCGTGGCCCCGACCTGGAGGCGACAGAGGTGGACACCGTCAGGTTTTAGTGGGTAGTTTATCATATGATTATTAAGATTATCTGACAACTTCTGACATCTATTACACTTTTTTTTTTAGAAAAAGGCCATGGCAGTTACAACAGGTGTACCACATAAGGAGCATCCATATCAAAAACAGATAGAGGATAAACAGGCATTCAGGCTGAGGGAAAAACTTGTACATAAGAAACACAGGAATCTTTATAAGAGCATGAAAGCTGGCCAAGAACAAAGGAAGAAGGATATATGGCTTCTAAGGAAAAAGAGGCGTCTTCACGACGAAAAAGTAAAACAGGACAAAAAGGCAGAAAAACGTAAAGAAAGAATAAAAGCTATAGAAGCTGCATCTGCTTAAAATTTAAATAAATCAACAACATTGCTGTAAATGTTCTTTTATTTCTCACTATTTTTTGGAATTATTCTCAGGCGTTCTCATTTTATGCTCTATCAATAAATATATTACAAACTAATTGCGTGAAAATAATATTTAAAGCTTACATTAGCATGTCATGTAGTAGCTAGACAACATAAAGTTGAGAATTGCCATTTTTTAAAGTTGGTTAAAAATAACAATGATAAATATTTAATTTATCAAATAGAATACAAGAATCAACATTTAAAAGTAACAGCTCAATTTACAGTAACAAACAAAGCAAATTTATTTTCATATCCTAATCAGAATCAGAGTCGCTTCCCTCTCCATCATCGCTGTCCTCAAGCTCTGGCATTGGAAAACGTAAAATGGCTGCTATACCAGTTAGCTGGTCCAACTCTGAAATAATATAGATTAAATTTCATTATTCATCTTGTTTCTACAGCCTCATTGAACTTTTAATAGTATAGTTTTGAACTACCAAACATGGGGGACACTTAATATAAAAGTAATGCAAATAAGTTTAATATGTGTTAAGATCTACTTGAAGGAAATAAAATAGATATAGATTAGATATTTTTTTTTTTTAGGAAACGATCTATAGTAATAACAATATTAAATTATTATATAATATATAATATTAAAATATGAAATGCTGTTCATTGGTAAGCGCGCCACTAAAAATAATAATCACTTAGGCTGTTTTTTTAAATGTTTGTAGTCTCAATAAGAATAAAGAAATGTGAACAAGTTGCATGGAATGTTGGGGAATTGCAGTGAAACTAAGAGGCAAAACGATATCGTTCTGCCCCAAATGCAATAATTCGAAGATATCTTCCACGTTATCTAGTCTAGTCATAAATTAGCTTTTCCCCACACTTCAAATTATTTTGTAAACATTAAAGACCTGAATTCTGATAAAACATATTAAAATATGACCAAATAGTAATATTTTTTAAACACTAGTAAAATGGATAAAAAAAATTATTTAAAATTTTACTCACGTTCTCCAGACACATGCATGCTTGAAAAAATCCTTACATCACCACCATTATCTCTTGCCGAGTCAACCAGAGACACATATTCTTTTCTCTTCTGAATATCTTGACACCTTAAAATTGTTATAGTGACAAAATCTTTTAAATATACTTGTAAAAATGTATAAAAACTTGCCTATAACACTCAGCGGTAACAAAGCAAATTAGTGAAAGAATTTTCAGAATTGAATCAGTAGTATCAGAGATTAATTCCTACGGTCTACACATAAACTAATAAAAGGAGGGCCGTCTTGTATTGGGGATTTTAAAATTCTTCCACTTGCTACTATAGCGCCACCTTAATTTGCTCCCTTTCAAGGGACACTTTTTTAATACACTGAGAATACCTCCATAATAACTGTACCTCTTTATAATATTAGTGTAGATTGAAAATATGTTTAGCAAAGATGAAAAATTACCATACCAGTTCAGATACCCAATCCCATAAAAATAAATTTAATAAGAGATGTTGTTAATCCAAAATTGTTGGAACTGTTTTATTTTATAAATATGTGTAGACTAAAATATGATACAAATTACAAATACATACTGAATTTAGCTAAACAAATTTCATGATATATACAATGCCATCTATTGACATTTTTATTTGATTTGATTGTTCTTTTTCCTAGTGAGTCCCCATGTTATATAAATACCTAGCGTTTTCATTACTAGTCTATACTAATATTATAAAGAGGTAAAGTTTGTGACATTGTAAGAGTAATCTCTGGATCTATTGAACCAATTTGGATGAAATTTGGTAAGAAGCTAATAAGTAATAAATTAGGTTGCTATACTTTTAAAGGTAATGTGTATTTAAACTATACTTTTCTTAAATATGTTTAGACAAAGTGTAACTCCAAAAACTTTAATATTTTGCAAATTTTACCATTTTAAATAAAATATAGTATTTTTTAATATATATCTGTGCTCTAACAGTCCTTAAGACTAGTCATTCACAAGTAATACAAAATAATCTAATAATAATAAAAAAGACTTGTTACAAGTATATACATAAAATATAAATTAGTTTTACCTAAATAATTTATCAGATATCATAAGAGTTTCAATAGCCATAGCTTCATTGGCTCTCTCAACATGCTTCTTCCCATAAAAGGCCTTAGCTGGTTCCAATTGTAGCATAGTGTAAAAACTTTCCAACAACTTTACCTCACTTGCAGCTTTTGTATCTGATATTTTGGCCATAACTGCTGGTTCTTGAAGTACTTCTGTAAAGCAATTATCATTTATTTAATGACAAATGCTCATATAAAATACTTTTATAAGTATAAAGTAATGAATGATTTGTATTAACAGTTTTTATTTTAAATATGCACAGTCTAATTTACATCTATTTCTTTTTTATATCCAGCATATTTTTCAGTACAGATTTAAACCCCAAAAAAATGAATTAAATTCACTGAACTTACCTTTTAAAGAATGCTTAAAGCCAGATGAAGCTTTGACGAGCAAAAATTTAGACTTGTTATCAGTAAGTAACTTATTGTCTGTTTTGATAGCTTGCTGCATCATATAATCAAAGAATTGATCTTTGACAAAACCTGGAGATGCTATGATAACACACTTAACTACGTTAAAATCTATGTGCCTAAGAATGCCTTGCATCACAGCTTCATAAAACTTATTCAGGCCCTGTAATAAAAAAAATGTTTTTATTGATTTTATTTTAAATAAAAGTCTTTAAATTTCATTGAAAATAAATAATATGCTAAAATTATATTTACAATTGGCAATATACCTTTTCATGTTGCTGCACGAACCCTTTGCGCTTTCTTGGTATAGTAACATCTATCTTTGACCTTACTAGTGTCATTGAAGGTGTAATAAGACAGACATGAGCTAAGCCTTCTTGCATGACAACAGCTGCGACATCAGCTGATGCTGCAGGATCGCATGCCATATCCACCCTTTCTAATGCAACCGAATCCCATAATGCTTTTTGTACAATAAATTTTCTATTTAGTTCTAAATCTAATGTGTGATATGCCCCCATCTGAAAAATTCATCATTTTTTACATACAAAAAGGCATTTTATTTGGAAAATTATATGAACAGAAGCTAAACGAAAACACCTCGGATGTCTTCTACATCATAACACAGTATCTTGTAAGTCGAATTCATTATACATACTAATGCAATCATGTAATCATTCATTTTATTATCTTTTTATCTAGTCAAAATTAATAGAACATAGCTTTAGTAATAACATAGATAATACCTTAACATATTGGTTTTCTACAATGTTACGGCCTTTAAGTCGTAGAACACATGCTTGTGTGTCAAAATCGATGGTTTCTACCCTTATTGTTAATGTGGTCCTAACTCTGTTACTTGTTGAAGATCCAGTAGAAGATTCAATTTGAACTTTCCTTACAGTAGAGGCAGTGACTGAGTCTCCCTCAGCAATCAGATTATATGCATGCCACATATCCTCCGGCTCTTCCGGAATGACAGCAATGCATCTATAAAGAAATAGTTTAATAATAAAACATTATTCTTATTTGAAACATAATTTTCCTATTCTATTTCAAATAAATATTATAATAAAATACGCACCCGCTGCCATCTTTATCAATATTCTTGAAGACGAGTTTCATTTTGCCCTGGTCTTAATGACTACACAAGTTTATAAGACATATTTACTAAATGAAATTGTGTCTCAACAGTATAAAATCCAATTTGATTGATTCGTCTCACAATCACATTTTTGTTTTTACTGATGACATATTGTACTTTTTATTTGGCATTCGTGATCAAATTACGCAGATTATATAAATATATCAAAACATTATTTTATATTGTATTTGTCACATGTTGCTTATCTGTGCCCAGTTGGCACCACGTAGCGTTTTAAAAAATGAATGTGCAATTATAAGATTATTAAATATACATATAGTGTAATAAATCTTTTATAAATCTCATTGTTACATTTACATACATACTTTTACATTAACAAATACAAAATCTTAGAAAGATCATTTTTTTAAAATGACTACAAGATTTTTGAACTGAATTGTGGTGTCAATCCCATCTCATACTAACGAGCAATGTAACGTAAAATTGAAGAATAAATTTCAAGCGCCCTTCAAATGCAGTATGCTGCAATGTATATGAAAACAGTGTCTTGGACTTGACTTCTTGAGTGTTTTAATTTTTTGTGTGAGCATGTTCCTAGTTTTCTAGTTTCATATTGCAATAATTTATATTTATTCTTTCGTCTAAAAATATTATAAGTGCTGAAATTATTATCATAAAAGTAATGAGCTATAAAGTAATTATTTAAATTAAATTTTTGTGTCGATATACGTGTAGTGATAACGTTGTCAAGCTCAGCTGGAGCGATGAGCGGTAAAAATTTCGCGAGTTTTTCTTAAGTCACGGAAAGCATTTTTTGTGCTCTATTTCCTCAGTCAAGGTATGCAGTTATATTTTCTTTATAGTGCTTAAAGAGAACAAAGCAATTTATTTGTTGATTGCATATAAGTTGGAATAAAAAAACACGTGAATAGTGCAAGCTGAAAAACAACATCTATCTGTAAAAATTGTGAATATAATTTATTTACATTTATGCTTGCGTTATGGCCGTGATCCAGATTGCGTGTCCTCTTATTGCGCGGGAACTTGAGGTATTTTTAGTTTATTAGTCGTTACATCGCGAGATTATTTCAGACGCGTCGTATGTTTTCAATGCTATTTCTTACTAAGAAAGGTAAATGGGTAATTCTCGGTTTTGTTAATTATGGGTTCGAGAAAATAATCAAATAAAATTAACAATAAAAGTGTAAAAAGTGCATCAAGATGGATGACAAGATTGAAACAAACAACGCACGGGAAGAAATGCATCCTCCCGCACCATCCTCGACGTCATCTGAAGCAGCATCTGTAATCAGTATTACACCTTCAACTATATCAAAATCTGAAGCATCAAGACCTTCAACATTTGCTAAGCCATCAGGCCTCAAACCTCCAACAAAAATTGGAAGATTATGCTCCAACAGCGCACCTAAACCGGCAGTGCCAATTTCTCCGAGAAGTGGTGAGTGCTTAATCATTTATTTTGTAGTACTTATTCCATTCACTTTTGTCATTCTCAAATACTTAATACAAACTGCAATTGACAAAATCATTATGTTTTTATTGTTGTCAGTTTTTTGTCTTAGTAAATTTGTGTTCTTTATGCCCCTTAATTAATTAGCTTCCAATCAATTGCAGAACTCCAATTGGCTTTTAAATTATTAAGTCATTATTATAGGTAATGGATTTGACTTTATCCATTGCGACTGTCAATCTCGTTACATATTATCAAACTTTGTCTGCATCATTAAGTAAATGGAGTAATATTTAATTTACTATGAATTTCTTATGAATTTACATGTTGTAATATATACACTATAACATACTTTATGAAATTAAAGTATTTTTAATTTATTAATGAAGGCATATGTCAAGATGAAATTGTTGATTAAGGAAAATATTACTGGTAATGTCAAGTTTACAGCTTCACATAGAAGCCGGAAATTACTTTAAATTGCTCAAAATTTAAAATTAAACACGATATTTTTATCTAGACTGTTTAATGGTAAAAGTTATTAGACGCTCAATTCGTCATAGTAATATTTTTCCTCTGGATTTATTATTACTGCACTTTGGTACATTGTTTTTTTTTTTTGGTAAAAACAACACATGCTGAATTATTGGCATATCACCTCCAGGTGAATTTCTAAGAAATTAATTAAAATTCTAAGATATCTATTGTTAACTGACACGCCGGCGTGTCCGCGGTCGTGGAGGGATTAAAAAATATTTATATGTTTATTCCTTATTTATAAAGTACAATCAAAAAGTTGAATAATTTATTATTTAATCAGTGAAAAAATAAAATTAGATGTATATATTCATTTTGTTATATTTACACTTAGATGACTATAAAGCATTAAAATTAAGTATTTTCTTTAAATGATGTCATAGCAAGAAACATGATTAATGCAAATATTATAGTTTCAAGTGAGAATCAAACTTCAATATCTATATCTTCTTTACATAGTATAAAATGAAGTACCTTCCGCTGTGTGTTTGCTTTAGATCTTTTAAACTGCTCATCGGATTTTAATGCAATTTTCAGCAATAGAGTGATTCAAGAGGAAGGTTTATATGTATAAAATATGCATATGCATGCATAGTACAGAAAAGCCGAGAAATTCAAAGATTCATATTTCATACTAACCATTATAACATACCTAGGGACGAACCCGAGCGAAGCGAGGGTGAGTCGCTAGTATTTATACTTAATACATATTAATATGATAAGGCTTAAACTTTTGGCACTTAAAATTTTACAAAAAGCTTTTTAAAAGCTGTTAAAGTATATAAAATATCTTGCAAAGAATATAAAGAAATTAAATATTATATAAATAGAAAATGATTACTATTTCATATTTATAACGCATTTGTTTATTTCTCAAGTCTCACATTACATCATCACAACTTATTTATAAAGGTGAGTTACACAGTGACCTCAGATCTTGGATTTGTCGTAAGACTTAAATTTTAATCTCGAAATGTTAGTGGCGCCCCTTGATCATCGACCATGAGCAAAAAAACTGGTTCTTAAATAGTTAATTTATTATATGAATATTATATTAATAATTTAGCATAAATTAGCAAATATTCTTTAAATATTTAATGTTACTATTAAGGTGCGTGCACATTTAAAAAAAATCGGATGATATTTTGATTTATTCTGGTTGCGTTCAGTATAAAAAAAAATTGTCACTTAATAAAAAATATAAATGTTATTGAGATAAGAGAGTAAAATTAATTAAGCAACCCGAAGTAGTTAAAGTAAAAGTACAGATGAGACAATGACGACTACATGACGAGGTTGATGCATCTAAATTGAAATAAAAACATACGATCTACTAAGACACAGCCACAGCCATAAATTAAGAGATTTCGAATTTTTGTGATTCTAATTTACTGCATACACTTACTTGTATAGTAAGATTTAGCAACAAAAGGTTGTGTGGAATAAGATAGAGAAAGTAATGTACTGTATATCAAAATATTTTACCATTACAAGTCATGGTTACCATTGAGTTTCACCTTGAAATTGTGCTCGATTTGCTTCGACTAGTAAGTGTAAGCATTGATCGTCAGCCAATTCGTAGCTAATCGCCGATTTCTCTTCGACATGCGTGATAATGACAATAAAAAATGTTTCGTGTCGATGATACGAGCGTTAGCCAATTTTGTCTAAGTCAAGGGTTTATGAGTTTGTTCACCTGTCCGATGTATTTTTTTTAAATACGCAGCTCCATAATAAAGCTAACGTTCGAACACCAGAATAACTTAAAAGATATTCTTGGAAGACATTCACATTGTAGATCTAAGAATACATTATAAGTCATGACAAGGACACGAGCAGAAGGACAACTATTAAAGCGCATTCAATAAAAAAATATTTTACAGTTAGTCTACTATCGTAATACCTTTAATTAGCAGTATTTACTGACAACGTTTACTGCTTCAGGTTAATCCATACATATAATAAAATTGAAACTGAGCCGAATCTGTACATTAAATATTTTTTGGAAAATTTTATTGTTATAAACATTATTATCGATACAGAGGCCGAATCTATAGTTTTTAGAATTTTTGTCTGTCTGTCTGTCTGTTACCACATCACAGAAAAACCGCGAAGGGATTTTGATGAAATTTGGTATGGTGATAACTGGTTATCCGGGTCAACATATAGGATACTTTTACCGCGAGAAAATGTCTCATTTCTGAGAAAAAATACAAAAACTGTAATGTAAGAGTTACATACTAATATGTAATATCTAAGAATTTGGCTTTTGGTCATCTGAACGCGGGCGGAGCCGCGGGCAATGTTAGTTTATAAACTAAAGGTAAACTAAAAGTTTATTTTCACTAATTTCATTGACTAAAACAAAATATGGTTCAACGTTCGGTTGACTTTCTTTGCGTTGTTCGTTCATTTTACGTCACTTTTATTTTTTTTATGGCAAGATAGCGATCCAGTTTGAAATGAAAGTAAACACTCGCTGTTTATTGTTTTTTGTAACCCAGATGTACGGCACCAGTACTGGTAAAAAATAATATCCTGTTACATACGTACATACTGGTTCCAAGTCGACCTTCACTCGATTATTTACATAATATTACCGTTGCTCTACCTCTATCTCGATTATCAGCTAATAGGAAGCGTGGCTTTATAATACCTGCCTAATTAATTGCACAGCAATTATTGGTACAGGATAATAGTTATTATTTTTTGACACAGTATTATTATTTTCATTACAAAAAAGATTAGACTTTTAATATTTAAATATATTACGGTAAAAATTATAAATTTTTTTAAACAAATATAATTCCGTCTGTTTGATAGTATTCTATTATTATTATTATTATACTCTAATTCTGTACTACTAACTGTTCAGTGTAAAAAAATATCAATAAGTTAGAAAACCTAGGCGATGCCTCGAGCAAAAACCTATACAACGTGTATGGCGCTAAGATGCAGTATTTCTGTCATGATACCTGAAAACATTAATCACTTTCTCCGCCAGCAAACTCT